TCGTTCAATTTAATACCCAATGCGGGACGTTGTTGTTTCACATTGTTTTCATTGGTATTGCGTAGTGGGTAAGCACACAGTGATGCCAAATTGGGCATGCCAGTAAAGCTCGTTGAGGCACAGGCATAATTCTGCATAAACAATGCCTTAAATGGTTGGAAATTTACAATACCCAATTGTTCGTTTAACAAACGGAAAGCAGATTCAAAGGAGCCGGACTTAATGTGATCCAGAACCAAGGGTGAATTATTGGCCCAGTGCTGTGGTGCAGATAGACCCCTATTTGGAGCAGCATAGTAGCCGCTATCCAATGCAGATGCCTTAATTTTCGATGCAAGCTCTTCGGGAACCACCAAATCATCATCGCCAACATCCCAACCAGCTCCTTCATCAGCAACGCCCTCCAGACCCTCATCACCAATGGCATCATGCATTTCATCATCGCCATCTTCATCAAGACCCAAATCAGCATCAGCTCCCCAGCCATCGCCGGCACCCACATCAAGGGCAGCATCAGCATTTACGTTCAAAGCTTGTCTAGCTGTAGCACTTGTATTTGCACGTGTCAACATGGCGCCCTCAAAGAAGCCCTTCGAAACACTTAACAATGGCCAATTGGTTTCCACTTGTTGAATTGGTACAGGTGGTCTTAGCAAAGTAGCATTTGGATTCACTTCAGGCAAAGGATTTCCCTCCTGGGCAATGGCTTCAGCCAAATTGTTGGCTTGTTCATCAAAACCGTGGGTGGCTGCAGTCAAATACGCCAAGGACATTTGGCCGCAATTCTTCAGGATGTTCACACGTTCCTTGACATCACCCAACACCAAAGCTCCCTGGTATTGGGCCGAAACATCCTTGCGAATTTCAGCGATCTTATTCATTTTCTTAAGCTTCTCCAAGTTGCCGGTAATCAGATAAAGGAAACTAAGCTTGTCGAAATTCTTGGTACGTTGATAGCACATTTCCACAATTTGATGGTTACCTTGCAAGAGGGCGGCTTGACCCAGACGCTCCCAACAATCCTTATCATCCAGAGCCTTGGCAGCCTCCAAAGCAATTTCAATATTGCCACATTCCAAGGCCAAGCCAAATCTTGTCTTTTCATCTTTGACAAAATGCAATGCAACCTCTGGATAACCTTTCTGCTGCAAATAGGCAATAATACTTTGACCTACCAAACGGGCATTGCGTACCATATGCAAAACTTCGTCGTATTTACGATTGATAAGAGCCAATTTGAATTTGTATTCGGTAGGATCTATATGAAGTACGCGAGTCCGGCATTCACGATCCAAACAGAAGACCTGGTTACCCTTGACACGTGTCAAGTAAATGGGCAAATCTAATGTTCTAATAATACCGTGATCTCCATTTGTAATGGCATACTTGATATGGTTACTGGTGGTATAAATGAAGACACCTGAATCATCCCAGGCTCCCGATTTAACACGGCAATTTTCTTGTATGGTACAGAGGTACTGCAAACGTCTATCGCAAATGGTGACTGAATGCTTGCACAACAAAGCCACCAAAGACATGTCCGGAGACCAGACTACATAACGACACTTGGGTAGCTTAATGCAACCCACAGACACGAGACGTTGCACTTCGTACAAGGTAACATATTCAGGATCACGAATAAGCAGCATACCAGTACCGGCATAGAATATCTCTTCGCAGAATGTGGGGATCTTTTTGGTAACTTCATTCTTGAAGTTCTTGATGACAAGCTGCTGATTGCGATCGAGTACAGCAAATCTGTTACGGGCTACCCAAATCGCTGTTATGCCCGATGAACGTTTGCTATCATTTTCACTTTGAGATTCTGCATCCTTGGGGATTTGACACAGATCATATGTGCTGTTCTCCAAATTGTTGGTACGTGTACACAATAGAACTGCATTCAATGCTGGATTGTAGGACATGCTATGAACCGGTGATTTGCCACCACCTCGCAATTGCATAACCACTGTGTCCTTGGTAGTGGTAAAATCAAGTTTGCGCAAGAAACGATCCTTCACGTAGTACAAGATATTGCCATGTACAGCATAAGCGGGGCGCTCACGTTCCAATTTGAAAACAACCATGCCTGGAATTGAAAGATGGAGTAAATAGAAATGTTATATACTAGAAATGTTCTTCATACCTCCATCGTGGCCGGCGGCAAAAAGATTGAGTGTGGGATGGGCAGTAAGAATCCAGAAACGTTCTCCATCTCTTCTAAATGTATACAAACACTGGCGTTTGGTCATATCCCAAACACGAATGCTGCGATCTTCACCATTCGAAATGATGAGGTCTTGACGTGGATGGAACAGGACACATGACACATTGTTGTAATGGCCACGGCATGTGTCCACTTCCCAAGCTTTGTATTCATTCATGCGCCACAACTTCACCAAGCGATCATCGGCACCGGATACTATAAGTGGCAATGTGGGATGGAAACTAGCCCAATTTACACCACGATCATGACCCTCCAGAACATGTTTAACCACAGCATCGGCTTGGCCAAAAAGATCTGTTGCTCCTGGATGACCCTTTAGGTGTTCATCCAATCCTCCCGGTCCTGGAGCCACATTCTTCTTCCTCAAACCCGAAATATCCCAGACACGCACGGTCTGATCCAAAGAAGCCGAAACAATTTGATCTTCTGTTGGGTGGAACTGGGCGCACATCACATAATGATTGTGTCCGGTCAATACACAAATACAATTACGCGATTGCCAATTCCAAATGCGAATAGTTTGATCATCGGATGCACTCAAAATCCAGGGATATTCATGATGGAATGCCACTGTTCGTACATAATCCAAATGAGCCAGTAGCGTAAAAATGCAACGTCGCTGCTTGTAGTTCCATACTTTAATCTTGTAATCATCGCCACCGGAAACGAACAGTGGCATTTGTTGGTGAAAAGCCACACTACGCACTGGGCCATCGTGCTCATCGAACTTTTCCAACAAGGTGTGCATACGATAATCCCATAACTGGATTACACCACTATGCAAACTTGCCAAGATCCATGGTCTTTTGGGATGGAAAGACAAGCCTTTGACTCGTGCCGATTTCGATTCGAAGTTTGTCAACATTTTTTGTGTGTGTTTGTGCAAATCTTTCTTTTGTTCTTAATGTAGATATGTGGTTTGAAGTTTATAAAGTCCACAATTGAATTTAAAACATTTACTTTCTTATATTTTTTTAGTTAATTCTCTTTTCACATTAAACTAATCGGCCACACAAATTCTTTACACGTCATTTACTTTTTGATAATGTTAGCGTTGCCACATTGCAAGTGATGTGATATTGACAAAAGCAGAGGTATTAGGTAGTCGCATTAGCACTCGTAGCGGTGACAAGATATGTCAACAAAAACGTTAAAATATAAAAATAAAAAATATAAAAAAAAATAAAAATTATAAATGAAATATTATGTGTAAATGTAAAAATTCTATTCCGAAATGGTCAAAATTATGTCAATTTATTAAAACAATTTTATTTCTGCAAGTTAGATGTAGTAATGTCAATTTTTTATACAATTCACTTATAGGTGCAAGTTGAAGTACTTCATTATATGCATTGAACCATGGCAGAAAAATACAGGTAGATGAATCAACTCTTGGGAGGATCGAAATGCCAAAAACTTTTAAATGTTTTTTTAAATATAAGTAGATTTTTATATGTCTTCTTATACGACGTCATTCGGAGGTTCTTATAATTCATGTTTTTCGACAAGTTTTACAAATTTAAATAATTTTTCATTCAATATTTTCAATTCCAAAATTGGTTTGACAGTTCATTGTCTCAGCAGCTGTGTCAATGCGTCTACCTATATTCTTCTACCATGCATTGGACACTGCACTAGACACTGTTTTGTTGTTGTTATCTTATTTCGACTACGGGTTTGCAAATTGCAAAGAAAAAAGTGATACTATTTGGGACCCTATACTGTGTTGTTTTCACTACAAAAAGAAAAAAAATATGTCGTCCTAATTAGGATAATAACATCTTTTCTGGTAAATTCTCACGAAAATGTTTTTGTTCGCTTGTAAACAATATAATGAGATGTCACTGGAATAATTTTAATAGCTATCGGACGAGTGGCTTAGAAATGACAGCAGTCTGAAGTTGGTTGCAGTTTTTTCACTCATCCTGTATTTAATTCTGCTGTCCCTCCTATATAAGTGACTTCTATTATTTCTCTTTTTACGCAAATTTTTTTCATACCTTCTTACAAGAAAGAATATAATTTCATGCTTTTGAAATCTGTCCAACTATGCACGAATCATTTATCCAAGTTTTTAATTATTTTTGGCCGTCCTAGCCGATTTCTAAAAAGTTTGTCCAATGTAAACAAAAACAGTTTTAACTTCTTCCGACTGTTATTTTTCATGGAGTTTCAAAAGTTATGCCATGAATTCAATAGAAATTCCCACAGGTAGTGTGGAATTTATCTAACTTATCATACAAAAGCCCAAGATCTCGAAACATGTGTTATCATGTTCCATAAAAATACTTAATCTAGTTGATTACACTCACAATTATGTTATGAGTCACCACATCAAAATTCAATAACATATTCAAGAGTTTTATCGCTTGCAAATTTCCAATATCTACAATAAACCGTTTTAACATGAAGCAAGTCTAGGGGAACAAGTTAAAAGGATTTGTGCCATGACCCTAGCGAATATGTAAGAACTTATGTTACATATAATAAACAAGATCAGCTGTTAATTTCCAAGAAAACTGTAGATTTTTTTCTTTTTTTGATTTTAAAAATTTATATTTATTAATTACAAAATTTTTAAACTAATAAAGTGTTGAAAGAATAGAAAGTAAAGAATTTTTTGTTGAGAGATTTGTCATCGTTAGATTGCGCAAACAAAACAAAAACACCATAAATATTAAATATAAATAAGTAAAGGAAATACTAAAGAAAAAAATGTTACATCAATATAAAAAATACATTTTCAATATATATGTTTTATCAAAAAAAAAAAAAAAAAGAAAAAGACAAAATGTAATGCATATTCTTTAATATCCTTTAATTAACATATACACTTATTTTTAGCGTTGCCTTCTTCCTTTGCCGGCAACTTATATATAGCTAAGTCACAATCGTTTGTTATTCTCCTTTCACATATTTCATTTCTGGGCGATAAAGAAGAAAGTCTTGACATCTTAGATGTTTCCTTTTCATTCAATTAGTATTCAAGTAGAGTTTAAAACGAAGCTAAATACAATGTTGTTTATTTAATCATCTTTGGAATCGCCCTTGCCGCCAGCACCACCACTAATGGTGATTTTCTTCTGCAATTTGCTATATTCCTCGGTGAGACGATCATATTCCTTATTCAAACTTTCGGCTTGAGATTTCAGGGCTTCCTTGTCCTTCTTTTCACGATTCAATTCGGCAGTAAGCTCATGGATGCGATCTTTCAATTTTGTAATCTAATATAAAAAGACATATTAGTATTTAAAAAAAGGCTTATTTCGCTGCTCGTTATTCTATATAAACATAGATTATTCATTAAAAATCGTTATAAACAATACTGTGGGTATACTTAATAAATACAAAAACAACACAACTATTACATATACACTTAATATATGTATTTTTGTTGATTTCGTTATGAGTCGTTTTGGATTAATAAGGATAGATAGGATAGATCGTTTGTGTTGGGTCTTTTTGCTAAAATTCAAATTGCATAGTATTGTTTTGTATGCCCTCAAGTGTTGGGAGGATACCGTGCATTTCTTCAAGAGAAATCAACACAGTTATTGATTGAAATATATTTTGTTCGTTTTGCTTATGAAATGGGATGTTGTGCTAGCTTTGCTGTGAGTCCTTGTACACGTCTCCTTAAGCTGGATAGCTGTTAAAAATAATATAGAAATGTAAATATATAAAACAAAAACATAAAACAAGAGGATAGTGTTTTATTATTTGGCAAACAAAATTGTTTGTTAAAAACCAAAAACAAAAAAACGAACAAGAAACAACAATCAGAAATGCATGCAAAAATCTACCAACAATTGTTGTGGGTATACTAAAAGTAGACAGCATTTTTGGTAAAATTTGGTCAAAGCGCATTATTTTCTATACAGAGATATGTACAAGAACTCGTTTTATATTATATCAAGCGGCTGTGGCAAATTGTCATAAATAAATATAGAATAAAAATGAGCAAATCGTGTATAGTCTAATAGGTTAAACTAAAAGAACAATTTGGAATTACTTCACAAAAACATAGGTCTGTTTCTCTATGTCGAAATAAAATGAAGGCGAAAGAAACCCCCTAAATGTATGTGTTATTCATAGTTTTGATCTTCATTCAATTAAAATGACATTCCAAAATTTCGCATTCATTTCCATTCGACATAGAGCAACTGTTCTAGAATATTGATATATATATATTTTTTTTTTTTTTTTTTTGAAAAACTTGTTGGCCAATTACAATGTCTAGAGGGTTGTCAAGTTGTGTGCTTCGGCCACAAACGATACAACCTCTTTGTACAACTTCACTTTTCGAAGAGTTCATTTGAGTTAAGATGACACCGGAAATAATTTCGTGCTCTATAATTTACTTAATAGTCTTTATTTATTTTTATTTTTTGAAATTCCGTTTTATATATATTTTAAGTTTTTTATATTTTTATTGAAATCACACATTTGATTGGATTTCGTATTGTTTTGATGTGCAAAAAAATGATGTTGCCTCCTCAAAAATAAACACAAAAATGAAATTGTATTCGACATGGCCACTAACGTTACAATCGGTTGGTACAACATGCCAAATATAAAAAAATTTTGATTTTTTATACAACCGAGACACAACTTCGTGCAACCGGGCCACAAACGATACAATCTTGAATACAACCTCTCCAAGTTGTACAGCCAGTTGTATTGTGTGTGGCTTGCATCAGATTTATCATGAAAGAAAAGGACTTTTTTATAAATTTATGGGGAAAATATAACATTTCAAATACTTGTCTTACAAACTAAGCAAAAAAGGAAAAAATAAAAGTCGACCGGAGCCGTAAACAAGTAGGACAAAACATAGGGTGAATCTAGTAGATTCTCGTAAAAAATATTTATTCAATTTAACATTATATATGGATGCTAGATCAGGATAATATTAGATAATCTTCAATGTATTATAACATAGCCATGCTATCGGTTGAAAACATGTGTGGAGCTTTATCGGAACCGTTTTCACAATGGTAGCTGTACTAAGTTGTAACCTATTAAGACCATGAAAACGGGTGAAAATAGGAAAATATCAATTGTGAAAGGTTTGTATGTAAAGTAACATCATGAATGTAATTGCGAAAGGAAAACGCCATTCGAAAAGTTTTTATACCCTCCACCATAGTATGGAAATCACAACCGTATGTGGAAATCACTCTAGCTTCCGAACGAATTAAAGTAGATTGATAAAATTTTATTCAAATGTATATTATGTCCGCAGGACTTTTGGTATTGAAAATGGGCCATGTAGGTTCACGTTTTGGTATAGCCCCCATATAACGGTACCTCCCGATATTCGGTATATGGATGATTTTACCGGCAATATTCATCGGAATTGTTTCAAATTTGGTATTTGAAATTCGAATGGATACTAGGAAAAAATTGTCTATGCAGGTCCACGTCTTCGTATAGCCCCCATATAACGGGAACTCCCGATATTCGGCATTTTGATGATTTTAGCTACATTATTCATGTAATGGCTTATGATAAAAGTTACCCATGCAGGTCAATTTGGCCGTATAGACCCTAATATAACAGCTTCATTCGGTATTTTTAAGATTATAACAGAATTTTTAACGGATTTTATTGTTTTTGAGAATTGCCAAATTCGTTCCAAATGGTGGAGGGTATTCTTGTCAATTTTTTTTAATATTTTTTTTAATAATTAGATTTTGATATTTTTTCACGCCAATCGTAGGTTGTTCTGATATGCTTTTTCAACTATTTTTTTCAAATTTCATTTTTTTTCATTCAGATTTTTAAATTTCAGTGTCAATGCGGCTATCTGTATTCTTCAATCATGGCCCTGAAATGACGTAGAATATCGGGTTTTTACTTATTTCTTTAGAAGTGATAGATTTCTTTTCTAGCAAATCTGCTAAGTTTCGATTCGAGTTGAATATAAACAAAAATATTTTTAATACCTATAGCTATTAGCAATTCCCCACACTATTGTTGTTGTCGCATACCCCCATTTAAAATATTATATGGCTACGCATCTGGCGAAGGGTCTACTTAGCTAATAGTAACCAAAAAATTGCTGTAAGCTATATTGGCCCAGACAAAAATTAATATCAACATATTTTTGTGCAATCTTCCAACACACACAACACACTCACTCATTCACTCTCGCAGCCAAAATATGTACGCATTTTAAATATACACTTTTGCAAAAACACGTCATACAAAAATAGAATTTTCAAAAAACAAAACGAAATACTAATTAATGTGAGTGAAGGGGAATGGAACTCTTCACTTCCAAAAAAAAAAAACAATACAAATACATTTTGTTGTTATTGTTTGATTACAACGTACCTCTCCCAATGTAGCATCCTCGGTTGCTTCTTTAGCTTTTTCGGTACTCTTCTCGGCCATCAATGACTTGGCAGCTGCCGAAGCAGAGGCGGCCTGTTTCATTGAAGCTTCACTTTGAGCCAAGAGATTGGCCTGTGTCGAAATCAGGGTGACCAAACGACGAATAACCAGGACCAAGAAAATTGCAAATCCAGATATGTAGAAATTACGCTGAGCACGGAACAAACGCATACTATGTTGCATTTCAACATTCAAATGTACATCGCTGCTGTGGTCGTGGTGTGAATATTTACGCATTTCCCGAATGGCATCCAGCAGGAAGAGCACCAAGACTCCCATTATTAGGAAGAAATATAAGTGAGCCTGCCGGGCCAGCATGGCCAAAAATTTGGATTTGAAGAAACGGTTCCATTTATACGGACTGGCAACGGGCAAGACTAATAGCAGTACCACGGCTATTTCGGCATAAAGGAAGCCAGCAATCAAAGTCCAGACAAGACTCATGGTGGTGTGTCACCTTTCGAAGTTATTCGATTCGTCTAAGTCTTTTAGTTGTGATCTTAAAATAGATTCCCTTTCCTTGGATTTCGCTTGACTGTGTGTCTCCAAGTATAAGAAAGCTGTTGAAAACTTTTAAGAAAATGCCTTTATATTTACTATATGTTGACCGTTAATAGCTCCGAATAGGTAAAGGAATATCCAAATCGTTACTTTTAACTTTCTCAAAATTAACTTTTTTAAATGTTTCTTACGTTTTCCCTTATTTATATATTCGTCGTTTCGTTGCTTGCTGAGTAACCAACTGATGAAATATTTTGAGACACGTATTTTAAGTGCCTCACCTTTGTACCATTTCAACCGAATGAGAGTGAAAGAGAAAACTGCATATTAGACCGGTAACATCTCTTTTATTTTTGTTTTATTTCGTTTCATCTGTCAAAAGTACACTGTGTTGCCATATTGCTTCATGTCACTAATATTTTTTTTTTTTTTTTTTTTTGGACTCGATAGTTGATTTCTCCGTCAAGAAGTAGTTGGTACCCGATACCCGAAGTATTCATGTACCAGTTGCTAAGTTATCGGTTATCGATTGTTAGTTCCTTTTATTGGTATTTTCTTCTAGTGGTGTGTGCGTATTATAGTTGTATGTTGTTTTTCTTAATGAATTTGCACAATTCATTAAAGTGTTCGCTGGAGAAGGTTTTGAGAATCGCTGGTAAGTCCGAGAAAATCGTGAAAAAATTGTAATTTAACCGCTCACTGTTGTATTTAGGACATACAAAGATTTGGTGATTGTCGGTATTTGGTATATTGCAGATTTCGCATATGTTGGAATTTTCAGCCTTTATTAAATACAGGTAAGTTTTGCCATAGGTGTGTCCTGTGAAAAGTCGATTAATGAGTTTTATGTTACCAGGAGTGAGGTTAGTGCCATAAAACCAGTGACGAGTTGGCGGTTCAGGAAAAAATTGGGAGAAGTATGTGCCTTTTCTTGTGATGATATTTTTGTAATTTTCATTCCATTCTCTCCATAGGTGTTGATAAACTAATGAATAGCCATCCTTTATTGCCAGCTTACTAATATTTCTAGATGTTTACAACTCAGCAAGGCATATCTACTAGGTAGCACAGTAAACAAATATGATGTAAAATAAAGTTTAAATATACAGTTTTAGTGCCAATTTCCAAAACAAAAATACATTTTTTCGGTATTTCTGGAAGTACACCTACAAGAGTTACAGTGGAATCAACATTCCATTAATGCATTGTTTGAACATAACGGAAGACAAATAAAACTCGTCTTCCTAAGATATAGAACATATGAACTGCATTTGCATGTCGAGGAACGCCGAAAATCAGAGATTATTTATTATTTTTATAAAGTATGCCAGTCGTCATACATAAATATATTAGGTATGAAAATAAATTTTATTTGAAAAATGACAAGGAAGGAGTTATTTCGAGAGGACCTCTATTTTTTTGCCTATTAGGCTAACTGACCGATTTTATACGGACATTTATTGGGGACTTGTCTCAAACAATTTTCTATTTTAATTTGCAGTGTTTTCCCAAATTTCCTGTGCTTAAGCCGCTTCTCAGGACAGCCATATAATTTTCAAAACATCCTCATCCTTATTATCCAAAACCACAATTCTGTTTTCATTTCGCACTTACCTCATCAATTTGTTTATCTTCACCCGCTTCTTTGGCCTTCTCAACCGATTTATCTTCCATTAATGAACGGGCAGCTTGCGTTGCAGACTTTGCCTGTTTCAGCGAAGCTTCACTTTGTGCCAACAGAAAAGCTTGTTCCGAAATTAAAGTGACCAAGCGTTTTATGACAAAGACCAAGAATATAGCGAAACCCGATATGTAGAAATTACGTTGGGCACGGAATAAACGCATACTATGTTGCATTTCAACATCCAAATGTTCCGAGTCCGATTTGCTTTCGCTTGAGAATTTTTGCATTTCACGCAATGCCTCCAACAGGCACAAAATTAATAGACCAATCAGCATGGCAAAATATATTTGTGCCTGCTTGGCAAGCATTGCCAGGAATTGAGATTTGAAGAAACGATTCCATGTTGTGGCATTGAACACTGGAAGTGTTAGTAGTAGAACCACGGCCAATTCAACGAATAGAAATATATCGATTAAAGTCCAAATTAAGCCCATGACCGCTCTGTTTGTGTCTCGTTGCGTTGAAGAAATTTGTTAAACTAAAACGAATTGTACTCCACACCATATCACCTTTGCTCTTCTATGGCCGTTTATAGTAGAAACATAGACAAATGAAAATATCTTAATTTGTCTATGGTAGAAATGCAAACGTACATATGTATGTAGGTACGTGTTTGTGTCTAAATGGTTTACACATTATCTTTTGGAAGCTTGTTTGTTGTTTCATTCAAAATCGATGATTAGCTAGTATGATCAGTTAGCTGTTACTTTGGCTCATACTTTCTTTTAACTTTTTTCTCTCCAAACTGGAAAGATTCTTCTAAACAACCAAACAAATGGAGAGTATTAGTTGTTTTTATTTTACTTTCAACTCTCTTCTCTAAAATTTACTAAAAACCTTTGATAACCGTTATCTTGATACGATTGAGTCACTTTCGTTTGGAATTACCTTTATGTGACAGGTACACCGTGAGAAAGTTGTTTTAAAGAGAGCACATTGCTTTGACATAAGTGCATCGTGACGGCACAAAGAAAAAACAAGAAATGAGTATTAATTAACAAGTTCAAAAGAGTCTTCTCCGACTGTGTAATATCAAACAACCGGGCATTAAGTCTCTTTTAGCTACAGATATAAGCAAGTTTTTAGTGAAAAAATAAATATCATCTACACCATATTCCTTCGAAATTTGAATTATTTCAATTACAATTCGATATGCTTGTATTAGGAGAGTGGAGATAAGACCTTTTCTGCTTACCTTTACCTACATAATTTCATTCAATAAAACAGGTTTAAAAGGAAATTTGTATAACATTAAAAATTTAATAGATATCTGTACATTTTTCATAAAAAATTTCCTGCCAAAAGCAGGCCCTTGTTTTAATATTAAATGCATGAACTATCTTACATTTATCACAAACCACTCGTTCTATTTTTTTCAGCACCAACTCCGTTTCTTTACAACAACTGATCGATGAAACATTTATCTCGGCGCGGTTCTATTTTTGGTTTCTTCATGAAATTTGTGCCATTTTCATTGCTGCTATTTAATAAATCATCTGCTTTGCGTTTCATATTCTCATGTTCTTCTTCGGTGAGTGTTGCAAAGACAAAATTTTTGGGTTTAATACTTTTTATTGAAACAGTACCAGCTGCATCATCACCAGTGGGATTGGCCATGGCGGCACTTCCCTTAGTAAGCCCTGCTAATTTACTCAGAGTTTCTTTGTCACGTACAAGAAAAGAGCCACGCACAGTTTTCTTATTCATAGCTGCTATGCCTTTCGAGATTAGGAACGGTGTAGCCGTTGTAGAATCATTACTTTTTACAGAAGTCTTTTTTGCAGTAATAACTTGTATCTTTTTAGTTGCTAGGGAGACGTTAGCCATTGTGGTAGAGTTTGTGGCATTTAGTGTTGCATTTGTTATGGTGGCAGATAAATCTTGGGAATCTGGTTTAAGGCCATTCTCCTTAAGAAACTGTTCCCTCTCGTAGCGTATTTTACGCCATTGATGCTCATTCAATTCATCTCCGCTATCACCACCATTGTTAGCTTCGCCATTTTCATCTCTCGGTCCATCGTCCAGACTAAATCCACTTTCAGCATTCTTCCATTTAAACTGTCTCTGACGACCCACGCCATCTTTTTCTTCATCTTCAAAGAGCATATCTTGAATTTTTCTCACTTCGCGCAAGTCATCATCCAACATTTTTCGTCTAAAAATAAATAGCAAAATTTTTGAATATAAACTCAGCAATCATAACATTATATAATACGTACGCATGTATTTGTTCCAGTTCAGAACGTAATTTCTCTCTGTCGAATTCGTCTTCATCACCCAATTCTATGTCGTATTTATCCAGATTCTTTTCATCTTCATCTGCACTACCCCACTCAGATTCGGAAAGCTCTGCTTCTTTTTCCAAGAAATTTGCTGCCTTCTTGAGACAATCTTTCTTGGTCATTTGCACAACAATTTCATTTTCTTCCGAGTCATAATCCACAAATGTAGCAGGTTCATCATCTGCGGGTAATTCTTCTTGTTCCTCGTCTGCATCATCTTCTTCGTCACTGTTACCGCCTTGTGCTATTTCCTCCTCTTCTTCTTCATCGTCTGAGAATCCGAGCTTGGCTGCTTTCTTCTTTAACTTCTTGGTTAACTTTTTGGTTCTCGGTGCTTTTGTTGTTGTCTCATCGTCTTCGTCGCTTGATAAAATTTTATTGCACTTTAATTGCTGGACCTCCCCTTTGACTTCGGTCTGCTGAGTTGCGCCCACTGCCTCCTCAAATGTACCAGAACACAATTCCATTAATTCATCATCATCCAGTGGTTTGCCTTGATTTTGTGTTAGAGGTATTTGTGACATCAAAGCATTGGGCGATGGAGGTTTTTGGGTAATATCAAATGTTCCGGAACACAAACCCATTAACTCACTTTCTTCATCTGGTTTTGTGGATGCTTGTGTATCGAATATGTTTGGTTGGGTTTGTGGTGGCTGTGTTTTAAGAAAATCTCTATCATCGTTGTCAACGTCTTCTTCTTCGGAATCCTCAAATGTTTTTATAATACGTGTACGTTTGATTTTATTTTCAGGATTTGTTTCGGTTAGTTCGTCATCGTTGTCATCGTCACTATCATCATCTTCGTCTTCCGCATCATCATAAGCTTCTTCGTCTGAACTATCCACAGGATTTTCTTCATCATCCATCTGGTTTGAGAAAAAAAATTTAATATAAAATGCTTGATCAATAAAGAGTTTACATACTTCGATTTCATCTTTCACTTTTAATTTTGTATCTTCTTCGTCATCATTTTCATTTTCTTCTTGGTCTTCATTTTCTTCTTCGTCGTCTTCTTCATCTCCTTCTTCCAGGGGATTTTCTTCATCGTCGATCTGTAAACATTCGATTGTTATTAAAAAGTCAACACATGAGATTCTATACTCAAGTATTACCTCTAACTCACTAGCCTTTTTGTGGGGTTTTGATTCTGGCTCGTATTCTTCTTGATCCATTTCATCGTCTTCTTCTAAACACTTACTGTGCTCTACTTCATCTTCCTGTTTCTTATGCAATTCTTCCAGTCTTTTCTTTTTTATTATTTCTTTGAGATTCTTTTTCAGTTCAAAGTAGGCTGCACGCGGTTTTGGTTCACTTGTAGTTGGATCTTTCTCATCAGTAAGACTAACATTAACTTTTGTTATTTCAAGTTTTCCATTATCCGTTGTTAGGATATTGCAAACTTCATTGGTTTTAGATTTTCGTCCTTTGGCATTACACATTAAACGTTTCATAAGATTTTCCACTCCTGTTGGTTTTCGTTCTACCAAATCTCCAGTCTCTAAATCAATTAGCTTATTTGGATCGCCGCTTAGTGAAGGGCTATCTTTAAGATTTTTTGTGGCCAAAATCTGTTTTATATTTAAAGAATTTCTAGGTGTCTGTTGTGGTTTTGGTGGAGGCTTCTTTACAGGACTAATTTTCACTGTGTTCATATCTAGTTTCGGCAATTCAATAACTTCTGTTATAAGAACTTTTGAAGTAGATGGCATATCTTTGTTTGTATCCTTTGCCGCAACTTCTTGTTCTTGTTGTTCTTCTCCCGCTAAAATCTCTGCCATTTCCTCTTCGGTCAATTGAAGAGGCTCAGACACGTTTTCAGTTGATTGTGGTGTAAATTCAGGGTAAGTCTTGTCGAGATCTTCTTCAGTTGGCTTATCCAAAATCCCGTCATTATCTTTGAATTCTTCTTTTTCGTCATCTTCTGATTCGGATTTAAAGAATTCTGTAGCTTCCTTAGCTCTTTCCTCCATTAATTTACTGAAATATAAGAAGTAGGAGTGTTAATTTTTTTCCTTATCTGATTCATATATATAGTTCATCAAAGAAGGTTGTCGTTTATACTGACGCATATTCCTCTAATTCTTCTTGTGACATCTTTAAATTTTTAGATCGCACTGCTTCCACAATTGGACTACTATTTCGAGCTTCTGGTTTAATGATTGTCCTCCGATTTAGAAAATCTTGAAGTGTATGTTTCTTGGGTTTGTGGTAGGGTATGCTACAAAGAAAACAAACTAAATTATTTAGAACTGCACACAAAATACCACAGAACTCACCTTATACTGGCTTCTCGATGCAGCCTTTGTTGTTCACTTTGAATGGCTTGCATTTCATCCATAGCTTTCTTGGCAGAAGCCTGAAAATAGTTTACGAAATTTTAGAATCATAAACTTCGATAATTCTTATGTATTTACCCGAACAGGTTTCTTATTTTTATCCTTTGTTTTTATTGACAAATCCTCCTCATTATTGTTTTCTTCGTAGTTGTAAGCTCTGACCGATGCATCTAAATCCATTTCGCTATCATTGCCACTGTTGGCACAATTTTCTTCTTCAGAATCGCTGTCCACCAGTTGGGATATTTTCTTTTTCGACTTTTTAAGATCACTATCATCTTCCTGTTCCGACGACGTTTTCTTTTTGGATTTTTTCTTCAATTTATTCTCTCTAGATTGTTTTTGTTCTTTATTTTTCTTTTTATGTTTGATTCCATCATCTTCAGCGCCATCAGTTTCACCTGCCGAATCTGGTTCTCCTGCTCTTGATTCATTTTCTGAATCAGAATCCACCAACATTAGCCGATTTTGTTTTGCGACATCATGTTCGGTGCCCTCATTTTCGCTGTCAGAATCTATAAGTGCAGATATCTTTTTCTTCGACAAAGTAGTTGGTTCGTTCACATTGCTAAATTCTTGCTCATCAATTTTTTCCTTATTTTCCATTGGTTGCTCATCGTCACTGTCCACTATACGTTTGGTTCTGTTCGAGTTATTCGGGCTGATTTTCTTCAGAGGGCTGTTCTTTTTTACACCTGACTCGCCTTCATCTTCTGACTCGGAGAATAACAAACTCTGTGCTCCCAATATATCTTCTTCCATTGAGGTTTCTTTGACATTATCTTCCTCATCCACCTTTAATGCTTCCATGCTGGTATTATGTTCATCCATTGTTGTTTCTTATATAATTGTTTAACTAATTTAGTTATTTAATAAAATATCTTTGAATTCGTTTGTAAAGTTGTAAAAATAAATTGACGAACATAAATATTTGTTTCTAGACCACACACACACTTTTGTAATTGGGCGCGAAATAACAATACACAAACCAGGGATATGTAACTCGACTTTCAATTAATCGATTAATCGTCGTTTGATATTTGAGAGACTTATACAATGTTCTCATTGAAGCTTGAATCGAGTTGTTGGTAAATCCTATTTTCAAGTTCAACTAGAGAAATACTCTTAAAAATTGTTTTTGTCGATACAACCATGGTAGAAGAATATAGGTAGACGCGTCGACACAGCTGCTGGGACAATGAACTGTCAAACCAATTTTGGAATTGAAAATGTTGAATGAAAAACTATTATATTTGTAAAAATTGTTGAAAAACGCGAATTATAATAGCCTCCGAATGAACGTAGTATAAGAAAACATATAAAAATCTACTTATATTTGAAAAAACATTTAAATTTTTTTGACATATCAATGCTCCTAAGCGTTGATGCATCTACCTGTATTCTTTTGCCATGGATACAACGTTATCAATAGTAAAAGGTAAAGCAACAAATAACGATCGAATTTTTGTTTAAATATCGTTGCGTCAGAAAAAATGTCACCTTATCAAAAAAATGCCGGGATGAACTCATGATCAGCAAATATTTGGTCTGTTCCAAAACTGCAGGAATGTATAAGTTTTTAGAACAATAACCGACTTTCCCTTTATGAAATCAAAAACAAATGCCAAAATAGTAGATTCTATAATAACAATCTTCTTAATTCTTTGTTTAAAATTTGCTGAAAAAACTGGACAAAATCCTAACAATATCTAAACTCTGTATTAATACGTAATTTAATATGTCGTGTGTTTCTACTACTAGTATATGACAAAGAGAAGATGTTCATGTAAATGTATAATCATTCTTTTTTGTCATTATATCATTCTTTTGCATGTGCTGAACTTTTTGAAAGTAATAGAGTCAAATTTATTCCCAACAGATGTGAATTGTCAATTAATTAAGTTAATAATATTAAAAATGCCGGAAATTGAGATTTTTTGGATTAAAATTTAATCCTAAATTAAAGGGATATGTTCTTATTACTACCATTATCTTACCTTTGGTGGAAGAATACAACTAGATGCATCAACGCTTGGGAACATTGATATGGTAAAAAAATTTAAAAGTTTTTTTTTTTAATTAGGTCGATTTGTATAAATGTTCCTATATGACGCCAATCCATGGTAAAATTAAGAAGGTAAAGTCTTTTCAAATAAGCATTCCCATCTTCGCATTTTCTGTAATTTAGCTTGTCAAATTTGACTGCATGGAAAACAAGCTCCCATCTCTGATTTTGTATGTACAATGGGTTTATAAATATATACTTTGACAATGAGATGTTGTCAAATGAATAATTTTGAAAAAAAATGTAAATATATGATTGCATGACTTTACCTTCTTAATTCTACCAGGCGGCAATCGAAGGTTGTTATAATATGTATTTTTCAACAATGTTTCCAGATCCAATATTTTTTCATCCGAAAATTTTAATTTAAAAATTGGTTTGAGAGTTCGTTGCCCCCATGGTAGAACAATATAGGTAGACGTATCGACGCAGCTGCTGGGACAATGAAATGTCAAACCAATTTTGGAATTGAAAATGTTGAATAAAAAAAATTTTAAACTTGTAAAAATTGTTGAAAAAGGTATTTTATAATAACCTCCGAATGACGTCGTATAAGAAAACATATAAAAAGCTACTTATATTTGAAAATAAATTAAAAAAATTTTGACATATCAATGCTCCCAAGCGTTGATGCATCTACCTGTATTTTTCTACCATGGTTGCCCCGCAGCTGTGTCGATGCGTCTACCTATATTCTTCTACCATGATCTTACCTTATTCTTATACCATGTTCCTAGCCAAAATTAACTGCCGCCGTCGAAGAAATAGGAAGCGCGGCATCAGACTTGTTTACATTTTGAGTAGCCGGCGGTGAATAAATCGTTTCGCTTCGTTATCTGCTGCAACAGCCCTGAAAGTTTTTAGTGCGTAAATACCGTAAATATGGATTCAGCTCCACTTAATTTGGTAATAACAGACACTTCAAATAATAATAGTAAATATTATAATAATTATAATAATTATAGGCTCACTTCCATGAAAGGCGAGCAGAAAAGTTACTGAAACGGCATCAATACGATGAGGCTTACAAAGCCATAGAAAATTCCTTGTTTTATGTTGCAGATGCCCACAAAACAGTGCGAACTCCAAAGGCATTGGAAGTGCTCGATATTATAAAGTGGGATTATGAAAGAAAATTGCAACAGATATGTATGCGTAAACAACAATATGAAAGATTGAAACAAAAGGAAATTCTACCTCCCGTTTGCCAGAGTGAAATCATCAAACCAGAAATTATAAATGTTCCCTCTATTGCTGCCAGGTCCATTGATAAAACAATTAAGGAATTCAATGAAAAATATGGAAGTGCTTCCTTAATGTTAAATATGCAAGGGCTTTCTTTGGAGCCAGGCAATGAAAACAAAGATCCCAACAGCGAGTGTTCCAAGGTAAATGTGAAAAGTGATGAAAGCAAATCGGAATCAAAAGATGATATTGCCAAAAGGCGTATGAGTATTTTGGACGAACATATGCTACAAACCGATGAAGAGTTACCATCATTGGTGCCTTTGGAATTACCTTCCTTTGATTATTCTGTGTTTATATCATCGGGTTTGGTAGAAAATTTCCAAAAATAATTTAAACCTGTGATTTAGTTTAATTTTTCCAGTATGATCTCTATGGTTACCGCAAAGTGTATATAGTATAATAAAAAAACAAGTGTTTGTAAAGCCAAGTCGATTTATTTATTTCTTTAAGAGACCTTGTAAGAGTTCTTCCATATCGGTTTCGGTCTCAACATCTTTCAACAAAAGCAGCACTTGGGCTTCCATTTCACAAAGAATTTCTGGTTTTTTATAGGTTATTATCAATGTGTTGTATTGATGATGAACCATTATATTTTCCTGTGACGGTGATATACCACAACGATCCAAGTCTGGTACGGGAATCACTTTGTAATATTTTTTATTGGTGGTTTTTACAACAATGGCACGTTTCTCTGCATCGGCTTGAACATTGTATACCTCCAGGGGATATGGTAGATTTCTAATTCTCCATTCAATATTTTTCTTTGTAATACGTTTGCTAAGTATAGGTTCATTGCTACAAACTTTTACCATAAAACTGCCATCATCATTACGAATGTCATTCTTTTCTCCCGCACTACCCAATTGTCGAGTATCCTCTCCTAATTCGACTTCCCATTCTGGTTCTCCCATAAGCTGCTTACATTTGCGCCAGGCCCTTTTTTGTACAACTCCGGTTTCCATGCTATATTCTTCAGCCATTTGATTTCCGTCGGGAAACTTGTAGAAAACTTTACGAGTTTTGCCGCTTAGCATTGAATTTTTCTCGGCACTTTTAAGGTAAGTTAACCAATTTTCATATGACATTTTTAAATAAAATGAACTCTTAGGCCTGTGCTACTGAAAGAAATTGGAAGTCTAAAACTGAGTTTGTTTACTTCGGTTACTATGGCACAGGGACGCCTAAGTCGACTTTCGACTAATAATATTAATTGAATTGCAAGTAGTTCGATCACGATAAAATAATGCTATCGATGTACATCGAATAAGGTGACCAATATAAAGTAATGCGTCTTTGAATAGTAATTTGAGTTTCATTACATGATTCGGGTTTCACACATGTAATTCGATACACTGTTCCAGAACCTGGTACATTGTTGCAGGTTCTGGAACATTTGTTTCCATGTTCTTTTTCGTATTGCAATTTAAATGATTCGAATTGCAAAATATGTTCTTTCCGGGTATACTATATGGATGTAATAAACACTCCGAGACATACCCAGTGTAAAAGTTTCAGAACGATATGCGTCCAGATACCAAACTTAATTTATGCCCATCTCAAAAATCTTTACTAACGAAAATAAGCACATATTACAAGCATAATGCAACCTGTACCATACTTCTGCTGCCCTCACCGAGAAAATATACAATTCCATTAACAGTACTTCATAGACTTTATTTACTGTAAATTGAAGTGCTTTCAACTACTATTCTTCTTTCTGATTTGTTTTCTATTCATAAGTCTTCCCTTGTTATATGGGTTCTTTTGGAATTTCTTCTTTTTCCTTAGATGAGCTGGTAGACTTTTCAACGTATTGTTTCTATCTTTTCTAGCTTTCTTCTGATTGGCCTTTTTGTCCAGCTGCTGTTTCATTTTGAAAGCCTTAGTCTTCTTAAGTTTCTTCATGGTCTTGACTTTTTTGAAGTGGTCCAATTCTTTTTTTGTTTTTAGTTCTAATTTTTCTTTTTCTGTTTTTGACTTTTTACTTTTGACTTTTTCCTCGTCACTGTCATAATCTTCATTTTCCGAATCTGCGGCATGTTTCCTTTTTCTGGCGTTGATATCGAAATCCATTCCTGGTATACAGTTGGGACTATTGTTTTCATCATCGTCGTCATCTGTTTTAGCCTCTTTTTCGCTTTCTTCGGATTCCTCTCCACGATTTACTCCCAACATATTGCGTTGAGCGGCTAAATCACCCGTGGATAACTCCACTATTTTAACCTTCACATCATCATCTTCGTACTCATCCTCATTGCGTTTGTCTGCCTCCGTAAGTTCCTTCAATGGTTCAAATGACTTTTTCATGTGTTTAATACCATCTTTGATTTCCAATCGAATTCTGCGACGTTCTTCCTTTAAATTGCGCTCCAATTCCTCTTGCGCACGTTTACGTCTCTCATTCTTACGCTTCCGAAATCCGGTCAAAAACTCCCTTTAACATAAAAATTATCATTTATAAATTATTAATCTTTTTAGGTGTAAATACATTTTGGCTGCTTTACTTTCTTTTCTGTGGATCGAAAACAATTTCCAATTTCTTTTTAGGATTCTTTTTTCTTGCCATTGTGTTTATTTATATTTAGCACATGTACTAGGTATGTATAATTCGAATATCGGCTATCGATTGTACTAGGGATGTACAATTCGAATATCAAATAATCGATGAAAATATAAAACTTTAAAAATATCAATTGTTTTTTTGTGTTGTTGGAGTTATACAATAGATGAGGTCTTTGATAGATGTCACGATAGAAATATATTTTTACTTTTCCAGTAAGATTTACAAAGTAACTGTAAGGGTTTAATGGTCTTCGAAACACGCTTTATTTTACGTCTATAGGTGTCAATAGCCCAGAATAAACAGTTGAAAAGGGTTGCCAAAATCTATACATTATCATCTATGTGAATTCTATATTAAAAATTGCGCTGACGGATTTTTTAATGAATTTGACCTGATTCGACAGAAAATCTTCGTATTTATTCTAGCTCCAATAATAATAGACATTTAATTTTTCCATAATCAAGTCTTTGTGGCTTATGTGTGACGTTCTGGAAATACTAACATTTTTCCTTCATAGAGTCTATAAAATAAGTGAAAATGACAAAACAATTGGTCAAAAATAAATAAAAAAGTGTAATCAGTTGAGTGAGACCACCTTTTTATACCCTCCACCATAGTATGGAGGGTATATTAAGTTTGTCATTCCGTTTGTGATCAGCATACAATTCTATGTCGTTTTAGCGAAGTCCGTCCGTCTGTGGAAATCACTCTAGCTTCCGAACGAAATGAAGTAGATTGATAAAATTTTACTGAAATGTATATTATGTCTACAGGGCTTTTGTATTAAAAATGGGCCATGAAGGTCCACGTTTTGGTATAGCCCTCAGATAACGGTAACTCCCGATATTCGGTACTTTGTTGATTTTAGTGACATTATTCACCGGAATTATTTCAAATTTGGTATTTGAAGGTCGAAATGGATACTAAAGCTTAAGATAGAAAATTGTCTGTGCAGGTCCACGTCTTCATATAGCCCCCATATAACGGTACCTCCCGATATTCGATACTTTGTTGATTTTAGCGACATTATTCACCGGAATTGTCTCAAAATTCGTATTTAAAGTTCGTAATGAATACTACTGCATATGACAGGAGATTGTCTGTGCAGATCCACGTCTTCGTATAGCCCGTATAGTATAATATCACCTCCCTATATTGATGATTTTAGCTTCATTATTCACAAATTTTTTTTATTTTCGCATTTGAATATTTCAATGGCTTATGACAAAAGTTGCCTATGCAGGTCCAAGTCGTCGTTTAGACCCTAATATGACGGCTACATTTGGTATTTTTAAGATTTTAACAGAATTGTTAACGTTTTTTTTTGAAAATTGCCACATTCTTTCCAAATTGTGGAGGGTATTCAAAGTTCACCCGGCTTTACTTGTTACATCTACCAATTTTACATCTACATTACATCTTGTTACATCTACCAATTTTATAGAACGTGGGCTGAGGAGAGGAGACGTTAATACAAAAAAAAACTCACACAGACATATTTTTAGTTAGAAACATTTTTATGCAAACATTTTTTGTAGTTCTTTCTTCACGAAGAGAAGGCTAAGAAGTGTGACCTTATATCACATAGTCAAAATGTCAGGAACAAACTTTTCTATCACTCCAAAAATCAATCATTAGGTAATCAAAATATTTTGAATCTAGGTAACAAGTATATATAAATTATAGCTGTTTCTGGAAAAAGCTGTAATTTTCTTTCCATTTTTTATTAAAAACGGTTTGAATATTTTTCCTCTTAACAATTATTTCACAATAGTATAAAGGGGGAGGGGTAATTATTGATATTATCATTAAATTGATTGATTTCAGTCAATTTATTAAACAAAATGAACGGTTAAGGGAAACATCAAACGTGACTAAGTTTTCGTTTGTTATCGTTTCAAGTACAAGAAATAAACATCACAAATGTATAGAACAAAAGTTAATATTAGTCTTTATAAAAATTCTTTGTGGCCTTTGCGTGTATTGATGCATATTTGTAATGCACTGCCATGGCAATTCGATGAACTTAATAGTATTGATCACAATGGATTATCTTGTAATATAATATGCTGGAGATTACTTCATCAATTGTTGGTTATATTACTTGTGGGATGGCTGTCTATGCTGAGAATCAATCATTTTGAAGATGTTTATTATGAAAAAACGGATATATTTTCAATTGGCATGGATGCTATAAGTTATGGCATATTAACGGCTATTCACCTAATTGTTTATTGGGAAAATACATGGAAGGCACTAACTTATGTAGAGCTATTCAAAAATTTCGAAACAATACTGCAAAAATTTCGGCTCTATCTAAAATTTGAAGTTAATACAACTTACTTGTTTCTATACGTCGCACTATTGTATAGCATGTTGACTTTGAATATTCTTATTACCTTCTTTGTGATATATTTGCGCTATTTAAAATCTCTAAATGCAATTCGTTTGTTATTGGAACAATATAGTGAAACTATTTTAAAATTTAAGTTGCTGGAGTATGCATTGTTTCTGGTTATTATTGTGACAATTCAAAGGCACTTGAATGCATTTGCCGCGCATTATTTAAGAACCACGGTGTTGAGATTGAGGACTATGCCTGAAGGCAAAGAACAAACGGACATTTTAAACATCATTGGAATTCTACAAGACATACACAATCTTCTGGTTACCAATGTAAATCACATAGAAAATTACTTTAACTGGAGCCTTCCCATGTTGATTTTGAGAATGTTTACCGAAATTGTTCTAACGTCATATTGGATGTATTACATAACAGATTATGAACTATCTCGTTTATATCATCTATGTGAGTTCGTTGTAATTATTTAACACAATTAATGTAAATTAAATTTTTTTAATTACAGATGGCTACTCCTCGATAATATTACAACTTATGTTCTTATTTGTAATATGTGCCTTATGCTCACAAAGTGAAAAATTGGTAAGTTAGCAATCATGTTGTATTGTGACTTGTGATAAAACTTTTTAATTCATTTTTAGGACACACAACTTGCAAACATTTTGCACATGTCAAGGCATCAACGCCATAATCCCCTTTTAAATGGATTACTCAATGAAATGTCCTTGCAGTTATATCATCAACAAATAAAATTTACTGCAGGTGGTTTTGTTGATGTAAATTATAAAGTATTTGGAAAGGTTTGTATTATATGATATAGAAAGTTAATTTTGTAAATTAAATTAATCAATTACTTGATTGTACTTTCAGTTCATTTTTGCAACCGTATGCTATGTTGTGATCCTTATACAATTCCATATGTCAGTCTAGGAATCATCCCTTAAACGATTTCCAAGTCAACGTTATATCATTTTAATGAAATATACCATTAAATTTTGAACATACTATTGTATTACAATTGTTGTATCAAAAATTGCATAAATGAACCAAGGAGGTTTAAGAGAGAAAGCGTCGGCAGCTTCGTTTTTTTTTTGGTGGAAATGACCAGCTCTGTATATCAACAGCCTTATACTTAACACTAACAATTGTCCGCTACTTCGTCAGTGAAAAGTGTACCTTAAAATTAGAAAATATAAAAAGTGTACCTTAAAATTATAGTATCAAATCGACTTTTAAATATACAACAGTTGGTTTTGTTTATTTTTCATTTCTTAACAAAATTTTTATGTTGGGGAAAACCCGCGAAACAAGATTGGAATTTTAGGGTTATTCCACAAGATTGAATCTAAAACAGTAGGATAATACAGTTTTTTTTTTTTTTTTTTTTTTTTTTTTTTTTTTTTATTAATCCATTTGTAATAAAAAGGCCTAATAGACCATACATAATTATTACATAGCCTACCTTAAACCTGAGTTAAAAAACAATTCAATAATAAAAGTAAATAAATTCACAATTTCATGATATATACATACGTACATACATTATACTACTATATAAAGTACTTGTTATTATTATTATTATTATTGTTATTGTTATTATTATTGTTATTATTGTAGTTTTAACCCAATATTGTACAATGTGTTGCCCATTAACATCGAAAGTATGCATATATAATTATTTTCAAATTATTGTATTTTTTATTCAAAACAATACAAAGTTTTTATATATTATTCATGTTTTTCCTTTTTCGAAAGTAATAACAGAAAAATGTTTACTTAGAGCACCAAAAAGTCTTCAAACTCTTTAATTTTGAAGTTTACAGAAGAGGATATTAGTAAAAATTTTGCTCAATGGTCCAAAGTTGTCTTAAAGTTTCAATATGTTAATCCTAGTTTCCTAAATTTAGTCACATTTAGTATACATATCCAAAACAATCTACATCTCTCCACCCCAGACACCTCCATACAGACACCATTAAAAATAAGTAACATTTAGTACTTTTCGAATAATTATATTATGTATTTGCAAAACCAACACAAGATCTCAACACTCGATACCAACATAGACCTCAATATCAAACTTCGAGATTTCAGTTCTATCCCTTCACCCAATCACCCAATACCAAATTTCGTTCCTTTTGTACGAATATAGGACGCGTTTTTAAACCACCGCCAATTCTCAAACACAAATACCATCACTGATCTAAATAACACATTTCAGAATTTTACCTATATCCCTTCACCCAATACCAAATTTAGTACCATTCAGAACTTTTCGTCCAATTATAGTACACATTTCCAAAAACCATTTCCATATGTGCAGGCTACACAGGAACAGTGACCTTAATAAACATTTTAGGATTTAAAGCACCATCTGTTCAACCAATAGGAAATTTTGTCATGTACTTGTAGTACACATTTTCAAAGCCACCTCTTTATCAAAAACCTACCAACAGCAGGGACCCCAACACAAACTTTCAAAATTCCAGCTACATCCGGTCGCTCTAAGCCAAACGGTTTCATATTTAGTACCAGTTCGCGCACGTAGTATACACGTCCACGCACAAAGACTAACCCTCATCAAAATTTCAACATTCTAGCTTCAGCCGTCAGTCAGTTATTTGACTACTCTCTTATCAATAACGAAGTACCGACTTAAGACCCCAAAGCTCTTTGTTTTATTATATTTAGAGTCAACGTAGCCATGCCGCTCATCTATCTATCTGATGCGCGACGACTCCTGAAGAGAGTGACATGTTTGGACTAAATTGACCAAACATCGCACATCGTAATATTTTTTCATCAAATCTAGTACATTCCAAAAAGAGAAGTATCACATAGAAAGCGAAGGGAGCAATAAATGTAGTCCAAACTTGACATATTGTAATTGATCTATAACAACAAATTCAGGCGAAAAAATTGACAATATCGGTCCGTTTTTTCTTGTACTACCCTACCCTTGTACTTCTATTTTGAATGATTATAACTCTAATAAAATGCGAAATCCGAGTCTGACATTAGATCTACATATGTGGAAAATCATAGCTCTCATAAAATGCAAGCAAAGCCTGAAAAAATAATTCAAGCACATTCCCGACTATATGATATGTGTATTTAGTAGAGCTCCCGTAACAAAAAAGAAGTTTATATTGGGAATTTATGTGAAGTAGATGATACTAACTATGAACCTTATTTGAATGCGCATCATGGCTTTAAAGTAGTCTCTCTTTAGGAACTGTATCCAATTCTGAACCGATTTTAAACAAATTTGATGAAGGCTTTTTTACCTCTAGTAAAAATATCCTTCTTGTGCAATGTCTATTACGCATGTGAGGGACTTTAACACTGGATTTAACACAAATTGGATGAAACATTTATGGGAGCTTTAGCTATATGTGAACCGATTTTCACCAAAATTTGAAGTACTTGCTTCTGGACTAAATTACGTTGGAATTGCCAAAATTCAGGCCATTTGGACTGATATAAGCCATTTGGTGCACAATAAACCTGAAATCGGATAAAGATGTATACGGGAGCCTTATCCAAATCTAACCCGATCTTGACAAAATTATGAGGCACTTATTTCTGAGCTGTATCTGGATATTGGGAGGGGCCTAAAACCCCAAATCGGGTGAAACATATATATGGGAGCTATAGCGAAATCTGAATCGATTTTCGCCAAATTAGGTGCACAATATCTAAATTTTGACCGATTATCTCCAATTTCATTAGGGTTCGTCCTTGGGCCAAATAAATTATTTATGCAAAATGTCATCTCGATCGGACAATAAATGCGGCCCGTACTTTGATTACAAAAATACATGGAAAGGCGGACGGTTGCATAAATCGATGTAGGGTATAAAAATATGTATACTATTAATAATTTTCTAGGTACGTATAGTAAACAAATTGCTAAGATGACATTATCTTGCAATGAATAATGTGTCGAACATTTATTTAGTACCAGAGAAAATATTCATTCATTGCTAAACTTCTTACATTTTATTTCCATACCGAGTAGGCATACTGAAGGAAAAACCAAGCTATGTACCGGACAAAAGTTGGAAATTTCCTTTATAAAAAGACATTGTGGCCATTGCGTATATTAATGTACATTTGTGCAGCTCTACCATATGAGATCAATGAATTTCATACCCCATCGTGCAGAATTATATGTTGGAGATTTATGCATCAAGTTATAGTAACAGTATTTGTCGGATGGCTTTCTGTGCTGCGTTTCAATCGTTTTCAAGATGTACTGTACAAAAAGTCTGATATATTCTCTGTTGGCATGGACTCTATGGGCTATGGCCTTCTATTACTCATTCATTTAATTGTCTACTGTGAAAATACCTGGAAATCACTTTATTACATTGAAATATTTAATAATTTCGAAATGATTTTGCAAAAATTCCAATTAAATTTAAAATTCAAATTAAACATAAGTCGTTTACACTTATACACGATGGTGTTGTACAGTATGCTGGCGTTGAACATTACAATTACGTTTTTTGTAATCTATTTGCGGTACATAAAATCCTTGAACGCAATACGTCTATTGTTGGCCCAGTATAGTGAGTTTATTCTGAAACTAAAACTCACCGAATATGCTCTGTTTCTTGTCATTATAATTGTCATTCAATTGCATTTGAACGTTTTCACCAAGCATTATGTGAGACATACAATACCACGACTGAAGTGTGTACCAGAAGGAAGGGAACAGGATGAAATATTACATGTTATTGGAATACTGCAGGATATTCATTATTTACTTATTTCCAATGTAAATCACTTGGAACACTATTTTGCCTGGAGTCTGCCCATGTTGATATTGAAAATGTTTTCGGAGATCGTATTAACCTCGTATTGGATATATTTTAGTGTGGATTTTAAAATAAATCTTTATTTTCAATTGTGTAAGTTGGCGAAATTATTGTTTTTATTGGAAAACAAATGAAGTGTGTCTTCAATTTTTCAGATGGCTACTCCGTCATAGTCTTGCATATAATAATTGTATTTGTTATAAGCTGTTTATGCTCAAAATGCGAAAAGTTGGTAAGTTTTTGCTACACATAATAAATTAACGTTATGGCGAGCTTTGTACAAATATTATACATATGTGCATATGTTTTTTTTTTAGGATACCGAGTTTTCAAATATTTTCCACATGACAAAACACGAAAGATACAATCCGTTCTTAAATGCGCTACTGAAGGAAATGTCTTTGCAAATATTCCATCAAAAAATTCGTTTTACCGCAGGTGGTTTTATTGATGTGAATTATAAACTATTTGGAAAGGTATGTATCAAATGTTTGTTTCTGGATGAGAACAATGAAACGAAATAGTGGTCTCGCCCGAGTGTTTTCGAATTAGGTTAGATGACTTAATCTATTATGGACGGTGATTTTTAGCGATAATCTTTTTGGCAACACTGGCTCAAACAGCTGTTTTGTTCCACTGTCATCGAAATAACGGTTTTAGACCCAAGGTCTCCTTGGACCAAATCCGTTTCAGGACATTTGGAGTCGATCTAGCGATGTCCGTCCGCCCATTTGTCTGTCTGGCTGGTGCGCACGATAACTCTCGAAGGGAGTATCCGATTTGATCCAAACTTAGTATATCGTAATATTATTGTCAAACTTCGGCCCACTCCTTCTGATACCTCCCAAACAAAATGTCAACATTTTCAAAGAAAATAATTAAGTGCACAGAAAGAGTAAGGATATTTCGATTTTACTCCAACTTTGCGAATCCTAATATTTACATCAGTCCTATATCGGTCCACTCCATCAAGTACCTCCCCCACAAAGGGTCAAAATTTTGAACAATTATAGCTCTTATAAAATGTGATGTAAGTGTCCGATTGTCTTCAAATTACACACATCACTATATTTTTATTAACTCAAGGTCCTGTGTGAAGATGGAATATATCGGTTCACTCCTTCATGAAGTTCATAAAACGCAAAATTAACATCCGATTTCATTCAGACTTGGCACATCTTAATACTTCCATGAACACAAGATCTGTTATAAAGATGGACAGATCGAACCACCACATAGGGTTTAAGATTTTTAAAAAACAAAACGCTCCAATATTGCGACATAAGTACCCAACTCTTCAAATTTCACACATCCCAATATTTTTGCTAACGCATCTACAAAGGGTCACAATTTCCAATACTTATATGTCATAACTTGCGAAACAAGTCGATGATTCTTTACAACTTGCTATATTTAAATATTTTTCTTAACCAGAAATATGATATGAATATGTAATCATCGATATTTATGATTTCCTTTTATTTCCTTCAAATTTTGCACATACCAATATTTTTATCTGTATTAGATGAAGAATGAAAATGGAATACTTCGGTCCGCTATATCTGTTACCTCACGCATATTTCCACATTTTCCAAAACTTTGTTCATATCTCATATAAAGTGTAGGAAGTAGCCGATATAGTCCAAATCTGGCACGTTGTAATATTTTTATCAGTCATAATTCAAATTCGAATTGGTCTCGGAACCTCCCCCATAAGAGTCAACAGTTTTGAATAGTCATAACTCAAGGCTGCGGGTAAAAATCTGTCGGCAAAACCGGCTGATACCATTTTACTTGTTTAAGCCTTTTTTAACCCGCCAATGGTGACGCACTGGTCTGTGAGACCGGTTGTGTTAAAAAATTCGTATAACTCTTTTCACCGTTATTCGTTTTTGTTGCGATTTCGAGTAGCTGTAGCTAAGTACATCCCCCACCGTCAGTTCATGACGAAACTGCTTAGTGAACACAAGTTCGTGTATTTTTGTTCTACCCTGGTGTGTGAGACCGTGAGTCACCGTTTGTGTAAGTAAAACAATCAAGAATTAATTTTTACTATTCGCGTTTTTATTAAGTTTATTATAATTTGTTGCTGTTTTATTGTAAATATATGTGTACTTGTGTGTTTACATGTGTATGTATGTATGTGTTTTATAATATAAATTTTTTTACAGCATGTCTTATGAAAGCTTCCAGCGTCAGCTTGAAGATCTTCTACAAGAAACAATATTTGATTTTTTTTTTTGAAGGATACCAATTTTGTTCATTTTATAAAAGTTCCTATTGTCGAAAGACTAATTAACATTATTTTCTTGAATTAATATGTGATTTTTTTATTTTTTCTTAATTTTAAAAAATGAATTGCTAAAACATTGTTATTTTTACTGCTCTATTTAAAAATGTCTGTGAGCTTTAATATTGAAATAAAAGAGCTTAAAATGATTAAATATCTTTATTTTATTGTCAAAGTGGATAAATAATAAAAAAAAATATTAACTATTAGTCATACGTTTCGAAAAAACTTCAGTTGAAAACCCCGGTGCGTGAGACCGGCGTCACCATTAATCAAAGTCAAATTAGCGTCACCATTGGCGGGTTAAGTTTGACATTCTGTTTCTAACACCACGAAATATACATTTTAGACCCACAAAGTAAATATATTCTTTATCAGCATAAAATTCTATGATTTAGCGATGTCTGTCCGTCTGTGGAAATTCTCTAGCTTCCGAATGAAATGAAGAAGGTTGATAAAATTTTACTCAAGTGTAGATTATGTCTACAGGACTTTTGGTATTAAAAATTGGCCATATAGGTCCACGGTTTGGTATAGCCCCCATATAATGGTACCTCCCTATATTCGATATTTTGGTGATTGAAGCTACATAATTGACCGGATCTTTTTCAAATTTGGTATTTGAAGTTCGTAACGGATAGTACAGCCTATGACAGAAAATTGTCCGTTGTTGTTGTTGTAGCAGTAGTACATGTATGTGTTAGCGTTCTGCTAATCTGGTTCCAGCTCCAGGTTTAGAAATTCGGCTACTTTAACGGGCTGTAGCCAGAGATCTTCTGGAGTGAGTTGGGTAGGTTTGGCTGAACAATTAAAAAGGTGTAGCGTATTGTGCGGGCCTGTATCGCACGCCGGGCAGACGTCACGCACATCTTCATCAATTCGTGCCCAATACGAATTGAGACGACTACACCATCCTGAACGTAATTGCGCCAAAAAATGTACAAAATTGTCCGTGTAGGTCCACGTCTTCGTATAGCCCCCATATAGGGTATTTTGATGATTTTAGCGGCTTTATTCACCGGAATTGTTTCAAATTTTGTATTTGAAGTTCGTAATGGATACTACAGCCTATGTCTGTGCATGAAAATCATATCTTAGATAAACACGAAACCCACATCTCTATCTAATCATTCAAATTGTGAATCGTCAACAAACGAACAACGCTTGCAAATCATTGAATTTTACTATTAAAACGTGTGCTTTTGTAGGAAAGTTTATCGCGCACATTTTCGATTTAATGGTCAGCTCATTTTTGTACAATGGGTACGTAACCAGGCAGAATTTTCGATTTTGGAGTGAAGATCAGACAGAAGCATTGCACAAGCTACCAATGCGTTAAGGGCTATGTTATGTTTATGTATATGCAAATATGACAACTTTCTTCTGCCTCTTAAGTTTAGTTTTTATACCCTAAGCCATATAGCTAGAGGATATATATCATTTGATACGGCCAAAACGTACCTCATCGAGATGACGGTTTTAGACCCTAGGTCTCCTTGGAATTGTTTCAAATTTTGTATTTGAAGTTCGTAATGGATACTACAGCCTATGTCTGTGCATGAAAATCATATCTTAGATAAACACGAAACCCACATCTCTATCTAATCATTCAAATTGTGATTTCCTATAATTTCAGTTTCTTTTTGCAACTGTGTGCTATGTTGTCATCCTGATACAGTTCCATATGTCGGTTTAAAGAGGCCCAAGAGTTTAAAAAAGAAACCAAGCTAATTTTGGGTTGTGTTTTTTATTTGTTTTTGTTTATTACTACACGTCCATACATAAATAATTAAAAGAATTACAAACTATATGGTAATGTAATAAAATTAATGTAGTTAAAGACTAATAATGAGGGTCTTATGAATTAAAAATTGGCAGTCATAAATGTGGTTGTTTTAATGAAAATGTACAAAGTGATTTGTAAGAAGAAAGCCGTCGTCCGTCCAAAATCTGCAACGAAAAATTGAAAAGAAAAATTTAATAAAAAATGCAAAATTCAATAATTCAATGCTTAATTATTTCACAGAAATCAGCTACAAATTTTATAATCAAATTATATTCATAGTCTAACATATTATGTAGAAACATCATTAAAAGAAAAATATATACAAAAGTGATTTAAATATGATTTAATATTTACCTTTTTTATAAGTTTATAGCTGGACTGGGTATCTCACAAAATGAATAAATGCTAATTAATTAAATCTGCAAATATGAATTAAAATGGCAAATGTTAATTTATTTGTTTAAATTGAAATAGCTTAATTCCTTAGTTTTAAGCTCAGCAATTCAATTTTTAATCAATGTAAATTCTTTAGTCTAACATATTTTGAAAAACATCACAAACATATACTATATAAATGATACAAAAGGAAATGGAGAACATTCTTACCTTTATGTGTTATAAGTAAAATTTCTGGATCCATTGTAAAATATGATCTGTAATAAGATAAAATAGTAACAATTAAAAATTATGTTTTATTCATAGAGCGGCGGATCAATATTTGTATGGTAATAAATTCAGTTAAATATACTCTTCATTAGTTTCAGTAGAACGAAAGTTAATGTAAAGTGTTGTTCATCATAAAAAAAATGCATATTTTCTATTCAAAACGCATGCTTACCTTTTGGAGATTAATGCAATGAAATATGCTTTTTGTTATAAATAAATGACATATCTGCAAAAGAAAAAAAATAGTTGTAATTGTTGTGTATATTTATATCTATTTGTTTATTAAATGTAATTATTTGTAAAATGACAAATGGTGGAAACATAGTCCATTATCCTCAATGTAACACAAGTTTAAAACACAAATTATCAATAATTTATAGTTTTTGTTTGCCAAACTTTAAGATACATGTGCCAATTTTGCTATTTGTAGAATTTACCGGACAAAAATTACAAGCTCTTGTAAAATTGTTTATATTCTTGATCAGCATAAAATTCTATGTTGATTTAGCGATGTCCGTCCGTCTGTGGCAATCACTCTAACTTTCGAACGAAATGAAGTAGGTTGATAAAATGTTACTCAAATGTATATTATGTCTACAGGACTCTTGGTATTCACAATGGGCCATGTAGGGGTCCACTTCTTTGTATAGCGTCCATTTAACGGTACCTCCTTATATTCGGGATTTTGATGACTTTAACGACATTATTCACCTGAATTGTTTCAAATTTAGTATTTGAAGTTCGTAATGGATATTACAGTCTATGACAGAAAATGGTCTGTGCAGGTCCTCGTTTTGGTATAGTCCCCATATAACGGCACCTCCCGATGTTTGCTATTTAGATGATTTCAGCGACATTATTCACCGGAATTGTTTTAAATTTGATATTTGAAGTTTGTAATGAATACTACAACCTATGGCAGAAAATTGTCTGTACAGGTACACGTCTTCGTATAGCCCCCATTAAAATGGCAAACCCAATATTTGGTATAATGAAGATTTTAGCGTAATTATTCACTGTAAGTGTTTCAAATTTGGTATTTGAAGTTCGTAAGGGATACTACAGACTATGCCTGAAAATTGTCTGTGCAGGTCTAATGGTACCTCCCTATATTCAGTATTTTGATAGCTTTAGCTGAATTATTCACCGATTTTTTTAAGTTTCGCCTTTGAATATTGTAATGACTTATGACAAAAGTTGCCTATTTTTAACATTTTAACGGATTTAATTTTTTTTTTTTTTTTGAAAATTGCCAAATTGCCACCATTTGGAACGGTGGAGGGTGGTATTCAAAGTTTGACCCGGCCGAACTTACAACTTTTTTACTTGTTATTTCTAAAAACTAAAAATAATAAGCCTTGTAACGCTGCTAAATCTCAATAATTTACATTTCCCATGAACAGTCCGCAAACAACTTGTGTTACTTTAAGGTGGTATTCTTCGAAAAAAAAAAAAAAAAAAAAAAAAAATCTAGTATTATGATCAGAACAATTATTCTTCATTAGTTCTCAGTAGAACGAAAGTTAATGTATATAGGAAAATCATCATTTAGTTAATATGTAAATTGTTATTTTAAAACAAAAACATTTATGTAAATATACCTCTATAGAACATGGGATGCCCTGGACAAGAGGAATATAGAATAAAGTTACCACCCCATCTGCAAGTAAAAAGAAACATAATTAATAATTGACAAATAAAAAATTCAAATAACTTAACAAAATGCGTATATAAATGACAATTTCAGTTTAAATTAAATTTACACAAATCACAGAACAATTCATAGGTGTCCCAAGGTAAAAATCTTGCTCATCATTTAAATACTTTTACTTAACAATGCAAAGAGCAAACTTACCTTGTTTAAAATATATATGTAAAGGAAGATACGCTGCTCTCCCCCAGTAATGTGTGTGACCTAAAAATAAATAAAAAAAAATAAAACTATTAAAATCTTTGCAAACCAACGTCCAAAATCCATATTCAAATAAAATAAACTATCAGATATTTAACGATTTACACTAATCATTGTTTTTTTCATAGGTGTCCCAAGGTAAATCACAAAGTCATCATTAAATAACGTATCAAATACAAATAAAAATTATGATATACACATACCTTTTTCTCCCTTAGAATGCATAGCGTGTTCTTATGTCTTCCAGTTTCTTGCACACCTGATTTGGTGTACGGAACATATCAGCGGCAATGGTCTTTTGTTTAGCTGGGTCTATAGACAAATACTGTTCACAAAGATCACCATCAATGACATTCTTAACCGGATAATAGGCACTGCGATAACTCAAATGATCACGGCCACATAGTGGTGGATTCTCGTTGCGCATATGCATTTCCAAATGTTGGAAGAAATCGTAATCTTCTCGACTGGTAAATGGCACAAATGCTCCAACCGTACCACTTAATGTTGTGTATATCAAGGCTTCGGACCCTCCAGGTATCAGTGTTGCTTTTTGGAGCGACATGATTATTTCTCCCACATGATAGGTTGAAATATTTTCCGATTTTTGGGATGCACCCGATAAAAGGCCGCGGTCCCAAAGTGACTTGGTACCGGTGGGATCTTCATCAACATCATCCGTAACAGAATGTGGTAATCGCTGGATACACATATTACCAAACTTATCACCAATGGCAATGGTGTCATAATCCAATAGGGTCGTGGACGTTACCCACCGTGGATGGGTATCATCGGCAAATATAATCAATTGATTTTCAGCACGCTTATAACGTATGAAAAACACCGACTCCTGTACATCAGACACATATACACGATGTCCCATAGCTTGTATATTTACTATTTGATATGGTATATGTTTATTTTCGCATTTACGTAACAGCTTCTTTTTGCCATAATCATAGATTCGGAGTATACGTCCACAGCCGGCCAGTAATCTACCTTGGAATGCGCACAGAGCTCCTGGTACCTCATCCAATTCAGTGCGATGCATAAACTCTAACGAAGAACAAGTGGGATCAATTTTGTAGACATCGATAAAGCCGCCGTTTGTTATGCGAGGATTTAACATCAATTCCTTGGCTATGCCCACTGCTAGATAGTAACGACCATCCTGAGTGACGGAAAACTTTAAAATTGTCATCGACATAATGGCCTCATTTTGAGCAAGTGGTATTTTAAACAGGGTTTGACCTTGTATGGGGTCAATAGCTCTAATTTGAGAAGCCCACAGTCCTACACCGGCTTTAGGTGCTGAAAAAATGTCTTCCGGCAACACTTCATTAATGAATGCATTTGCCATTTCATTGGCCAATTCACGTTCTTCATCGCCAGCAGCCATTCGCATTTCTTCGGCCATTTGTTGTTTACGGGCATTTTTGGTCTCTTCCGTATAGGCATTATGATCAGTTTCTGCCACAATCATTCTTCCGGTATCCGGATGTATGGCAAATGCCCTCGGTGTATATTCCAAGCCAAACGAAACTTGATTAAAAACGGCTCCCAATTTCTCCAAAGCCAAAATGCGTAGAGTATTTGTGGAAATGGCCACAATACCCTCACTACATTGCTCACTTGAAAATCCTGAAGCATATTCTAAGGTTTCATAGGACAATGGCGTCAAATGGAAACGATTTTGATAGTAATATGAGAGCCATGAACGGCTGGACATGGCCAATACAGCCTCTGAACCCTGCATACGTATACGGAAAAGTTTCACTGGCCTTGAACCCAAGTATCGTGTTCGTGTGTCAGCCAAATCACCAGACACTGGATCTAATACGGTACGCAATAAGACACCATTGCTTAGACCAATATTCAGATATATTGTGCCTTTGGTCGATACATTTCCTCGTTCACTTGGTTCGTCATTGGTGTTGGTCGAACTTTCCGTATGACCCATTTCAACGAGACACAGAGATTCAGCAGGTGATGGCAGAGCTTGCATAGAGCAAGGTGTTAGGCAATCGTTGGGATCCAGTGAAATAATGCGTACGGTATTATCGGCTAATCCGACGGCCAAGAACCATGATCTCTGTTCACCTTCAGGAACAGTGCCCAAGGCCATGCACATAATTTCGGCAGGCATTTCGGAACGTTCCGTATATTCATTCAGTTCACCAGTCTGAAAGGAAGAAATCGTAATAAAAATTTAGTACTTTTCTATGACACAAAACAACTTGATCATGTCATAAATATGACTCAGTACTGCAGGACACAAAGTGCCTCAACATGATTGTTCTTTTTCGTGATTTATCATCATTGTCAAATATGTGCTTCTACCTACTCTAGCCTTGTTTTAATTTAAATACAATTCAACTTCAAATGTTCACATTTTTTGTGAATTTGAGAACTAGAACAAGACTAGAGTAAATCAAAATAAAAAGCGAAATATTTTTTATGTAAACTTACCGCATCCATTTCAAAATAGACCAATTCACGTCCCGACAACGTTATCACAACTTGACGTTGGTTTACAGCACATTTGGTAATCGACTTCTTGCCGGGTGCTCGCCATTCGTTGACACGTTTATCGGAACGTATGTGACGTATACCATCGGGATATACCTGCACTAGAGCATCTTCTCCCAACGAAGCACAGCACAGTGTTGGTGTTGTACCCAAAAAACCACTGTCCGTAACTTCCTCCACAGTTTCACCAATACTCAAGACCAGTGTTGCATTAACGAAAGACACAATAATGTATGCATCGAATTCATCTACGGGGAAATAAAAGAACACCGAAGAAAAATGCATTACATAGCTGTATTTGATTAGAAAATATCTAAATGTGCCATGAACAATATTTATTTTGTAAGATGTCAGTTATCAAGAGTTATAATCAAATTAATTCAGCTGAAACACGGTTGATAAAATCACATCATATCTTACAAAATAAAATTGAATTAAGAAAACTTGTTTCTTAGTCGGGTGTAGTGGTAGTATCTGTTCTGTTTTTATAAAATGTTCAAGCTTAATCTGATATGTTAAATTAGTTTATAACAATGTTGCCTCTTACCTATATTTGAGTAACTGGGTCATTTTATTATTTCAACAATATTGATATAGAAGAAAGGAGAATTGTGTGGTGTTGGGAAGAAGTTTTGTGTGCAACAAACAACAAACACTACACTCTTGTGCATCTGTGTGTGTGTTTCAATTTGGGTTTTGTTGTTTATCCTTTTTATTTTGGATAATTTCAAACAAATCTCAAAAACCACTCGTCAGGGTTTCAGCACACAAGAGGAGTTCAAGAGCCTGAAACAATAAAAAGAACTGGTGTTTGATTCCACTTTGCACAATTTTTTTATCTTTTGTTCTTCAATATGGAAGTCCAGTTGGTATCACATGATATCATTGGTTCCATTTCAAATTCACCAGTTATTTGTTATAAAAATTCGTCTCAAGGATGAAGGAAATAAAAGTGTTACACCAAACCAAAGTGTACACCAAATATAGGCTCAAAATGCAAATATTTTGAAATAAGATGTATTTACATTCCAAATTATCTGCACTTATCCAAAAGTAAAATAGAAATAAATAAATCAAGAATGCTTGTTTTTTTTCTTACTCACCATCAATGCGTTTCTTAACTGTCCATACAGCATTTGGATTGCCTGGTAGTTCAGAAACGGCCATTTCCGACACTTCCAAACCATGACGCAAGACACGCAATGATGAACGTGGTCCTCGGCCACATAAAACATATAACTGAGGAGTATCTTCATTTGCCAAGTCAGCAACATGTGAGGAAATGATGGGTGAAAATGACGGCATTTCATCGACCATTATAAGATTTTTCAGAGGCCGTGGTGCAAAGAAGAATGTCTCTCCTTCTTCCAAAGGCATGGCAGAGCTAAACTCAGGCTCATCATCATCGTCACCCAAGTGAGCAATTTGATATAAATAACTATAATTTGTAAACGAAAATGGAATTTAGTACAATGAGCTGGTTTTGTTTAATAAATACGAAAACTTACTGGTTTCCAAACTCGCAAGCCACAAACAGAAAACCGGTTTTCAAAACGCACATTGACACAGCTGGTGGTACCGTATCGAAATATTTAAGTTTGATCTCAGACACCACGTCATCATCGGTTTCCAAGGTAACCTTAAAGATATCACCCTGTTCGGTTTGTACCAAGAAGAAATACATGCTCTTGGTACGATGGGTGGCTGAACATATGAAAATCATGCCACGTTCTGGGTCATCTAAATCATTGCGGCGACGAGGTATAGGACAACGAATATCATGTTGATCACCCAAATTTTTATAGGTCAAATAATTTTCCGAACAAATAAGAACTCCTGATGGGCCATCATTGCCACCGGGAACAGAAATTAGGAAATTGGCATGTTCTTCCAATGGTTCGGAATATTTTCGAACAACATGATTCAAACCCAAGTCTAATTCGTAGAAAGTTAGGGTTTGCTGGGTACGCTCCGCTGCTTCGCCTAAAAGAAATAAACAAGAAAACAATGTTTGAAATATAATTCAATCTGCAGGCATTGGACATTTTTTAATTCTAACTGAAAACATTGTTAGCCACCAATCAGTGAAGTATTTGCAAAAGTATACAATACAAATACCAATGGTTCAGAGGCCATAATTTTTATATTGCACTCAGCCAAAGCCAATTATCCGGTGGAGATCCGAAAAACGGGCATGTCTAAAGAGTGCATATATTACTTAACATTTTAAAATAAGAGTTATCTATCTTACCTGTTGGATCATTATCGGCTTCTTCATAATCAATTTCCAAACAAGCAAACATCGGGTTATCGAACCCCACATCAACGCCGACCATGTGATATGTGAATGTATTCGACTTGTGAGCCTCCAAGGGGGAGGAAATTGTCAAACGTGCTTGAGCATCTCTGTTCAAAATGTATGCAAGTTTTTGTTTTTCAACTGCCCCAATCATTACAGCACGACCCTTGGGATCAATGGCTAGATACTGGCCAGGGACTATGCGACGACATCCCGATTTACCAAATGTCTCCTGATGGACTTTGTCCAAACAGTTTTTAGTGGGATTATATTCCAAGATGACAATACGCCCAGAATCTGAACCGAACACAATATAGTCTACAATAAAATTGAGATTTATATGGTAACTAAGATTAATGTTGAGATAGTGAACTACATTTTCGAAATTAACACAAAGAACTGTACCTCAGAGTTTCAGTTCGATATGATATGAATGATCACATCAAATGCGACGCCAAGATTTATCTAATTTTTATAGCACTTAGTCGTTTTAAAGATGACTTATTGTGATTTCGAAATATCAGACTCGAAATCTCAATAGGGATTTGTGCAAATACATCCATATTAAAAATCAAAAATAAGTACCTTTATTGCCTCCAGTTAAACGAAAAGCCATCAAAGATCTAATGCAACCAAATACTTCGGTAGACAAAATCGTATGTACTTTGCCGGTATTCGAATCTGGCCTAACCAATTCCAATGATTTGCCACGTGACACGATTACCTCCTGCTGTTTGCCACCCGAAAAGTTGCCGTGGACAGCATGTGTGATGCCCGTGGCCTTTTGTAAGGTTAAATTGTATAAATACATATTTGTCCTACAACAATAATTATGGAAAAACACATTAGGAAACAATGTTCAAGAAAGTGAGGTTATCTTATATTCTAACTACTATGTTTTAATTTATCCTGCTCTCGTAATTCCATGGTGATAGTATTGTAAATGCAGTATCACCAAACGATGCAAATGAACAGAATTTTACTATTGCACGTCAAAAAATGCGACCAAAGCGTAGTTTAATGTTCTACGACCCTGGAGATACATCGTGCGAATTTTGACAAATAATTAAGTAAATACCAGCGAAATACTTTTCTACTATATGATTCAATTACCTTTATCCTATTTTAAATACGCAGTGACAAAAAATTGGAAGGATGTTTGTAGATTAAAGTCAATTTTTTTCTCAAATTTGGGACCGACTGTACAAATGCCATGCGCTTAATAAAACGCTACGCCATTTTGTAACTCGAGTCCAAAAACGTTCAATATTATCCAGCTCGAAGTTTCCACACTGCCGGCTAAATTAAAAATGAAAGAATGTTCAATCAGGGATACGTAAGTCGACTTTCGATTAATTGATTGTCGTTATTGAAAAGCAGTGTTGCCAGTAGTGAGGATTTTTTCAGAAAAAAGGTAATTTTTAAAGGCAGAAAAAAATTCAAAAGTAGCATGTAGATTCTTGCAGGTTCTGGAACAGAGTAAACAATTTCACAATTTTTCTGTCACGCAAATGTCAGATACCATACTAATTTGACGTTTATAGTTACGCTACACAGCAATGGTACAAACATGGTATAATTGATTGTAAAATAAATACGTGTGTAACAAATAAAATATGTTTTTAAATTGTTCTTTGCGAAATGACATTCTTTTTATCTTTAAATAGTTATTTCGTTGCAACATGCCCACACATAAATTGTAAAACGCTTTATTATTCCTATTGGATATGTGTGTATTTTTTAAAGAACACTCATCTAATTCAAAAGAGTACACAAACATCATTTAAGTTGATTCAATGAAAATAAAAAAGGGTGGGAGATTGGGAATGGCAACACAGTTAAAAGTCTACAAATCGACTATCCGAAATATCGATTAATTGTATGCATGAATTACATACGAACTGCAACCAACTTAATCTATTTCCGGTTGTATTTCTACCACGGTAGAAGAATACAGTTACACTGCCTTTACACGGTGCAATTTTTAGCTGGCATTTTTATCAATTCTCTTTTAAAATTTCTGCGTAAACCTTCGCGCCTTTACACGGTGGCATTTTACGATAATAGTGCTTGGCATTTTTTCTGACATTTTATTTTATTCATTATTTCGTATAGAGCTAATTGTTTGTAACAGATATTTATAAAGAAGTGATTTAAAATTAAATGTGTGAATCTAAAGAAGAAATGATGGAAAAAGTTATTGAGGTGTTAAATATTGCATTATTAACTTTTATTTTAACTTTCTTTTTTTACTTTTTAATACTTCCAATTAATTTTCATATAATTCAATCACTAAAAACATCACATCACAATAAAAGAAACGCATCAAAAATTACAATAAAGAAACGATATGAAATGTCAAAATCATAAAAAATTCGGAAGAAGCAAAAAGAGAAATGCAAAGAAAATGGCATGTAACCCTGTGCGGTGGCTTATCGTGCCATTTTTTCTTCTATCCTTGTCTCTCTACACCTTTTACCAACAATAAAAAATGGCATGGTTAAAAAATGTCACCGTGTAAAGGCAGTGTTAGATGCATCAACACTTGGAAACATTGATATGTCAACATTTTAAGATGTTTTTTTTTTTTTTCAAAATAAGTAGAATTTTGTATGTTTTCTTATACGATTACAATTGGAGGTTGTTATGATATGAATTTTTCAACAATTTTTAAAAAATTAAATTATTTTTTATTCAAAAATTTCAATTCCAAAATTGGTTTGACAATTCAATGTGTCGCTATGTTAATTCCGCCCATTTTCGATCTGGAAAGACCTACTTTTCTTCGAGAGTAAAGGAGAATGAAATACATCTCTCCACTCGGTGTTTGTCATTCCCAGCAACAACTCTTCGAAGGAAATAAAACTGCCTATTTCTATGTTAATTCCGCCCATTTTTGATCTAGAAAGACCTACTTTTCTTCGAGGGTGAAGGAGAATGAAATACATTCCTTCACTCGTTCTTCCTCTTCCATTGGAAATTATTTTGCATAAAAAACCGAGACCCTAGGATACGCAGACCAGATATTACACATCAGTGTCTATCAAGGACATCAATTTACTTATTGAAATACATTCCCAGACAACAAGGTTTAAAATATTTGCCGGTTTAATCATAGACAAATGAAAATATAGACAACGAAATGCTCTCACCGTTTATCTTCGAAAAAAATCGAATCAGCAGATGTCGTCTATATCGTTTCAGCGGTTTGAGTGGGAATATTGAAATCACTCAATTCTAAAACGTTAAAAATAACAAAAACTGTAGGATGTTTGTCAGTTGGAAATTGTTCCATAATAAAATAAATATGAAAATTACGTGATGACATCAAAAAATTCCGGAATAATCAGTGAAATTCTTGAAAAACGATAAAATGTGTTTCCGAAGTCGAGCATAGACAAATGAAAATATAGACAACGAAAAGTTAGTTTTGTCTTTTTTTTCCAGGTGGCTCTAATCTTGTTTTGCATAGTCAACATGCTGATTTACGCGTTCAAGCCACTCGACTTCGAAAACACATTTTATCGTTTTTCAAGAATTTCACTGGAATATTCCTATATTTTTCGATGTCATCACGTACTTTTCACATTTCTTTTATTATGAAATAATTTTCAACCGGCAAATATGCTACAGTTTTTGTTATTTTTAACGTTTTAGAATTGAGTGACTTCAATATTCCCACTCAAACCCCTGAAACGATATGAACGACATCTGCTGATTCGATTTTTTTCGAAGATAAACGGTGAGAGCATTTCGTTGTCTATATTTTCATTTGTCTATGAGTCGAGTGGGTTGAACGCGTAAATCAGCATGTTGACTATGCAAAATATGATGAGAGCCACCTGGATAAAAAGACAAAACTAACTTTTCGTTGTCTATACTTTCATTTGTCTATGTTATCTCCTCTTTCGTAAACTCGCCTATTTTGTTCTCTGTTTATTTTTTTATACCGGCATTCTCTCTATCATATGGGACATATTTATCTGTGTGCAAACTCATTCAGTTTCATTCAGTGAATATTTCCATTAAACTACTCCACTCGACACGTGTATTTTGCATTATAATAATAATAAAATATTAGTTAATAACAAATTATGAGTGGACCACCAGCCAAAAAGCAAAGATTTCAAAACAAGAAGAAATTCTATCAGCCTAGTAAAAAACAGTATCTGGAAGTTGGACACAAGGGCTTTTTGGCAACATGTAACTTTAACGAAAAGGATTGTGTGAGAGAATGTTACAACATTCTGAACCAATATGCTGATGAATTGTATGGAGAGGAATCGTTTGAGGAGTTGAAGGCGAATGATCAAGTACAGGAAGATGCTAAATCGGAACAAGCCGAATCCGATGATATTGCAGATGCACTACAAAAACAAATTGATGCCACACAGCAAAAGGCCAAACAGACCAAAAGACGTTTTCAAGTTGTTGATACAGGTGCAACGAACTGTGTTTTTATAAAAACAACATTAGCGGATCCCACAGCTATGACAAAACATATCGTTAAGGATATAGCAGAAACTAAAAAGCAAAAGACTCGATATCTGTTGCGCCTATTACCCGTTGAAATTGTTTGCAAGGCCAATAACAAGGATATTGTCGATAGTGCCGGTCAATTATGCGACAAATATTTCCTCAATGAGCCAACAACGTTCTCCATAGTATTCAATAAACGTTTTAACAACGACATCAGTAGAGATACGTTAATCAAAGAATTGGCAGATATCATACATGCGAAAAATGTGAAGCATAAGGTTGATTTGAAATATGCCAAAAAGTCACTTATCGTGGAAGTTATCAAAGGTCTTTGCTGTCTAGCAGTGGCAGAAGATTATATGGGCATGAAGAAATACAATTTAGTTGAATTGGGTAGACATATTGCAGACTATGATGGAAAATCAGATAAATTGCCATCGAAAGAGTCCAATGAAGACAAAAAAGAAGTGGAGGAAAAGAGTGGTAGTGATTCAAAAGTTGACAACATAAAAGAGAGTTGTGATGAAACAAAAGATGAATCTGAAAATAAAAACTAGTTTAATAAAATGAAATACCTACTGTTGATGTGTTTAAATAATATATAAATTGTAAAAGTACATAAAAGTTTAATCTTCAGTTTAAAGCTGATTGGGTCCACATTTTTTTCTTTGCCTTTTTATTTAAACACTTTTTCACATGGTTTTGTTAACTTAAAAAAATACATTTGTATTGTTCAATCAATAAATATGCACCTGACTCCATAATGTTAAAATAATAGCCATAACTTAAACATTATTAAAATAAAAATAATTAGTGGATAATACCATGGAATTTACAACATTCCAAGTCGCACAATTGACTACCAACACTTTAAAAAAAGGAATTTACTCCAAATTATATAAATATGTTTTGGTAAATTATTTCGTTGGAGTCTTTTTCAAGAGCAAAAATACTGTATTATTAATTTTTTCATAGGCCATAAACATTAATGCCGCTGTTAACACAGTTTGCAGTATCTTTGCCTCCATGCCACGGAAGAGTCCTTTTACACCTTGATGCTGGAATATATCCAACATCATTTTAATAACGCCAACATCTTTTTGTGCCGCAGCCTGCTTGGATGTACTTGCCCCATTTTGTTCTTTCGTTCGGTGCCTTTGCTTAGTTTGAACCAATTGCAGAGGATATGTCATGACAGTGGCAAACGCTTTCGCTATCGCTCCAATAACAAAATATCCCAGGCTGGATATTTCACTACTTCTGTTGTATTTTATGTAATTACGTTTCAGCAATTCATACATCATAAATTGCAGTGATGGATTGGAGACTAGAATTAATGACGGTATTGTTCCAGACCAGAGGCCCTTAACACCCTCCGTTTTGGCAACATAACGTAGGCCAGACAGAAGGGATTTATAATATTTATTAACTTCATCTGATGTACCGGCAACATCGCGCATACGCAGTCTAGTATTTACAACCCAAAAGGGTGTTGTGCTAAAGACGTTGATGATACCAGCTACGGCACCCAGCATCAAATCTTTAAAAGCATTCTGTTGTTTTTTATCACCACCACTGCTTATCGCTTTAAGACAGTGAAATGCATAAAAATAAACAAAATTAGAAATGCATAAACTTTGCAATACGGGACCAAGACCACGGTATAATGATTGGAATCCTTCCCCTAGCACGATCTCCTTGATTACTTGCATGGTGCTTCGAGCTTCGCCATTCTTTTCGGGATCTTCAACTGAAAATAAATATTAAATTATAATTAAATAAAAAAAGTAACAAAACTTTGAAAAAATCTCGTCCATATCTACTATTCGCCCTTTATTAATATGCTTTAAGTAGAGGTAATGAAATGCTAAAATACAGCCAATAGTATCAGTCAGCTTATTGAAGAAACTACATTGTACCACGCCAAAACATGGACATTTTTCATTATTTCGCAAAGATGGTTTCAACCTCTTAAGAAATCGAAATACAAATTTATAACAAACCCATTGTGAATAGAAGTACCTCTATCAATCAAACCCTTCTATCTTTTATAGTCCGACATACGATATTTATCCATTATTTTTCCGTCTTCTGCCAATATAACTCCTGGCTTGTATTTATACATGGATTTCTTCCGTCTTCTATCAATATAACTCCTTGATTGTATCTATTGACTTTTCATTTCTCCCCATTCCTTTGTATGAAAAAGACCTATTTATGGATTTATCTCTTTTTTAACTTGCATTTTGAACTTTAGACTTTCCCAAAATGCCGTATAGGCGTAAGCCTTATCTCCTTGACGTCAAAGTTCGATTTGGTTTAAATGAATATTAACAAAAAGTGCATGTTGTGGAGAAATATTGTAATACACGTATTCAATAATGGAATATAACTTCGATAACAAACCATTAAAGGCAACTTTAATTGCAACAGCATTTTTTGGCTTAAATTTTTAATATGGTTACACACATGAGAAATGTGTGGGATACTTTCCTTTAACAAAGCTTAAATGTTTGCTTTTTACGTATTGATTCAACTAATCAATTAGCAAATATTTAACATATGTAAATATATATATAATAAGAGGGACTTACGTTGCAATCTGGAACGAACTGTGTCCAATGGATAAAATGTTGACATTGCTATACATCCGCCCTGGAATGGAAAGCATTTTGAACAATAATTGTCATCATAAAACCAAAATTCATATGCATACTACTTACAGCGGCGCCAGACATGGCATGTACCCATGAATCGTATGTGAATACTTGACTTAATTTCGATGCAGCCACCATTTTTTATATAGTATGTATTTGGGCGTTGTTAAAATTTTCCAAATGTAAATATTTTCTTACAATTTATTTTTCACAGAACGACCTTTAAACCCTTTTTCCAAATACACTTCATTTACTGTTCTGTGATCGAATGGCGAATACATCCAATGGAATAGATTTGTTTAGCCTCAAATTCTAATCGTTGACCCCAGCTGATTATATATTGATTAGATAGATATGAAAAAAAGTTAGAGGGTTGATTCCTTTCCGATACCGGCTTCTTCAACTTCTCGCGTCCTACTATGCCGCAACCAACTAATTTTTAACATGACATTGTATTTATGTTAATTTACGTTCTTTTGTGATGATGTCTGTTGGGCTTTTGCTCGTCGTGTTGTGTTTTACATTTGATTTTTATTTATTTGTAAATCTAGTAAACAATGCAAATTAAAGTAATTGTAAATGAAGAGAGAGAGAGAGAGAGAGAAGGAGAGAACGCGAGTTGGATTTCTTTCAACAGAATTCTTTCAATTAGAATTGTTTCATTGTTTCACCAGGCATATTTACTGCGTAATTTGTAAAAAATGTTTAAAAAATATTACTTTATTTTAACTATTAACAATATTTGCACAGAAAACTAAGTAATTATTCTTTTTGCCTCTCTGCTGCTTTTGCTTTGTGCAGGGTATGTTCAGTGTGTGGTTCAATGTACATAGTTGTATTAGAATAGTAGTAGAAAATTTGCAAATAACCCCTTTTCGCCGTTTAGCACAGCAACCATTATGAACAGTGTTTTAAGACTTACTATTGCCGAATTTAGTAGAAACATCAGATGAAATGGGATTTACATATGTGCCGTCTTCTTTGGTAACACTGTAATTATACTGAATTTTTAAGAAATTACAGAACTTTTTACCGTAAATTTAAATTTATATACAACACAACACTTTTGATTAAATTATATTTTTACGAAGAAAATAGGCCACGCTGATATCGGCAATACATTTAGAGGGGTTAAAATGGACCAAAAACACAAATTTGTTTCTGATTTTGCAAGAGATTTACAGGCTGAGATGAAAAATCTGCAACCAACTTCAGACTGCTGTCATTTCTATGCAACTCGTCCGACAGCTGTTAAAATTATTCCAGTGACAGCTCATTATATTGTTTACAAGCGTTCAAAAGCCTTTTGGTGAGAATTTTACAGAAAAAAGCTATTCGTGATGGAATCCAAGCGTGATGGTGTGATTTCTTTATATTTGGCTGGAAAACCACAAGTGGCTATAGTTAGAACACTCCAACATTTAAATGTGAATAAATCTTTTGTGTCTCGTACCATCGCTCGTTACCGTGATACTGGTAGCGAAACCCGACGTCAAGGAAGTCGACGGAAGAAAACAGCAACATCAGCAGAAATGGCTCGGAAAGTAAAGTAGCGACTTGATCGAAACCCACGTCGCAGTGGTCCAAAAATGGCTCGTGAGCTGAACATATCGCAACATTCCATTCGGCAAATATTGAAAAATAAGCTCTGCGTAAAGCCATTGAAATTCCAAAAAGTGCAAGAACTTACACCGCAGCAGAAAGAAAATAGACTCAAAAGAGCTGAAAGTTGCTAAAAATTATAGCGTTTGACTTTGTTGCGGTTTCTTTATCTCACCCTGTACAGCCCCAAAATTGTAGACTAATTGACGTAAAGTTTTGCTTTCAATTGCAAATGTTTTAAAACTAAAAGTCAATTCCCGGTGAAATCATAAACTCATGAAAAAATCTTAACATTGAATGTGATTTTTCAAAAAAAAAAAAAAAAAACTAAAATTACCCAGAAATCCGGGGTTCAAGATCCGGATCCACTTACCCAATATAAACAATGTAGGTATCGCTTATGAAAATACCTATCCAACAAGTGGTCACTTAATTTTTATAGACCCAATTTTATAGACCCTGATTTTACCAAAATGATAAAATTTGTGCTAATACCTTTTCTGGGTCCAGAGATATTCTCTTCTGGGTATGTTCAACCGGCTACGCGAACTGAAGTTTTCTAAATTGAACAGTTGTTGTAAGTAGCCGGCCTTCGGCGGTCATGCGACGACTTGTTGGATAGGTATAAGTTTTCAAACGATACCTATATTTCCTAAATCGGGTAAGTGGATCGGGGAAATCAATTTCCCGGAATCAGGGTAAAAATAACTACCCCTGGAAAAAATTTCGAAAAAATCAAAGAGTTTTTATTAAACTGGAGTTGTTCCAATTGGCCACAGCATTGAGGTTTTTAGTGCTAGGATCTTATTGGATCAGATTCGGAAATGACTTCAATATTTCCAAATTGTTTTGCTGTTGTTATTTTCATGGTCAAATATCAAATACAAATTTGTTTAAATATCAACATTGACTAAAAAATACAATGTTGTCACAATTTTTTACGGCGACAGTTATTCTCTAAAAACGACTTCACGTCGACTGTTATATCGACAATGATAATAGCAATCATTCATCGCCATCGACAAAAAACGACAACGACCTTATTACCATTATTATCGCCTCGACTTCATTTTGCGACAAGGACTGCAACGGTAATAGGGCCGATTAGCACGGTAGAGGAAAATCGTATTTGGACAGTGTATTGACAAAAACGCTGAACACTTCCCTTTTTCGACCTTTTTTTTGACGCAATCCTATTTTTTTTTGCACTTCATTTGATCCAGTATTCTAGGGTTCATTTTAAATGTTATGTTTTACTCATTCCAATTTTATAATTCAAAATTTAGTATTACTTTGTTTCCAACGGTTTAAATGTACACCAAAACAAAAATACCCAAACACAGAGAATACAGAGAATAGAATTTTTAATTGAATATATTGAAACTTGCAGTATCCGTTTGTTTAGTTTATTATTTATACGTTCTTTTTCATTGTATGCTATTATTAATATTATTTAGTTTTTGTTGTTTATCAGATAAAATATGTACAAAACTTATAATCTAAACTTATAAATATGTAATTTTTTTGTTTGTTTGTTATTTAAAACAAATTGTATGCATTCATTCTTTTTTCTGGTTATTTTAAATTCAAAAGAAATTATTTTCATTAATTGTTTCTTTTCATTCTTATTAGTTTTTCTCTTCTCTGGCTAAATATAGGAAATTCACAATAAAGTGTGATTGTTTTTAATATAAAATAATTGCATATATGTTTAAATAAAAAACATATTTTTTGTAAGTTTATTTGTTTCATTTTCTGTTTTACTAATATAATATATAAATGTTTATTGTGAATCAAAATAAAAAAGTGGTTCTGTGATTTTCATAATTGATAAAAATGTTTTTTTTTCCAAAATAGGAGTTTCTATGGGAGATAACTTATGTGAAAAAAGTGAATAACATGGATCATAAAAACTTTGCATATCGTTTTTATTGTATAGAACTGTAGCTAAGTACAACAAAAAAAGCTACAAATTGCAATGGTGAACTATCAAATAAAAATGTGTGGAGAAATTCATGCCTTGTGGCACATAACAAAATCAAATGGGGAATAATTAAAAGCAAAAAAAATCTAACTAAATATAAAAAAACAACAATTTTTTAATAAAAACTTATAATAGATTGGTTTCAATGAAAAAACGCAAGCCGAAAACAGTAACTAGATATAGCTATACACAATACATTAATCATTATTATGTGTTATTGGCATCTCTTGCACTGCTTTGCTTCGACGTCGTGTCCATTTAATTTTTAAGACACTTTTTGAAATTCTTAGCAATGGATTCCATTCTTTTTTTCTTTTTCTCATCATATAGTCCGAAAATACAATAATCATTTTTATTTTATTTTACTAAAAACATTTGAAATTACGTTAGCATACTTATCAATTAGTTTTTATTTGTATGGGGATAAACAATCTGGTTGGTTAAGAATCATTGCGTCTATGTGTATTGTTAGAATTATAGCCACCACCAGTACTAATCATATTCTTGCGGACAAACTTATGTGGAAATCTCTGAAATTTGAATTTATTGCGATGGAAGTTCTGTCGAAAGCCACCGCCGCTTCCACCCGTATGATGATAACGTTTCCAGCGCTTTTGATTTTCTTGCTCCTGGAATGGATTGTAGCCTGGCGTAGGGGCATTGGCATAAGGATCCCTAGGCGCTTTAACCTTTTTCTGACGACCCCGATCCATTTCGTTTTCTTCATCGTCCTCCCAATCACGTTGACGTTGTTCTCGTGCATCAGTTATTATCTGGAATGGAATAAAAGACAAAACATGGTGGTTTGTGTTTCGGAATCAGGAGGCAAAAAGTAATATTTGTTGTTCTGGGCCGGTTGCTGTGCTCGCCGGAGTCAACCTGGACGAAGATATTCACGTTCTTTTTTGGCATATTTCAAAGGTAGTTTTAGTTTGGGACTAAGGCTATTACACATTTAGATGTTTGGCGTACTATAATTGTTATGAACGAATAAAAAATTATCTGTTCCGCATCTCTGTCGAAAGTAAATATATACACATTTCACTTTTAAAATGTGAGGTTTTGCGTATTGAAGCTGGGTAAAACATCATTCCAAGAGTTTTAACATAGCAAAAGAATGGAATTTGTATTACTACAAAAAGTTCATTTTAGGTTTGAAGCAAATTACAAAAAAAAAAAAAAAAATGAACAACACGATACCATTGTTATTTTTGATGTAAATGTAGGCGCAGCTTCTTTGTAGGACTATTCGCCAGAGTAGGGAACATTTCCAAAATGTAAATCCTTCATTTCTCATTTTAAATTTTAGGAGATAAATAAATACATTTTATTTTCTTATTAAACTACAACACTGAAAATAAACTTTTTTCAAGAATACTATAGTTGCAATTTTTTTTCCAAAAATTCAGAACGTTCGTAGTCTCCATGAAATGTAGAATGTCCCAGCACAATTAAGTAAAAGAACAAATTGAAACAGCTTTGCACTAGATGAGTGGGGAGAATATGATTCATTCCAACATAATCCTGACAACCTTCATGTTTTCAGGGGAAGCTATTACATTTATCCATAGCTCAGGTATTTCCACATCTTAAGTCACATTAAAGTATTGAGGGAGAGTAGTCCTCACCAATGTGAAGTTGGAGTTGATCCATTAAGACATGAATATCGCAGGATTTTCTTCACTCTCTAAAAGGATAGCATGATATAAAGGATGATCAGCAACTCAGGTATCGAATAGAGTTCCATGTACCGATGGATTTTGTGGATGGTTAATTTTTACAAAAGTATATCTGATGCATAAAGCTTTAGTCCATTAATTACATTATGACTGGTCAGGGATAGATAAATCCAACAAAGACTGAATTGTGTACTATTCCCCCGGAAGCATGAGTTCTCCAATTTCTCTATCATAGCCTCCATTAAATGTAGAATGACCCAGCGTAATTCATTCCAACATTATCCTGACAACCTCTTCATGGGTATAGGGGGAGCTATAAAATGTATCCATAGCTCAGGTATTTCCACATCTTAAATCACACGGAAGTTTTGAGGAAAGTTTATTGGTAGTCCTCACAAATGTGAAGTTGGAGTCGATCCATAAAGATATGAATATCCCAGGATTTTCTTCACAACCTTCATTGCCTTAATGGATGGCATGATATAAAGGATGATCAGCAACTCAGGTATCGGAGAGAGTTCCATATACCAAGAAGAGAGTTCTTCATTCTCCTCAATCGTAGCTTATATCCAATTTCTAGCTATCGTTGCCAAAAAAATTCTCTGAAAACAAACGATCTTGGTGTGATCCAGGACGAATGTTTTAACTGAACACGGAACGGGTCTTATAACTTTCTGCTCCCAAAAGATGTAGGAAAAAGAGGTGGACTCAGGCGGTGGGAATATTTTCACTTGTGTCCAAGTTAAACACCACACAGTGCTACAATTGGAAACTTATTTGCAAACAAACTCTCATGGTACACTCCAGGACTAATGTTTTAGCTGGAGGAGGAATGCTGAGTAGGTTCTTATAGCTCTCTGCACCTGAAAGAACTCCTGGTCTATATTCAAGAATTGAATCAAATCTAATACAATTTTAATGATGTATGGGGTTTGTGATACTTTGTAGATATAATCCGTAATCGAACAAGATCTAGGGACAAATTCTTGCATTCGATATTGAACAAATTTCAATTGAAATTCATTTTTGTGTGCTTATTTTAGATTGTTTTAAATAAAGGCTTAAATTTACATACTCAAATTCTTTTTGATCGAGATTTTTTCGATATCGATTGAAAGAATTTGTCCCCAATTATTGCCACAAAAAGAGCGGTGTGACTGCCTCCTTCTTCCCGAGTTGGGATCACACAAAATCAAATTGATTAAAATCAATTTAGTCCAAACGTATATTGGTTTTGAGAACGACAATTAAATGTTCTTTTTTACCATCGAATGTCATACAAATAGGTTACAGTTTTTAAAACTTTGACACCATGGGAAGACATGCACGGCGACTTATTTTGCTGCTCCGTTTCAGAAAATATATTTAAAAATGATAATTTAAATGACCAATATTTGTTGAATTTCTTCTATTGGAAAGCAATAATCTCGAACATATATATTTCTTATAATTATAACATAGATAAAATATCTATATACATAATATGTATTTGCGTGAGTGAAACTCCTTTTTGTTTGCGTTATTTACATATAAATTACATTTACATACTTCATTTATTGTTACAGATTCTTATTCTCTTTTTTTCATTTTCATTTACATTGTCAGCAATTAAATTAATTATAAATAAGTCATATACGAATACTATGATATAATATGCTAAATAACTAAAAACTAAAACTAAAGGTATATTAAAAAATAATAAAATAATTTAAATTAGCTATAATTAAACTTTTCGTCCATTAGAATGGGGTTTTTAGATTTAGATTTTCGTCTGTCTGATTCGAAATAGAGCGAAAACAATAATATGCATCACAGATCTCCGGGCAACAAGGCTTCTAGAGATGGTTGGAATGCTGCTAGTGCTAGGATTCAAAACATTTGTGAGCTGTATTGGCTATGGGCGGAGGACTCCTCTCTTATACTTTAGTATCGATTAAAACTAATGTTAATACAATTTTGTATATATAATTTACAATAACAAAAAGGATTTATGATTTATGTGCCCCTATTTGTTGGCTGTTTGATTTTTTGCAACACTTGTAGTGCTTTTTATAATTATGCTCATAGTTATCATTTAGTTGTGTGAAAAAATATGTTTAAAACAAAAGAATGGGGATTTCTACTGGCTCCTTGTTGGCCAAAAAAGAAAATAAAAAAGTTATAACAATTCTTAACAGCAGTTTATGTGAATGAATTATTTCGCATATTTTTTGTTTGTTTGAATATAAAAACTTACAAATAAGAACAAAACACAGGAGGAGTAAGAAGAAGAAGGCTGATTATTAATAATCATCTCTGGCTTGTGGAGCCTTAAATGGTTTTCGTAATATACAACATAGCAGCACCATCATAAAATCATTAGGAAACACATATGTTTCATCATATATTCCTGTTATAGTTTATCCATTGAGTCCTCAGAAATCTGGAATATTATGTCATTGATTGTTGTGGCTAGAGTGGGAGTGGTGGGCTCATTATCCGTTGAATTTGGCGACAGACAATAGGTGTTTATAACTGTGGTGGCGGTGGTTGCTGAACTACAAGAGTCTAGGTTATTTTGCTCTTCACCAGCAATTGCGGTTGTTGTTGGAGCTTCTGTTGCATTCGCTACTGCTGCTGGTGGTGGTGATGATGACTCATCCTTTAAAGTATTGTTATCATCCTCCTTTGTCGATTCTGAACAATTTTCTGGCAGAGGTAGGCAGTTTTTATCGTTTATATTTTTAAGGTCAATGCGAAGAGCTGGTTGCACTTTTCCACATCTTCCACTTGTACTAGTAGCTGGGTTGCTATCATTCCCAATGTCATCGTATAACATGGCCACATAGCAAGAATCATCAAAATCAAAGTTTTCCGATTTTAACATATCACCATCGTCGCCATCATTGTCGTCGTAAAAACTAACTTCTCTCAGGAAATTTGTTGTGGCATCGCTAGACACGAGATTTATAATGTCACCATCCTTATCGTCTTCACGCAGTAGATGTGGACTATTATCCTCCTTGGCGATGTCTTGATCTTGTTCAAGATCACTATCCATGTGGCAATCATCTATGCTGCTGTTGTTGTCATTATTGTGAAGTGGTTGGTGGTGGTGGTGGTTGCTGTTTATGTTGTTGTCGTCTTCTATCCGTTTCTCATCAAACAAATAATAATTCTAAATTGAAGGGAAGTGGAAAATAGGATAATGATGCTAATTTCTTGTTTTGTAATTTTATTTACTTGGTATTTTTTTAGCATGTCTTGTTTAAGGTAATACAAATAAAAAAAGAACAAATCTAAGGTATATGACAAACTCAAAAATTTAGTTTCATTAAAAAAACAAAAGATAACAATAGTGAGAGGCAAAAATATGTAGAAGTGAAGAAAAAAAAACTAAAAAATTGTATATACCAAATAATAAAAATACACCAAAAGACAAGAAAATAATATCGTGCGTAGAGATTTTGCTTGATTTGTTTGTTTTTTTTTTTGTTCAATGAAGTGGAAGAAAATTGCAAAAATATGTAAATCTCAATATTTTTGTAAGAAAAAAATCGAAGCCGACGAATTGGTTTAATTTAGGTGACAATATTTACAAAGTCCCTGGGGGAAAAAGATTTTTGTTAAGTGCATACACCATCATTTTACAACATACAGGGTGAGATGAAAAAACTGCAACCAATTTCAGACTGCTGTCATTTCTAAGCCACTCGTCCGACAGCTGTTAAAATTATTCCAGTGACAGGTTATTATATTGTTTTCAAACGTAAAAAGGCATTTTGGTAAGAAATTTCCAGAAAAAAAGTTATTCGTGATGGAATTCAAGCGTGATAGTTTGATTTCTTTATATATGGCAGGAAAGCCATAAGTGGCTATTGTTAGAGCACTCCAGCATTTAAATGTGAATAAATTTTTTGTTTCGCATACCATCGCTCGTTACCAATTACGTGATACTGGTTGCGTAGCCCGCCGTCAAGGAAGTGGACGGAAGAAAACAGCAACATCAGCAGAAATGGTTCGAAAAGTAAAGAAGCGACTTGATCGACCTTGGACATTCCAACAGGACTCAGCACCACGCGCCAACCAAGAATGGTTACAAAATGAGGTCCCTCTCTTCATTTCCAGCGCAAAATGGTCACCAAAATCTCCGGATACCAATCCGTTGGGCTATTGTGTCCGTAGTATCTTGGAAAGCAAGGTTGGCACTAAAAATACCAAAATGCCGATAATCTCAAGCTAACGCTTCGCCGGGAATGGGCCAAAATACCGCAGAGCAACATTCGAGCGACATGTGATGGTTTCATTGACCGTTTGATGGCTATATTTCGTGCCAAAGGTAACCAAGTCGAACAAACCTAAACTTATTCTAAAATTTGATGCTATTTCCGACATTTTTTGCTTTCATTTCATAAAATTTAAAAAGAAATTTAAAAATTATGTCGTTTGTCTTTGTTGCAGTTTTTTTATCTCACCCTGTCAGATCATTTGGACTGATATTGACCCTTTAGTGAACAATTAACCCGAAATCGGTCGAAGATATATATGGGAGCTATATCTAAATGTGAACCGATTCTCACCAATTTCAATAGGCTTCGTCCTTGGACCAAACAAATATTGTTTGAAAAATGTCATCTCAATCGGATAATAAATGCGACCTGCATTTTATTCACAAAAATACATGGACAGACGGACTGACGTGCATACATCGACACAGAAAGTGATTCTATGAAGATCCTCAAAAATAACTATGGGTCTATCTCGCCCTAGTCCATGTTACAAACAAATGCTCAAAGACATAATACCCTTACCCCTACGTGGTGTAGGGTATAAAAACGGCTATGTATGTATTTCCTCATATTCTTTGAAACTAAAGTAAAAAAAAAAAACCATGGGGAAAATTATGTTACTTTAAGAAGAACTAGAATGTTTTAGACGGAAATTTAGAGACGGTCCAAGTAAATGATTTCATTTAATTTTTACAAAAGCTTTTCCAATTCCTATATGTATTATACACCATAAAATTTGTGACTTGGATTTTCACTGATTATTGCAATTTTCTTTCTATTCATTTAAGATTTTTTTATTTTTGTAAATGTAAAGTGAGCAGAACCAACCATTCAAATACTAAAATATACAGTATTAGTAGATAATTTTGTGTTTAATTCTTTGATTTTCAATTGTTTGTGAGAATTTTCTTATTTCGTTTGAAAACATTTGATAGAAGACGACACTTATATACAACTTTTTAATTTTTTTTTAAACTTATGTTTTCCTTCAACTCATGAAAATTGTGTTTCGTGTGTTTATTTTTTTTCCAAGATAGGGAAGTTATTTGTTGTTGATTTTTATCGTGGTATGACCAATGTTAATTTGCTATATAGCAAAGGTAAGACTGATTAAAGCGAAGTATCGTATGTATTAATGTCAAAACTTCATCCTGTGGCAGGCAGTGCGATGATATAGAATGAGAACAAAGTTGAAATGTTAAGATGATTACAACCTAGAGCATTTTGCCAGAGCTAGAATTTAGCTACCCTGTAACACCTCGAAATATACATTTTAGACCCCACAAAGTATATATTCTTGGTCAGTATAAAATTCTATGTCTATTTAGCGATGTCCGTCCGTCTGTGGAAATCACTCCAGCTTCCGAACGAAATGAAGTAGGTTGATAACATTTTACTCGAATGTATATTATGTCTGCAGTACTTTTGGTATTGAAAATGGGCCATGTCGGTCCACGTTTTGGTATAGCCCCCATATGATGGTACCTTCCGATTTTCGGTATTTGGGTGTTTTAAGCGGCATTATTCACCGGAATTATTTCAAATTTGGCATTTTAAGTTCGTAATGGATACTACAGCCTATGACACAAACTTGTCTGTGCAGGTCCACGTTTTGGTATAGCCCCCATATGATGGTGCCTCCCTACTTTCGATATTTTGATGATTTTAGAGACATTATACACCGGAATTATTTCAAATTTGGTATTTGAAGTTTGTAATAGCTTATGACAAAAGTTGCCTATGCTGGTCCACGTCGTCGTATAGACTCTAATATAATGGCTACATTAGGTATTTTCAAGATTTTAACATAATTCAACAACGGAACAATGGATTGCGGAAGGATTTTGGTGTGAAGCCCTTCAAAATACAGCTGGTGCAAGGATTGAATACGGACCGGCCTACCGCAACGCAGAACTGTTGGGTGAATGGATTCTTGGAAAGTTAGCCGAAGATTCCCCTTTTTCTATCCAAAAATTGTGTTCCGCGACGAAGCTCATTGTTGGCTCAATGGACAGAATTTCGATTTCGGAGTGAATATTAGCCAGGAGTATTGCAAAAGCTACTAACGCATCCAGAAAAAATCACAGTTTGTTACTGTGTATGGGTTAATGGTATCATTTGACCTACTTTTTCAAAGTATCGCTTGATACTGCGAAGCTTGACTTGCATGACATGTGGTTTCAACAAAGCAGTGTCCCATGCCACACAGCATAAGGAATTATAAAGAGGCAAAATAATCACTCGGGATCGGTCATTTGGCTGCCTAAATTTACGGCTTTTCAACTATTTTTTGTGGGGCTACGTTACGTCTATACAGGCGAGCCCGCTTCAATTTACGCATTGGAAGACAAAATTGAAGAATTTTTACGTGAGATACCGGCCGAAATTTTGGGAAGAGTATTTCAAAATTTCTGAACCGAGCAAAGTCGCGGTCAAAATTTGCATGAAATAATGTTCTAACTTTGAATTGTATGGAATGTATTATCAATTCATGCATTTTTTCGAAATCCTTTACTGATAAATAACCAATTATGTCCCACTGCAATTATTAAAGAATGGTTATTGTCACGATGGTTTTGTATTAATTTCAAGTTGATTTTAAAAGAATGAATATAACATGGGAATTGTATATTCAGTGCAAAGTAGTTTAAGTATGTGTTTGGAATATTAAAAAAAAAAAGAAATGTTCAAATAAATGTGCAGTGTGTCTGTCAAATGCTGTTTGACATTTTTCTATCAATCTGATCTTATACGATCATATGATGCACTTCTTTTCAGTCTTACATTTGCGCATGTTTAAACATGATATTTTGTAATTTCATCAAATTTAATTTTTTGATTTTTAATAATATAAAAGTTAACTAAGTACTACCTTGCCAAACTTAAGAATTTTGTTGTTGTAAAATTTCGAAAAAAAGAGATGTTTAAATACATAACGTAAAAACGACATGTTACGAGTCGAGTTCAACAACACTTACCTCTCTTTCTATTTCACTTTGTTGTCCATTCCATGTCAGGACCGGTGCTCCATAGCCGCGATGTGATTGCTTCAAGAGTTCGGAGACAGTGGTGTCTGTTGCTGTTTCACGTTGATAACCATTGCCCACAAAGTTCTGTTTGCCAGCGTTTTCTTTTTTAAGACGTTTCGAGTTTTCGCCTACTGCATTATTGTGCAGTGACTTTGCGCTGGCAAAAGGATTTTTCGGATTCTTGGGCAATTTTTCAGTTGTGGGACTGACACAGGCGCTGATAGGATGCAATGATGTAACTTGCCAAATGCCGGAATTCGTTTTGACTACAGGTGGTGATGGAGGTGTTGAATTTGATCTTTTGAATTGTGGCTTCGACGGAACTGATTTTATATCTTCCGAATCAGATGAGGAGGTGTCACTTGTTGGTGTAGTAGAGGTAACGGTAAATTGTTGATTTTGTGATTTCTTTTTGAGTGGCGATAAATAGTTTGAGGTCGCTAATGTGGAACGCTTATTGAATATTTCATCAATTGTTTCGGATGATTTTTTTGAACTGATGCCATTGTAATGTACGGATGAGGAGCCTGTGGCTTCGGCGCTAGTTACCGTAGTGGATGAGGCTGCCTTCTTAATTTTAGTACCAGTTGTTGGCTTGCAATCGTTGTCATTGTCATCATCATTGTCTGAGGAAGATGATCCTGCTGCATTGGACCATGATGAAGAACTTTGGCGTCGTTTTAACGGATTCGACATCAAAGGCGTTTTGTCAGATGATGATGATGTTGAGGAGGTCGACATTATGCCATTTGTGGTTATAGGCGTAGCCACATCCGTCTCATCATCTGATTCCCAGACATATGGAACAAGACTTTTGATTGCAACAACGGGGGCAGGTGACTTGGCAAAGCCATTTGTTAATGGCGCCTTTGTGTTGTTGGTGGTGGTGCTATTCACTTCGGCAGATATCAATTTAGGCATACTTGGCAGTGTTGATGTTGATGAACTTACAACCTCATTTTCGTCATCGTCGTCATCGGAGGAACTCTCGTTACCATTTTTAACAGTATTAACTTGTCTTTTATTTGCTGGGTCACCCAGTGCACGCTTCGTGTTCGCAGATTCTTGAAATTTACCGGTCCCCACAACATGGAGACCGTTACTGTTGCTATTACTTTTCAAACTGTCGAAAACAGAATTCGAAGCTGCCGTAGATGTGGTAGAGGATGTAGCCGAGGCACTAGTAAGCGACGATGTTGCAAGACTTGTTTTTACTGAGGGGCTTGATGGTGTTCCCCCGTTGTTATTCTTAAAGTGAATCATTATTTTACTACTATCTAATCCAGTCGTATTTTTACTGGGATTTGTGGCATTCCGATTTAGTATTAATTTACTACCTCCTCCATTTGTCAAGGGAGAAGAGGTGCCGTTGCTATAACCGGGCGGCAGTTGTGGCCCTATTATACGTTGCGGACTGGAGTTCACAACATGACCATTGACTTTTGTTGTCTGTAAATCTTTGAGATTTGTAACAGTACTTTGCGCCACGGCTCCACTAACCTGTGTGCTAGTCACCTGTCGCGCGGGCTGTGTATCCATTTCGTAAAATATTATGTACGCATTTGTATTGCAAACATTTTGCATTGATATTGGCCGGACATAACTGTCATCGTAGTTGTAGTACGTTCCGGATTCTGTTAGACCAATGGCTGTGTAATGACCACAATGTTGGGAAGCACCCAAATGGGTTACCATTGCCACTAGACGATAAGTCAATTGTTCACCGGGAATTTTGCGTGAGGCAAACTTTGTTAGATCCAGTCTAGGTTTTATGGTTATTTGTTTGTTGATTTTAGTGCCGGAAATAGAGAAACGTTTTAGTTGAATGCAGAGGGCAATTGGAGCCCGGTCCAATGAAAATTGTTTTGTTGCCGAGACCTAAAATTAATATAAAATGGGGCATTAGTTCCGAATACATTTTGTTTTCTATTTTTATTACTTACCTTTTTCTTGCATGCTTCACACTTGTAGCCCATATCTTCCAAACGCTCACGGGCAAAATAGCCCTCCAATGCTTCATTTATTGTATCCGCCTTGCGTATGTCCAGCAAAAGGTCTTGGAAATGTTGAAAAGTTACTGAAACATGTTGGCAGGACAAACATTTCACCGACGTTTTTAAATAACCGCCAAGAATTTGATTTAAGGGGGTCGTCTCCTTGCTGTATTGATCCAATTCCTTGTAGTTTCGGAACCTCTGCAAGTAGGATTTCTCCATGGCTTCAACCAAGTAACGTAAAAATTCATGGGCATCTTCCTGGCGACCCATTACTAAATGTTTACATATGGATTTAAGTTTTGAGTAAACAAAATAGGGCCTTATGGCCGATTGGCTGTTTTGTGAGGCCTGCAGTGTCTTGGCCATTGCACAAATGATACAACCAGAATCAGTGGATTCACATCTCTCCATGTGTGCCGAATCGGACATTAACCAATTGGCCATTGAGGACACGTGAAACAGGGCCTGCAGCGTTGAGTTCAAGTAACAGGTATTACCCACATTCATCATGCCCACACCGACATTCCATTTACGCCCGGTGGCCTTCCATCCAATACGTACATTTTCACGTGGAAAAAGTACCCGTTTGGGTGCGGGCAACTCATTGGGGCTCTGGGGCTGTTGGTTTCGTTTTCCCGGTGTCGTCGTTGCAGCTGATGTGTTACCATTGGCATCTGTTGTGTTGTTCGTTTGACACACACAGTCATAGATGGAAGAAGTAGAACAAGAAGAACAGAAGAATTCATTATCAGATTCGTCATAATTGTTGTATTTGTTATGATAATAATAGTAAAGTCTTCGTAAGACATTATAGCTTGGTTTAAATATGAAACGATAGAGCAGCCATAACACCAAATAGTCCAATGCGATACAACGCAATGTTTCCAATAGTAAGGCGCTCCAAACTTTCATTTGGAAAAGTCAATGATGTGGTATTTGTTTGGTAATGCTTAAGATATGAAAATTTCACACACAAAGCTCAAGGATGATGGTGCAGCAAATAATTTAGTCATGGGCAAAAGAATTTTTTTGTGTTCTGTTCTTATAACAACACTTCTTGACCAAGGGATGAATTTTGTTTTGTTTTTTTTCACAATTTCTTTCGTCGCCTGGCTTTACAATTTAAATTAATTTTTGTTTCCATCCGCAGAAAATGTTCATTGTCGTTTCCTTATTGGCTTATTGGCGATTGTGGGAATACTAATTTTCCACTTTTTTTTTTGTTCGTGAATTTTCCGTTTTCCCTTTCAGCGTACATACACAGTCGTACATACAACCTAATAACGCACTATTCATACGTATGTTCTAGGGAAATAATTTCTTGCGCGTATGCTTGGTTATTTTTTGCTTGCTTTGTGAAAAATTCACGAGTTTCTTATTTATGTATATTTTCAATACACTATATCATCATCAATGCGAGTGCTTCAAAATCCTCGTGTCATTCTATCCACCAATCTTGTGTTTTTATTCTTCTTCGTTCTTTTAGCTCTTGTTTTTTTATCTCTCTTTCTCTCACTCTCTGGTCAATGTCTTTGTTGTACATAGCGGTTTGTTTTTGTTTCTCATGCAAAGCACAACATTTCGCAATCGAAGGTAGTGTGTATGTATGTACATAAGTACCAGAGAAAGAGCAAAAAGTTCTGGGTGGGTGTGTGTGTATGCATTTGTACAGCGATAAAAGCAAACAATGCATGAAAATAAAAATACCACGCATAGATTTTGTTTGACAGCTACCACAGTTGCACTAAAGAGTAGTGAACACTTTGGTAATGAATGGGAATACAATACAGTAAAAACTGTATAAAATATTTCTCGGTCGTTTTTAGCTATTATAAAAGTAAAAAATCCTTACTGAAAACCTGCTAATTGATGACAATAGGAAATTAATATGAGAGTGACTAAGATCAGGGGTGTAGCTATACATTTGATATAAACTGTATATAGAGGTTAAAAAAACGATTTTATAATTTTGAAGCTTAGTCCGAAGTAAGGGTAAGGGGAAAGGAAATTACAAAAAAATGCTTGTACCGATATTCTGGCAATTCCTTTTGTACCCTTATTTTTACACAAAAATATAAACAAAAATGACCGTAAAAGCAATGATGAATAACAAAATTGCATTGTATAAATGCAAGAGACAGGTTCAAAGCAGAACAATAAGAATGGATTTAGAACAACTTCTAGTCTGTTACACATTCTTTCCAATACATGGGTTCTCGCAATTAATTTGTTTACAAAACGTAAAATTGCAGGTTCAAAATCACAAACAAAAAATAAAAAAGTTTGACAAGTGGATTCTGAAAATAAAACGAATACTTTTTTCCACAGTTGGGCTATAATCTAATCTCTCGTTGGCCGTGGAAGTTTGCCACTTTTAGCTGCTACGAATGAGATATTTCATTTGGTATTTTTGTAATAGTCTGAGGTGACATATCTTGGTCAAATCTGGAACTTCAATTTGCAAACAAGTAAATGCTATTGCCTTGGAACTACGAAAACTTGCTTATAAGACGACATCGACCGGCTTAACAATAAGAACAACTTAAAATACATTGACCAAATTCGCTTATTTTATATAAAAAAACATTTCGAAAAAAAAAAAACAATTTAAATATGTATGTACATTTCAGTTTGAATATATTGAACATTTTGGTACAAAGGACTATATTTCCAATATTAGAGCAAGATCCCAGATGTTTCAAAAAAATCTTGATTATAATCAATCTAAGATACACACAATTACACAACTATAACCCATATGAGGTCCTAATCAGTATGATATACGAGATTTAAACATCTTTCATTGAAATGCTTAAACGCTATAGGCTGTTATATGCCCAAGTCCTTTTAATATTTTAAGTCATTTTCAGGAAGCAGCTTGCCTACATTTCATTTTCTATACATTTTTTTTAAAGTATTTCTACCATCATTAAACAAATAGCTTGGTATTAACAAAAACAAGTAATGCATGTGCTGTGTGTCTCTTTTTATTAACAGGAAGAAGAAGAATATCGTAAACAATAACATGTTTTTACTTTTTTCAATTGGTAGCTGTGCTTTATAAATAAACTAGCTGAACCCGGTGCGCTTCGCTACCCCTTTTGATTTTATATGCATTCAAAATTTTATTTACGAATATATGTTGGATAAAGAAAACCAAATTTAAAAATTAAAAAAAAATATTGCACTAATTTAATGCGTTAATAAACAAAATCATTACAAAAGCAGTAACATGACATGCATACACGAAGGGTTTGTCCTTTGGATTTATTTATTTCATAGCAAATACCAAGCGTGCAGGAAACTGCAATTTTTTTAAGTAGAGTGGCATTTCTATTGCAATTAGTGAATTCGAGATAGCAACATACTTCGCCGTAATAAGCGTATTTCAAATAAATTGTTGTGTTGTTTTTTAGTGTTAGCCTAAGGCGTTGTGGGTCAATGCTTCTTATTAAAATCATATCCCAATCTGATCCGATTTAAATATAATTTTAAGAAAATTACTTTTACACCAAATTCCGCCACACCTTTCATATTTCATTGAAATTGGTGCGTCAAATATGTGAAATCGGCCGAGAATATATATATGGGAGCTATATCCAAATCTTAACTAATTTCCAATTAATTTATCACATTTATTATTATAACAAAATTCCGCCACACATTCTGAATTTCATTGGAATCGGTCATATATATCGTGTTTGGTGCATAATATGTATGAAATCGGCCGAAATATATATGTTAGCTATATCCAAACCTCAACTGATTTCAATATAATTGTGCAATTTTTGCTGGTGCCAGATTTTGTCTCTCTCGCTTTGGGTGCATCAAATATGTGAAATCGGCTGAGTATATATATGGAGCTATAATCACATCTGAGCGTATTTGAATATAATTTGTCAAATGTGCATCAAATATGTGAAATCGGCGGATAATATATATGGGAGCTATATCCAAATCTGAACCGATTTTAATATAATTTGACTAATTTATTTTCTAATCAAAATCCCGTTACATATTCCAAAATTCTTGGAAATCGAACATATATATCGTGTATGGTGCATAAAATACTTGAAATCGGTCGAAAATATATATGAGAGCTATATCCAAATCTGAACCGATTTTAATATAATTTGACAAATGTATATTTGTTTTAATTTCCGCTACACATTTCAAATTTCATTGAAATTAGAGATACATAGCGTGTTTGGTGCATCAAATACATGAAATCGGTCGAAAATATATATGGGAGCTATATCCAAATCTGAACCGATTTCAATATAATTTGAAAAATTCATTTTTGCTCCCGATTCCGTTACTTATTTTAAATTTCATTAAATTTGGACATACATATCTGGTTTGGTCCACCAATCACATGAAATCGGCCGAAAATGTATATGGGAGCTATATCCAAATCTGAACCGATTTCAATATAATTTGGGAAATAAATTTTTTTAGATAAAATCTATCACACGTTTCAAATTTCATTGAAATTGGGGATACATAGCGTGTTTGGTGCATCAAATGCTTGAAATCGACCGAAAATATATATGGGAGCTATATCCAAATCTGAACCGATTTCAATATAATTTGACAAATTTATTTTCGGATCAAATCCCGTCACATATTCCAAATTTCATTGGAATCGAACATTCATATTGTGTTTGAGGCATCAAATGAACGAAATCGGTCGAAAATATATATGGGAGCTATATCCAAATCTGAACCGATTACAATATAATTTAGCAAACTTATTTTTGTTCCAAATTCCGTTACGCATTCCAAATTTAAAGACTGTATCTTCAACCAATCAATAGATATGTGCATATAAAATCTAAATTTTTGGGAGGTACCTCCGATTCTGATGCTATATCTCCAGTTCCAAGTGGAAATTCAAAAATGTATATAGCCTATGTTACTTTCAGGCGATGTTGCAGTATATATGGAAATTTTCAGGAAAATCTATTCAGCGGTTTTCGAGTCCATAAATTACAAACAAACAAACAAACAAACAAACAAACAAACATACAAACATTTTCCTCTTTTATAGATATAGATATGTGTGTTTGTGGCGACATTATGACGAATCATACTTGTTTCCAACAATGCAAAAACGAAAAAGAATATGTTCATATAGAAGAGTAGGAGGAGTAACAAGACAAAGAAATGGATAAAATTTGCACATATTATTGAAAATTAAAATCTAAATCGCCGTAAAGCACGTGATTGTAAATTAAAAGTGAAAAAAACGTGTTGTTATTAATGGAAAACAACAACAACAATAATATCTCTCTAGCTTATAAACGAAACCTTTTCACCTGGCAACACCTCTCGCTTTAGTCTCGTCTTGTCAAGAGAAACAAGAAGCAGCATGACACTTTTTATATTTTATAAACATATGCCCCATCTCTTTCACTCTCATATCAAAGCAAAACAAAATGACGCGGTGTTGTAATTTTTATAAACACGCACGCACATACAAACACACACACTCACACGTATATACGATGTGGGGAAAACATAAATTTTCTTTTCGGAATGGTAAAAGGCAGCGGGAAATAAAATAGAAACTCTTGATTTAGAGAAAAAAATGGTACACGTAGTGTTACCGGCAGGCCGGTCATCACAATTTGCGCCATTATTTTTGCAGTTTGGAGAAAAAAATGTCTACAATCCACATATTTTGATTTTGGGCTTTCCAAAACTGTGGGTGACTTCCCTATATTCGAGAGCTGTATGCGCTCGACAGAAGCCAACAATTTGACATGCAGCAAATTATCTTCATCTGTTGCAAGGACTGAGCTATTATTTGTTTTAGATTCACCTATGGCTTTGTTGCTGGACAGCCAGCCGGCCATCGAATCAAACAATTCCTCCCTTAAGGTGGCACAAACATTTGCCATCGAGACTGTATGTTGTATATACGATAAGAGGAAAGAAACAGACATGTTTTTTGTTGTATGGCAAAATGCAACGTAAGAAACAACGGAAACAAAATAAAAACTCTTCAAAAAGCAATAAAAAAACAGTACACTTACGCTTACCGGCAGCACTGTCATCACCATTTGCGCCATTGTTGTTATTGTTGCAGGTTGCTGGAGACTTTCTGCCATTCTCCTGGCCATTATTGATGCCAGTCGATGGCTTCAAGACGATGTATTTGGATTTTAGACTTTCCAAAACCGATTGGCCATAGTTGGTGACTTCCTCATATTCGATTTTCGAGAGCAGTACCCGTTTGGCGGAAGCCACCAGTTTGTCATGTAACGAATCATTGTCGTCAGTTCCAAGCACTGAGCTACCATTTGTTTTAAGTTCATCTGGTGCTTTGTTGTTGGCAGCTGCTGAGCAGCCAGTGGCCGAACCGAACAATTCCTCCCTTAAGGCGGCATTTACATTTGCCGTAGTCTCACAAACCACGGAGACTGGCATGGAGTTGGTGGACGTGGGAGTTTGTGGTGGAATTTTGATGATTTTTGTTATTTCTCTTTTGGCTCAAAACGAGTGGCTTAACAAAAACAATATATGTATTTTGAGGTTATATTTTTGTTTAATTGATGGAGCAAACACAACAAACTAAGACAGCGGGTGCGGTCCCAAAGAAATGAAAGGCTTTGTCTGGCACCCGCTACGTTCCTCTTCCTACACGACAATATTCAAGTTTATTTCCGCCAACTTCGATGTAATGGAACCAATTTCTAATCCTTTGGTTGTTTCTTTCTGTTGTCTGCTGATTTCTCTCTACACTTCTTGCTACTGCTGCTGTACTTTTGCTACACCACATACAAACACTCATCAAGAAAAAATCTCCTTGAACGTCCTTAAGTTTGGCTGCTTATTATTGATTGCCCTTTTGCGGTTGATTAGTGTGTGTGTGAGTGTGTTAGTTAATATTTTTTAGAAATTGCAAAATGTTCATTATTTTTCTTTTTTTGTTTTGCGCGGCGTTTATCGCTCCAATATCTGGCATAAGACCTTATTTTTTGTTGCAACACTACTTTTTACACGTTTTTTTATGCCATATTCTTTTGGTGTTTTTTCGCGTTCAATGATTTTTTTCCTCTTTTTGTGGCTATTTTCACGACATTCGACTTATTTTATGACCGATCTTTCGAAGCTTTCCAAGGAATATACGTTGAAAATTCCACATAAATGTTGTATAGAGCAAAATACTCGTCCGATTTTTTACATATTTCCGCTATTATTGGTGGTATAAAAATACGAAAGAAAATTTTCTACGAGTTTTTTACGGCTTGCGACGACAAAAAAAATGTGCTTGTCTTCCCGTTCTTTCCGCAGAAAATTGCTTTTATGTGGACGAGTATCGATTACTTTGTGTACACGAAGTGAATGAGTGAATAACACCCTGTGTTCGTGGTGCCTTAAATTATGAAGTATGACGGTTGTCAAATGGAATGTGGTTTACATAGACATATAATGGCATGACTTTTGCCTGGAAATGAAATTTACAACGCTTTGGTTTATTACAAACACTTTGAAAATAATATTTAAATTATAAAAATAAATAATAGATAAAGGCGGCTCTACCTTGACACAATATTTTATCTGTCTGATGTATAATCAAGGGAATTGCACAACTAAATGACAGGTTTTATAGAAATGTGTGGATGTAAAAGTCGCCTAAGCCCACGTTTACATTATTTAACACATGTTTTGCTAAATTTTATGTCAAATTTATTATAAAATGTAAATGTTAGTCATATTTGTCCTATTGATTTATTGATGAAAAATTCAATTCAATAACTTTTTAATAGCTTTCAACATTGCATATCTTTCACCACGGCATTTACCACGAACATCATCATAGCTCAAGTCAAACAAAGCGATTCCATGCAGTTTTTTCGCCTGGGCAAACTTCACCTTTTCGCGAATGCTATCCAAGTCGTCATATGTTATTAGAAGACCCTGTTTGTTGGGCGGAGAGGCTGGGCGATATGCAAAACTGCCGAAATTTTTTTTCGAAACATTTGTAATTTTCGAGAGTTTTTTACACATTTCTGGCCATGCCAAGAGGCCAGTAGTACGTGTATTATAACCACCAGGGGCGGGACCTTTTAAGAGCTTTGTTATGGGCATTTTTGGATCCTTAAGTGGTTTTGTTGTGTTCCAGGTGCGAGCAAATACCGCAATACCTAAATTTATTTTTTCGAAAGGTAATTTGTGATGCGTCCACCATTGTTGTACTGTAAAGTTGACATTGGTTGTAGTGTGATGTTTATCCGGAGCGTAGAGCGGAGCAAAATAATCGGCTTTGCTGGGTGTTTCTTGGGGATTTGAGTAGTCAAATGCTGCCAATGTAATAAAATCCAAACTATCCACAATGACAGGCATATCGTAATAGGCTGTGGGTGAAGGCAAGTGAAACAGTAAGTAGGTTAAAGTATGTTTACATACAAGTCTGCATAAACCATGAAAATAACATTACATTTATTGTAATTGGCCAATTATTAGGGTTAAAGTACGTTTACAGGGTAAGATAAAAACTGAAACAAATCAAACGTAAAAGCAAAAATTGTCGGAAATAGCATCAAATTTTAAAATAAGTTTAGATTTGTTCGAATTGGCCACATTTGCCATGAATTATGGCCTTCAAACGGCCAATGAAACCGTCACATGCTGCCCGAATGTTGCTCTGCGGTATTCAGGTCCATTCCTGGCGAAGCGTTTGCTTGACGTGATCGACACTTTGTTATTTTTTAGGCCAACCTTGCTTTCCAAAATACTCCAGACACAATAGTCCAATGGATTGGTATCCGAAGATTTTCGTGGCCATTGTGAGCTGGAAATTAAGCGAGGAACCTCATTTTGCAACCGTTCTTGGGTGGCGCGTGCTGAGTGCGATGGTGCTGAATCCTGTCGGAATGTCCAGGGTCTGCGGCCAAAATGTTTGCTTTAATACACCCTCAAGAATATTTTCGCGATAATATTCGGCATTTATTCTGATGAGTATTTGCCGAATGGAATATTGCGACATGCTCAGCTCACGAGCCATTTTTCGGCCACTGCGACTCGGGTTTCAATCAAGTCGCTTTACTTTTCGAACCATTTCTGCTAATGTTGCAGTTTTCTTCCGTTTACTTCCTTGTCGTCGGGCTACACTACCAGTATCACGGTAACGATGCGATGGTACGAGACACAAAAGATTTATTCACATTTAAATGCTGGAGTGCCCAAACGATAGTCACTTTTGGTTTTCCAGTCAAATATAAAGAAATCACATTATCACGCTTGAATTCCATCACGAATAACTTTTTTCAGGAGAATTCTCACTAAAATGCTTTTACGCTTGTAAGCAATACAATGAGCTGTCACTGGAATAATTTTAACAGCTGTCGGACGAGTGGCTTAGAAATGACAGCAGCCTGAAGTTGGTTGCAGTTTTTTCATCCCATCCTGCACATACAAAATCTCTATCCGGGTGATAATAAATCTCAACAATTAATCTGAATGTATAAAACCTAGGTTAATTATCAGGGTCAATTAATCCGGGTAAAGATTTTGTATGTAAACGTACATTAAACCAGTATAAAGATTTAGCATATAAACGTGATATTAATCTCAAATATGATATATTTCGTCCAATACACGGCCCAATTAAGATCAGCTGATTGCAAAATATAATGTCAAAACACATTGTTGTTATTGAAAGTATTATTGAAAACCATGGCAGAAGGATACAGATAGATACATCGACCTAGATGACGAGACAACAAACTGTCAAACCAATTTTGGAATTGAAAATTTTGAATGAAAATTTATTCAAATTCTTAAAAATTGTTGAAAAACGCATGTTATAATAATCTCCGGGTGACGTCGTATAAGAACACTTATATTATTTATTAAACTTAATTTTAAATAAGATATCAATGTTTCCAAGTGTTGATGCATCTACCTGTATTCTTCTACCATGCTGTAAACGATAAACACAAGACCAACAAAATGTAAACAAATGTTGACATTTATTTCTATTGCTCCATGATGCAATACTTACCATCCACATTAGTGTTTGACATAATGGTCAACGATAATGAGAGATGATCTTTATGAAATCTCGATTTCATAGTTCTTATTAATTTCGTCATTTCGAAACGATAATTGCTTCCATTTGTCGATTTGGAGTTATTTCGAAAATGTTTAGGTAACGGATAGGCCAAATCGAAGCCATCAAATTTATATGTAGTCAAAACTTTAAGGATATTTTTGATAAATTCTTCTTTGATCGCCATTGGAGACTCCAGCAATTTTAAATATTTATTTTCTCTCCGTGAATCTTGGCCACCACCTAAACTTAATATGAATTTGACATTTTTATATTTCATTTTTAAATTCTTGATCAAGGCAAATTGTTGATGCTGTTGGTGATGTAGGGAAGTCGGTTTGAATGTTCTAGCTTGTATGCCAATATGACCGTAAATTATGACGTCACACAGTGGCAGGGCGTTCTCTAAGTCATACGTCTTGAAGCTGGCATAGCCTGAAATGGAAAATATTTATTTAAATAAGGGAAAAGCGTCAATAAAATGATTTACAGTTTTATAAAAAAAACAGCAACAAAATCAGGGAACGGCGAATTATGCTCTTTCGTGAGCATTTAAACAAAGATACTTTATTTTGGAACGCCATTATCAATGTTTACACTTTAATTCACTGTTATGTTAAATTATACAGTTGCATGCAATGCTATGTTAAAGTTTACAGTTGATTGCACTGCAAAAGTATGTTCTATGGTAGAAGAATACAGGTAGACGCATCGACACAGCTGTTGGGATAATGAACTGTCAAACCATATGTAAAATTGAAAATTTTGAATGAAAAATTATTCAAATTCGTTAAAATGAGAATGTATATTCTAACAACCATCGAGTGGCGTCGTATAAGAAGACATATAAAAATCTACCTATTACAATTTTTGATATGCTAATGTTCCCATGTGTTGATGCATCTACCTGTATTCTTCTACCATGGTATGTTCATAGTATAATAGTGCGTTTACATACATGAAACGTATATGGATATGTTTATTCGAAACGGCTTTACCTTCTTAATTTTACCATGATTGTAAGTAAATTAAATTAAAATTTCTCATAACATTTCATTGACGACATCCAAATTTCAAAATTAAAAATGGAAAGTCCCGAAATATTTATTGTTAATATTTATTGAAAATGCAAATGTCGGAAATAGCATCAAAAGTTAGAATAAGTTTAGATTTGTTCGAATTGGTCTACTTTGGCACGAATCATGGTCTTCAAATGGCTAATGAAACCGTCACACGCTGCCCGAATGTTGCTCTGTGGTATTTTGGCCCATACCCGGCGAAGTGCTCGCTTGAGGTGATCGGTGGTATTTTTAGAGCCAACCTTGCTTTCCAAAATACTCCAGACACAATAGTCCAACGGATTCATATCCGAAGATTTTGTTGGCCATTGAGCGCTGGAAATGAAGCGAGGAATCTCATTTTGTAATCATTCATAGTTGGATCGTGCTGAGTGCGTTGGTGCTGAGTCCCGTTGGAATGTCCAAGGTCTGCGCCCAAAATGTTTGCTTGCCCAAGGCTTTAATACATTCGCCATTTATTCTGATGACACGGTCGATTAATACGAGAGGAGAGCGACCATCGGCTGTTATGGCGGCCCACACCATCACCATGGCCGGCGTTTGAGTTCTGGTGGACAACCAAAGGTGCACATTTTCAGCTGAAAACAAGTCGCTTCTTTACTTTTCGAATCATTTCTGCTGATGTTGCTGTTTCTTCCGTTCATTTCCTTGACGTCGGGCTACGCTACCAGTATCACGGTAACGAGCGATGGTACGAGACACAAAAGTGCTCTAAAGATAGCCACTTGTGGTTTTCCAGCCAACTATAAAGAAATCACACTATCACGCTTGAATTCCATCAAAAATAACTTTTTTCTGGAAAATTCTCAACAAAATGCTTTTGTACGCTTGTAAACAATATAATGAGCTGTCACTGTAATAATTTTAACAGCTGTCGGACGAGTGGCTTAGAAATTTCAGCAGTCTGAGGTTGTTTGCCGATTTTTCATCTCACCCTGTATGTGGTTAATTGCTAAAAATTTTTTATAAATGAATTTTCACCGAAAATTATATTTTTTATATTTTCACATCATTATTTTTGGTGATGTTAACCAATGTTATAAGTTTACAGATGACCACGCTGTTATGTTAATGTTTACAGCTGATTACACTGTAAAAGTATGTTTATAGCGCGTTTACACACAGAAAAAAACCGGAAACCATACGAATTTCTATAATTGGATAATTGTGATAGGTTAATTATGCGTATTAACCCGGATGAATATTTGTATGTAAACGTACTTTTATTGGATAACCCACTGGGTTTAATAAATCCACTTGCATGCCATTTTAAACAAATTCGACAGAAAGAACAAATTTTTAAATATTTTTTGTAGCTGTTTGGAGGTAAAGTGTAAACATTAGTATTAATATTCTATACCCTGGCGGTGAAAAGATCTTTTTTATATGGTAAATTCCCGGTACAATAAAAAGGTGTTGCAAAGCTATCAGCTGATTATATTTTTTTGGTGTATTTGACTCCTGTCAATCCTGTGTTTGTATTTGTTGTTTTGGACAATAAAAAAATCTTTTGAAAATCAATGGAAACATTTATTGCTGGCTCAAATAATTCTGATAAAAAAACTGGCATGGAATCAGGGTTGTTTTGTTATAGTACTTGCGAAACGGTTTCATTACCTTATTGTACAATGGGTAAAACTGGTTGACTTCATATATGAAATTCAAATAACTTACCTGGTCGTAGGATACTCGACGTATTATAATAACATATCATTTTCAGTTTCGTAGTCCATGCTACGTCACATAGTATGTAGAAAATAGATATAAAAATTAAAAACACATTGACTTTCATCGGAAAACAAAACTTATTCGAAAACTATCGACTAACAACTTAGAAAGTGAAATGTAAAGTACTTTTCCGTTTTACAATTGAATTACTCATTGTACATTCATATTATTTTTATAAATGAACGTATCGGCAAGGAAAAACCCGCAATTTTATAAATAAACAGAATTATGAATAAGGAAGCCGCTACACAACAATTAATAATTCTTTTAACATTTTAAAAATATAATTCAGCTCTAAAAATAAATAAGTATAAATGATGAAACAGTAGAACTTCCTATATAAGAAAAAAATGCAGTATGTATCATATAGGTACTAATGGCACGAATGGACTTAATTAAAACATTACATCAAGTCTAAAAAAATACGCTCCAAGTTTTTAATAATAGAGTTGCATAGTTTACCAAGGAACTAGTTCGAACTATGTCAGTAAGACTAGTGAATTCAAGTACACTGAACTAAAGGTACGGTCACACTGGGCAAATATTTAATCCACATTTGTTCTCCCATATTTGACGGAACAAATGTGAAATATATACAGAGTTGATTTGATGTTCACATTACAGTCAAATATTTGTCAAATATTAGACATATGACCACTCGTGTGTTTGCTATCGTCTGACTATAATTCAGGAGAATTGTTTCAGTATCAATATTGCTATGATAAATACAATCATACCTACTTGTTGTTAGGTACTTCCAAAAAAATTGAAGCATTTCTTAAATGCTCCGTGGTACATTTGGAAGCTTCTCCACATCATCCATAAAATATAGGGCAACAGAAATATTCATTTTTCAATTAAAAAAAAAACAAATAAAGTGAACACAATCACTGGGAATTTCGGAATGTTATTTTGTTAGTTTATTTACAATTTGTTTGTTTACAACTGATCTGTCAGTTCGGAGAAAGCCAGCTAACGTAGGGTTGTATTTTTTACTGCTATTTCGCGTTGAAATCTTTCATTTTGGCGCTATTTTTTGTTGTTTAATTTCGCGATAACTCTGAGTCACGTAAGACTATGCGAAAGAACGAACGAATGTTAATGGAACGCATTCTGATACAAAGAAAGCGGCTAGTTTTCATTAGCACAAATTTTCTTTCGATATCGTGGAACAGGCTGTTAGTTATGAGTGACGAAGGCCATTTCCAATTAAATACGTTCGTTAATAAGCAAATATGGGCTGCAGAAAGCCCCAGAGTACTTCATCAAAAACAATTACATCCAGTTAATTGTACTGCTTGGTGCTGCAGAAAGGATAATTGTCCCATATATTTTTTTTTTTTTTTGAAAAATTTCATCACTTGAAATCGATATGGGGCCATGTTGGAAAATTTTGTAATGCCAGCCGTGAAAACCTTCCACAAATATGTTTCACAATGGCTCGTACACTCTACATCTTAAAAGAATAATTTCGCTTAGAAGCAATATTAGTTGGCTTCGTTCTCCAGAGTTAACCGCTTCAGACCGTTTCCTTTGGGGTTAGTTAAAAGGGAAAGTTATGTTAATAAACCTAGGACTCATGGTAAAATTATGAAGGTAGAGTCATATTAAATAAACACATTCTGTGTAATTTTTCTTGTCAGATTTTGATGAATAGAAAACAGGTTCCCATCTCTGATTTATGTATATGAAATGGATTTATAACCATAAATTTTGACAGTGAGATGTCGTCAAATGAAAAATGTTAAAAAAAGGTACAAACACATGATTGCATTACTTTACCTTTTTAATTTTACCATGCTAGGAGTGTGGGTTTATTTAAAAGGGAGAGTTATGTTAATAAGCCTAGGACTATAGAGGAATTAAAAACCTATACTCGAGAGGAATTTAACAACACAACTCCGGAAAAGAGCACATTTTTGCGAAGCAGAAAATGGCCACCCCTTGGGGATATCATTTTTAACAACTAATCGAAAAATATTCCCTATAAATTTACTTTGTTTCAAAAAGAAAAAAATAAAAAATATATAAATATTAAATACAAGGCTATAAGGAATTCACATAACTTCGGTCTTTCTGGGTCAACCTGTTCTCTGTTAACATAGCAAACAATTTTGTAAATCGAGGGGACACACATTATCAATTCCGTTCCATATATTTCGTATTACTCGTCAGTTTAAAAGGGAAAAAGCTCTAATGTATAAATGTTCATAACTGTCCTGCTCCAGAACCACCAATATGATAATCTTTCTTCAAATGCCTTCTATAAATAGAACTCATTCTACTACACTCAGTTAAGTATTATATAGATAAACTTAGAAAAATTAAGACTTATGCTAAGTATAGATATAAGGAACTATTGTTAGCCATAAGGTATTAAAATATTGTTTAAGGAATCGATGAAAAATATAATTGAATTGATAATCGATACATGAAAGCATCTTATATGTTTCCTGTAGAGAGATTACTTAAGGTGAGAATACATAAAAGTCTTTTTTGACTTGGTTGAGTATTCGACTGGCTTTTTTGTAAAAGAACAAAGGAGCATAGGGTGAACAAGTATAAATTATGCACCGAAATTGAATTAAGTCAACCAAAAACTCCTTTGAAGCCAGTCGATGTCTTAAGCCAGTAAAAAAGGCTCTTTATGTACTTCCACCTTTAGTCGCCTATGATCGTACGTTTTCTTCGTGTGTTTTTTTTGTTTGTTTTAAAAACCTAAAATAGTATAAATTGCAATAGCTGTGGTTTGGGCGATTAAATTAAATCGAATGATTTGTCATGGCGAACCTAAAATACCCTTGGCTATAAATTGAATGATCTGTGTCACACCGAACTGCATTTGTCAAGAAGCTATCGCGAAGTTTATTATACGTAGAAAAAAGAAAATAACTGAATTAAAATGAAGTTATTAATTGTATTGGGTGCCGTGTTATTGGCCCTCAATCAGTTGGTTGTGGCCAAAACTCACAATGTGATTTGTTACTACGATACCTCCAGCATAATGAGAATAGGTAAGATGATATGAAGCCTGGTAGGTCAATGGGATTATGTGAAGCCAATTTTTAGCAGCCTGTGTTTAAGTTTTGAATTGCATATTGCCAAAGGATCCAGAGAGCCTACGTTCGGACCGTAGATATATGTGTTCTTATGTGTGATGTGGTCTATTTCGAAAGAAAATGAATGCGAAAAAAACACCTATTCAATGTGTTTTCAAAACTTGATCAAATATTTAAAAATAATCCACAGTTTTGAAAAGACACGTAGAATTTGGGGTCTTTTTCGAATTCATTTTCTTTCGACATACATAAACAGACCTCAGGTTTCAGTGTTCAGCTGTTTCACCTGTGATATGAGATGGATATAAAACCGTTGGGCGCCACTTAAGTACAAAAACGTTTAGGGCTAAAACAGCAGACGCATAGTTGCATAACAAAATAACATTTGATTCGAATATTCAAAAAAAAAAAAAAAAAAAATCGACAATTTTGAAAAAGCGCCTAGAATTGGGATCTTCTTTTGCAGGCCTGTGATACAAGGTGGAATTGAAACCGTTGGGCGCCACTTAAGTAAAAAAACATTTAAGGCTAAAACAATAGTCGCATGGCGTATCCGACTCACTGTCGGAAAAACACTTATAGAAAAATACACAATGACGAAAGGGATGCCGTTTTTAAATTGGACAAATTTATTTTAGAAGTCAGAAAAATTAAATAATTTACTCCACCTTCAATGAAATCCTCTAAGTTGAGGAGAAAACCTATATGACCTGGCAAAATTCATAAGAGAAAGCAAAGCAGAAAATTTTATTAGAAGGCTCATAGCCTATAAACATAGTTTTGACCCCTGTAAAGGATTGCTCGTCAAGCCTGTGGAGCATTTTCACCTTTCTCTAGATCAAAATAGACAAAGGCATTGGAAAGCAGAAAAAAGGCTAATACAGATCAAATCCTAAATTTGTGACATCGGCGTGAAAATACAACACTGTTGCCACTGTAGTTGAAAACAGTGTTGTATTTTCAAGATGAAGTTACGATTAAGGGTTTGAATTATTTTAGCCTTTAACTTCTGAAATTAAATGCGCTTTTAGTGACCCAAGCGTTGGGCGCCACGTCAGCAAAAACTTCTTAAGGCCACAATGTTGTATTTACACGTTGAAGTCACGATTTAGGCTTTGATCTGTTTTGGCCTTAAATGGCGCCCAACGAAGCGAAGTCACATTTAAGTTATGCTTTAACCTTTAATTTTGCAAATCCAAGTAACTTTTTTCAGCTGAGATGAAATAGGAGAGATATCGCCTGCTCTTTCTCATATTAAACTAAGTATACAGGGTGAGATAAAAAAAACTGCAACAAAGTCAAACGCCATAATTTTTACATTTCTTTTAAATTTCATTGAATGAAAGCAAAAAATGTCGGAAATAGCATCAAAATTTAGAATAAGTTTAGATTTGTTCGAATTGGTCACCTTTGGCACGAATTATGGCCTTCAAACGGCCAATGAAAACGCCACACACTCCCCGAATTTTGCTCTGTGGTATATTGGTTCATTCCCGGCGAAGCGCTTGCTTGAGTTGATCGACACTTTGGTATTTTTTTAGTGCCAACCTTGCTTTCCAAAATACTCCGGGCGCAATAGTCCAACAGATTGGTATCCGGAGATTTTGGTGGCCATTGTGCGCTGGAAATGAAGAGAGGAACCTCACCACTCTGCTGAGGGCGATGGTGCTGAGTCCTGTTGGAATGTCCAATGTATGCAGAATATTTTCGCGATAATATTCGACATTAATACGAGCGGAGAGCCAACAAGCTTGAGTTCTGGTGACCAACCGAAGGTGCACATTTTCTGCTGACCTCTTTGGCAAGTAAACACGATAATTTTGTTTGTTTACAAACTACAGGACAACGAATGTTTTCTCCTCGCAGAAAACCAAATTCGGCAGTTCACCACTTTCGGAAAAGCGAAGCAACTTTTTAGCTCTTTTGAGTCTATTTTCTTTCTGTTGCGGTGCACTTTTTGGAATTTCAATGGCTATACCCCGAGCTCATGTTTCAATATTTGCCGAATGGAATATTGCGATATGTTCAGCTCACGAGCCATTTTTCGGCAGCTGTGACGCAGGTTTTGATTAAGTCGCTTCTTTACTTTTCGAACCATTCCTGCTGATGTTGCTATTTTCTTCCGTCCACTTCCTTAACGTCGGGCTACGCTACCAGTATCACGGTAACGAGCGATGGTAGGAGACACAAAAGATTTATTCACATTTAAATGCTGGAGTACTCGAACGATAGCCACTTGCGGTTTTCCAGCCAAATATAAAGAAATCACCCGATCACACTTGAATTCCATGACGAATAATTTTTTTGTCGGGAAAATTCTCACCAAAATGTTTTTCGACGGTTTTAAACAATATAATGAACTATCAATTGAATAATTTTAACAGCTGTCGGACGAGTGGCTTAGAAATGACAGCAGTCTGAAGTTGGTTGCAGTTTTTCCAACTCACCCTGTATATCACTCCGATTCCTCCAAATTATAAATCTTATTTCAAATATTTGTTTTTCTCATTTCAAATATTCCTTGCGCTTATCCTAAAATAGGAGCAGCAAATTTTACCAGCAAAGATCTTGAAACATCCCTGCAACTTTGCACACACGTGGTCTACGGTTATGCGGCTATTAGAAGATCCACATACGAAATTGTGCCCGGTGATAAACGACAATTGCCTTTGTTCCAGCAAGTTAATGTCCTTAAGAAGAGGTACCCCAACGTAAAATTCCTCTTGAGTATGGGTGGTAACGCGGACAAACGGAATCCACACAAATATATGGAACTTTTGGAGAGTAACCGTGATCAAAAGAGAGGTTTCATAAATTCCGTTTTGGGATTTTTACGTAACTATCAGTTTGATGGTTTGGATTTGGCCTATCAATTTCCCGAAGAAAAACCAATTTTAGACGAGTCTCTGTTGAAGAGGGTGTTCTCGGCCGCCAAAGAAAAGGTGTCCAGCAATTTGGATAAAAACAAAGTTCCAACAAAGGTCGTATCCGTGGCGGAACGTCGAATGCAGTTAACACAATTAATTGGCGATTTGAAACAGGCCATGAGAGGCAGTAATTTGTTGTTGTCTTTGACCGTACTGCCCAATGTTAATTCAAGTCGTAAGTATTTCGATGAGGTGATCATAAATTTAATTGTATTTTTCTATGGTCCGATTTGTTGTGTTTGGGCAGTTGTCAGTATTTCATCCATTTAAAATTATATTCCAGTTTATTTCAATGTTCCCGTGATTATGGGCAATTTGGATTTTGTAACTTTGGCGACATTTGATTACAGCACTCCACAACGTACGCCAAAACAAGCTGATTACTTGGCACCACTGCAAGCCTTGCCACCAAATAAACTACGCAATCCACAGGCAAATGTTGATGCCCAAATACGCTATTGGTTGGGACAGGGTGCCAGTTCGGCTCAGCTCAATATGGGTATCGCTGGTCATGGTCGCACATGGCAATTCAAAAAGTTACTGAAGAGTGACAAAATGCCCATTAGATCGTCCCTAGATGGTCCTGCTGCGGCAGATGCTAATGTCCGTAAAACAGGTATAATGGCATGGCCAGATGTCTGCACCAAAGTTAAGCAAATGACAAAATATGAAGATAAAATCTCTGGCAACTATGCCTACAATGCGCCACAAGTTAAGGGTAGCACTGGACTGTTGATTACCTACGAGAATGTGGCCAGTATTGCTGAGAAAGCGTCCTATGTAAAATCTCATAAGTTGGGTGGTATGGCCTTGTTTGATCTTAGCCTAGATGACGTTCATGGTGTTTGTAGCGGTGAGAAATTCCCATTATTGAAAACTATACGCAATAAATTAATCTAGGACATTATTTTAATCAAATATAAAATTTTTGTTGTAAATAAAATAAAATAAAAGTTGTTAATAGCATGTTCACACAAGAGCGTTTCTCTATTTACAAAGGGTCATTTTTTTATCTTTTTGGTAACACTGGTTTAAACAGCTCGACATACATAAACAGACCCTAAATTCCAGTGTTTCAAGTGTTCAACTGTTCCATCTGTGATACTAGGTGAAAATGAAACTGTTGGGCGCCACTTAAGTATAGTTTCTCAATTTCTTAGTTTGGCTAATACTTCCTTATTTTTGAGTTTTTTCGCGTTTTAAATGTTAGTTTTTCATTGATGAACATTTCAATTTCATATTTTGGCCATGACTCATTTATTATTGAGTTTTTATACCATCCGCCATTCTATGGAGGGTATATTAACTTTGTCATTCCATTTGTAATTCCTCGAAACATAGACCCTACAAAGTATATATATTCTGGATCAGCATAAAATTCCAAAACTATCTAGCGATGTCCGTCTGTCTGTTGTAATCACGCTATCTTTCGAACGAGTTGAGATAAAAGGCTAAACTTTTGCATACATGCATAGTGTACTAGTAGGCAGGTTAAGTTCGTAAATGGGCCATGTCGGTCCACGTTTTCGTATAGCCACCATATAACGGTACCTTCCGATATTCGGTATTTTCATGATTTCAGCAATATTATTCACCGGAATCGTTCCAAGTTTCGTATTGAGATATCTTAATGGTCACTACAACCTATGGAAAAAAATCGTATGGCCCCCCTATGGCGATACTTCCCCATACTCAGTACCTTTATGATATGTGCGTTTCCGGAAGTTTTTTTTTTTTGAAAATTTTCGAGTACCGTCCAAATAGTGGAGGGTATAAAAAGTTCGACCGGCCGAACTTAGCTGCTTTTTTACTTGTTTTTTTTTCGCTTTTTTGTTATTATACCCTCTACCAAAAAAAGTATGGAAGGTATATTAAATTCGTCATTCCGTTTGTAACTCATCGAAATAATATTTTTAAACCTAACAAAATGTATAAATTTTTGAGATATTCCGAAATTTTTATGATTTTAGCGACATAATTAATCGGAATTGTTTCAAATTTCGTATTTAAGATTTCTAATGGGTACTACCGTCTATGACTGAATACGGCTCATGCATGTCCATGTCTTCTTCACATTTTGGAATGGAATTATCTGAAAATCCACACAATGAGTTCCTTCTGAGCACTTTACCCCATGGAAGAGAATTGTCCAAATTTCGTGTTTGAAGTTCGTAAGGGGTACTTCAAACTACGGCGGAAAATTGTCTATGCAGGTCCACGTCTTTGTATAGCCCACATAAAACGGTTTTCATTTGAGGGGTATATTCCGATGGATTTTTTTTTTGAAATTTCCAAGTTCATTCCCAATGGTGGAGATTATAAAATCTGCTTTTTTACTTGTTTGTTGTTGAACATTTCAGTTTCTTATTTTGGTCATAACTCCTTTATTCTTGTGTTTTGGGGTGTTTTGCCCCCTTTATTTTTGTACCCTTATACAGAGGGTATATATCATTTGATACGGCCAAAACGTGCCTCATAGAAATAACGGTTTCAGACCCTAGGTTTCTTTGGACCAAATCCGTTTCAGAAGATTTGGAGTCGATCTAGCGATGTCCGTCCGTTTATCTCTCAGGTTGGCTGGTGGCACGTTAATTATCGAAGAGAGTATTCTATTTGGTCCAAACTTATTACATCGTAATATTATTATCAAACTTAGATCGAGTTCGGAGATGGGCAATATCGGTCCACTCCTTCTGGCATCTCCCCCCCCCCCCCCAAAAGATCGAAACTTTCAAAAAATATGTTTTTTGCACAAAAAGAGAAACGATAATCCGATTTTGCTCCAACTTTGCAAATTCTAATATTTGCGTCAGGTGGGAAAATGGGCAATATCGGTCCACTCCATTAGGTACCTCTCCCACAAAGAGTTAACATTTTGAATGAAACAACTCTTATAAAATGTAATTTAAGTGTCCGATTGTCTTCAAATCACACATATCACAGTATTTTTATCAACCCAAGGTCTGGTGTGAAGATGGAAAATATCAGTCCACTTCTTTTGGTACCTCTCTACAAAGGTTCAAAATTTTGAATATCCATGAAACTCATAAAACGCGAAATTAACATCCGATTCCATTCCAGACTTGGTATATCTCAATATTTCCATCAACACAAGATCAGTTATAAAGATGGTAGATATTGGACCATTTCTTCTGGTACCTCCCCCAGCAGAGGGATAAAGTTTTGAATAACCAAAACCATATCCGAAACAAGCTTCCGGTTGTCTTCGTTATTAACACAAGAAGGGATATATCGGTCCTCTCCTTCTGGTACCTCCAGAATATCAAAATTTTGAATATCCACGAAGATAAAAAAACGCAAAATGAACATCCGGTTTCATTTAGACTTGGCACATCTCAATGTTTCTATCAACATAAGATGTCTTAGAAAGATGGCCCCAGAAGGCCAAAGTTTTAAATGACCAAAACGATTATAAAATCCGAAATAACCATCCGGTTCTCTTCATATTTCACACATCCTATTATTTCTACTTACACAAGATCTGATGTGAGGATGGGACATAACGGGTTAAAGATTTTGAAAAATAAAACGCTCAAAGAACCCCAAATAAGCATCCAACTCTCTTCAAATTTCACACAGACAAACATTTTTGCTAATAAAAGATCTGTTGTGGTGATGATATATATTAGCGAACCCCTTCAGGTACCTCATCCACAAAGGGTCACAATTTTCAATAGTGTTGTCTGTTAAAACTTTCCAAACAAGTCCGCCATTTTTTACAACTTGCTATATCTAAATATTTCTCTCAACCAAAAACCTGGGGTGAATGTGGAAATTTTAGATTTCCTTGTAGAAGTATGAAAATGGAATACTTCGGTCGACTAAATCTGGCACATTTTAACATTTTCTAAAAATTATCTCATATCTCATATAAAGTGAAAGAAGTAACCAATATAGTCCAAACATGGCACGTCGCAATATTTATAATACATTTATTTAGGTCTGATACGAAATGGACAAAATTGGCCCATTCCTTCGGAACCGACTCCATAGAGGGTCAACAATTCGAATAATCATAATAGAAGTCAAAATATATTTAAATCATCGACCATTCGCTGAGGGTATCCCACTGTCGGCAAAACCGACTGATAATTTTTAACTTGTTTATTATCATTTTAGATTACCTAGTGTCTTTCAGCAAAGATAAACTGAAGCCTATTATGAGACCATGGGAGTCAAATTTTACGTCATACGTACGTTATCAAAGTGATAGTACGATTGTCATGACACTTTGAAAACCTTTAGGGGCCAAAACAACTGCAAAAACGCCTCAAAAGCATGATTTGAAAATCATTCGTAATCTATATATATATTTTTATTTCATTTCCAAATGTGCGATAGAATCGAAGTGGGTGATAACCGTTTTAGAATAAAACTAGTCTACAACTTTGTTGGGTCAAAGGAAAATTTGTGGGACCCGTTTAAAATGTTATTATTAATTTTCTGATTTTTAGCTTTCTAATTTGACCTCTAATTTTAATATACATTTGAAAAAATTATTATTAATATTATAATTGTTCTAAAAAAATATAAAATATAATACAGGGTGAGATAAAAACCTGTAACAAAGTCAAACGCCATAATTTGTACATTTTATTTTAAATTTTATTGAATGAAAGCAGAAAATGTCGGAAATAGCATCAAATTTTAGAATAAGTTTAGATTTGTTCAAAAGGCCAATGAAACCGTCACACGCTGCCCGAATGTTGCTCTACAGTATTTTGGCCCATTCCCGGTGAGGCGCTTGCTTGAGGTGATCGACACTTTGGTATTTTTTAGTGCCAACCTTGCTTTCCAAAATACTCCAGACACAATAGTCCAACGTATTGGTATCCGGAGATTTTGGTGGCCATTGTGCGCTGGAAATGAAGCGAGGAACCTCATTTTGTAAACATTCTTGGGTGGCGCGTGCTGAGTGCGATGGTGCTGAGTCCTGTTGGAATGTCCAAGGTCTGCGGCCAAAATGTCTGCGTGCCCAAGGCTTTAATACACCCACCAGAATATTTTCGCGATAATATTCGGCATTTATTCTGATGCCACGGTCGATTAATACGAGCGGAGAGCGACCATCGAAATTGTAACTTCGAACCAAAGCCGCCTTCAATGACCGAAACTAACCACAGGATTTTGCAAATATTTGCGTAGACTTGTGTAAATTGTTTTGGTAATATCAAGTCGTAAAACAACTAAAATCAAATAGTTATTATTTTGCTCGCTCACCGTTCGAATCGTTCGCCAAAATGTCGGATCCAATTGAAATACCCGCTAGGAAAACCCTATATGATCCAGAGACAAAAATATGGAGTGGTGAAAAAAGTGAATTGGCGTTTAATCCGGAGGATTCAATTGCTTCGGTGGTATTGAAGAAGTTATTGGAAAATCCAGAACATATTGGACAGGTATTGTTTAAGACAACTCTACAATAATACAATAAAATAATAATATGTTGGAAAAGTTCAAAAATTAAAAAAAAAAAAAAAACATTTCTATATTAAATAAAAAAGTAAAAATAATTAAAAGAAATATAAACATAAAAATTAAAATTTTTAAAAGTAGAAAACTTGAGTAAAAAAAAAACAAAATATTTTAAAAAATAAATGTGTGGTACAAAGTCTATTTTGTGAGCATCAAATGATCGCCAGTTGGCCAAAGGTCAAAAGTGGTTTGTGGTATTTACCTGGGAGAAGCATTACCGCGATTTTAAATACAAACACAGCTATATGAGCCCTGTGCAGCGTGCCAAACACATGTAACTCTTCGGTATTGGTTGCAAAAAAGTGTCCCATCATTAAGGTAGTAAACCGGTACAATAAACAATGTCTGCGAAAAAAGCGTGATTTTAATAATGTTAACATTTTATTATGTTTTAATGATAAAACAAAATTTTCAACTGAGTTCTGGAGATTACACTTCCATATCAAAGTTTCCTGATAAACCAGAACGTAGTTTTCTCTGGTCGAAAATTACCATTAATTAAACTAACAACAACTATTTTTTAAAAGCAATTCTTAATAACGAAAAAATGGGAAATAATGATAAACGTGATCCAAAAGATACCCCAACATTGCAGGGATGTGTCTACAACATACTTTTTGAAAAAGTAACTTTGTCATGTCCCCCCAAAAAATGAACTTTGTCATGCAAATGTGTTCACATTTCGGTGGGGCCCTGGCCTCTGCATACTATCCACCAACACTTAACTATCGCTTAAATTGTATGAAAGAATATGCAAAAATATTTCCAAGTATCTGATTGATATGAGTGGTTATACAATTTTTATACCCTCAGACACATGGCTACAGGGGATATATATCATTTGATAGGCTAAAACGTGCCTCATTGAAATAACGATTTTAGATACTAGGTCTCTTTGCAGCGAATTCGTTTCAGGAAATTTGGAGTCGATCTAGAGAATTTGGTATATCGTAATATTATTGTCAAAATTAGATTGAGTTTGGGGATGGGCAATATCGGTCCACTCCTTCTGGTAGCTCCCCCACAATGGTGTGAAATATTTATAGAATATAATTTACCTCATTGAACAAGAACGGATCATACAATTTCTTTTAACATTGAAAATCCAAATATTTGTATCAGTGCTAGGGCCGGTGTGAAAATTTGGAATAATTATAATTATGACAAAATCCTGTGTGAAGGTGGGATCATTCCTTTTGGTACCTCCCTTCAACGGGCGAACTTTTTGAATTCGATTATATTAAAGTTTCATATACCCTAATATTTTTAATAATTTCTGGTATGAAGATAGAATATATCGGACCACCCCTTCGAATACTTCCAATACAAACGGGTCAACATTTAGAGTAACCATGAAGCTCATAAAACGCGAAGTGAGAATCTGACTTTTTTAATTCGGCACATTCCATAATTTCTATTAAAATTAATTAATTTTAAACAATTCCGGTTAAAAAAAACATGGCTAAAACTATATAATACGGAATATTGGGAGCTACCGGAGGTACTTATATGTAGGCTGTACGAAAACGTGCACCGACATGGCCCATTTACGAACTTAACCTGTATATTGACAAAATACACATATGTGCAAAATTTGAGCCTTCTATTTCAATTCGCTCGAAAGATAGCGCGATTATAACAGACAGACGGACATCGTTAAATCGACTTAGAATGTTACGCTGATCAAGAATACTGTAATAGACACTGTTAAATCTGACATTTCTAATAGTTCAAGCGGAACCACCCTTCATAGTGTGGTGGAGGGTATAAAACAATTGACTAAATTCTGACTCTTCCTTTCTTACACTCTTTACCAAATTTAGTTCCTTTTATACATTATACAATACGCATTTTCCAAAAATATATCATAACGTGTAAACCCTACACACCTACTGTGCTCTTTACACCGAAATTCAGAATATTTGCTCTATTTTTACACTCTTTGCTTAAATTAATACAATTTAGTACTTTTACGTATTTCTCACGTTTTTTACATTACATTACACACACACACACACACATATATATATATATATATATATATATATATATATATATATATATATATATATATATATATATATATATATATATATATATATATATATATATATATATATATATATATAGTTGGTTGTGACGTTTGATAAGGAGCTTCAACATGACTGGTTTGTATTGGAAAGTGACACAGCGAAATACTTATTGTTGTCAAAGATACATATATATACATATATATATATATATATATATATATATATATATATATATATATATATATATATATATATATATATATATATATATATATATATATATATATATATATATATATATTATATTATATATATATATATATATATATATATATATATATATATATATATATATATATATATATATATATATATATATATATATATATATATATATATATATATATATATATATATATATATATATATATATATATATATATATATATATATATATATATATAGTTGGTTGTGACGTTTGATAAGGAGCTTCAACATGACTGGTTTGTATTGGAAAGTGACACAGCGAAATACTTATTGTTGTCAAAGATACATATATATATACATATATATATATATATATATATATATATATATATATATATATATATATATATATATATATATATATATATATATATATATATATATATATATATATATATATATATATATATATATATATTTATATTTATATATATATATATATTAATATATATATATATATATATATATATATATATATATATATATATATATATATATATATATATATTTATATATATATATATATATATATATATATATATATATATATATATATATATATATATATATATATATATATATATATATATATATATATGTATCTTTGACAACAATAAGTATTTCGCTGTGTCACTTTCCAATACAAACCAGTCATGTTGAAATACTTGTCTTTAAGTTGTTTAAAATGTTCGAAACGATTATGGACATAAGTACATGTTTAGGTAAAAGCGTCACATGTACTTATCACCGAATTTTCAATGTCGCATGGAACTGTTGTTTTCTGATTAATTTTACAATCTTAAGAAAGCTCGTTAAACTTATCAGGAGAGTTCGATGATTATCTAAACAAGTGGTTGGGAGATAATATGACTCAGCAACAGCCAGACTAACCCCCAATAAATAAAAAATTAAAAAAAACAATAACAGTCCGAAAGATTACGGTAAAAAGACCTTTGACAACTTTTTACTGTCAAAATGTGTATTCATAATTGTATATACATAAACCACAGATGGAAACCCGATTTTTATACGCTCAGCTAGAGAGGCTATATATCATTTGATACGGCCAGAACATGCCCCGTCGAAATAACGGTTTTACACCCTAGGCCATTTGGAGAAGATATAGCGATGTCCGTCTGTCTCGCTGGTGTGCACGATAACTATCGAAGGGAGTATCCGATTTGGTGCAAACTTGGTTCATCGTAATATTGCTATTAAATTTCGATAGAGTTTGGAGATTGGCAATATCGGTCCATTCCTTCTGGTACCTCTCCCACAAAAGGTCGAAATTTAAAGAGAAATGTTTTACCACACAGAAAGAGAAGGGATAGTCCGATTTTGATCCAATTTTGAATTACTACTAGGTTAAGTGCGAAATTGGACAATATCGGTTCACTCCATCAAGTACCTCCCTCACAAAGTGTGAAAATTTTGAATTAATATATCTCTTATGTGATACATGTAAGAGTCCTATTGTCTTCAAATTACACACATCAGAATATTTTTATTAATACAAGGTCTGGTGTGAAGATGAAATGTATCGGCCTACTCCTCTGGTGCCTCCCCCAAAAAGGATCAACTTTTTTATCACCCATGACGCTCATAAAACGCGAAATGAGCATCCGATTTCTTTCAGACTTGGCACATCTCAATATTTCCCTCACAATATCTGTTATAAAGATGACAGAGATCGGACCATCTATTCTGATACCTTCTCCACAAAGGATCAAAGTTTTGAATAACCAAAACGATCATAAAATCCTAAATAAGCATCCGGTTCTCTTTAAATTACGCATGTCACAATATATTTAACCCAAGGTCTGGTATGAAGATGGGATATATCGGTCCACACCTTCTGGTACCTCCCCCACAAAGATTCAAAATTTTGAGTAACCATAAAGCTCATAAAAAGCGAAATTAACATTCGATTCCATTCAGACAACTCAATGTTTTCTTTAACACATGATCTGTTATAAAGATGGTAGAGATCGGACAATTTCTTCTGGTACCTCCCCACAAAGGGTTCAAGATTTTGAAAAACCAAACGCTCAAACAAAGAGGAATAAGCATTCAACTTTCTTCAAATTTCACACATCCAAATATTTTTGCTAACGCAAGATCTGTTGTGAAGATGGTATATATATACCAATCCCTTCTGTTACCACAACCACAAGGGGTCACAATTTCAAATACTTAAATCTGTCATAACTTGCAAAAAAGTCGGTGATTCTATACTACTTGCTATATCAAAATATTTCTCTTAACCAGAAATCTGATATGAATATGTACTTTATCAAAATTTATAATTTCGCATAAAATTGGATATAAATGTTCAATTTTCTTGTCATTTTGCCATACCAATATTTTTATCTGTATTAGATGAAGTATGAAAATGGAGTACTTCGGCTCGCTATAAATGGTACCTCAAGCATATTTCCACATTTTCCAAAAATTTGCACATATCTCACATAAAGTTTAGGAAGTAGTCGATATAGTCCAAATCTGGTACGTTGAAATAATTATATCAGTCTTAGGTCAGATACGAATTGGTCGATGCTTCGGAGCCTCCCCCATAAAGAGTCAATAGGTTGAACAATCATAACTCAAGGCTGGGGGTATAAATCTGTCGGTAAACCGACTGACTATATTTTACTTCACGTACTCTCACTTGTGCATACGTAAAATTAAGAATAATATAGGTGTAAGTAAGAGGAACCCTGGTTTAACCATATATTAGAAACTCGTAGTCCCAAAAACACGACTAGTCTTCCGACTTTCAGAATTTTATATTCATTTCATCCTTTTGTTTTGAAATTAATTTTAATTTAAAAATATTTTCTCCTTCAAAGGTCTGCTACCAAAGTGGCAATGAGTTGACGAATTTGGAAATTGCCAAACGAACGGTACAGGTTGCCAAATACTTTGAGAAGCTGCAGTTCCAACAGTCGGACATGATTGGATTGTGTGCCGGCAATACGGATTATATTGCCCCACTGGTATTTGGTGCATTGGCAGCTGGTCTGTGCATTAGTACCTTAGATCCCAGTTTTGATAAGGCTGGCATTAAACACGTCTATTCGCTGACCAAGCCACGTATGATGTTCTGCGATGGTGATCTCTACGAACGAGTGCGTGAAGCTTTGGATGAATGTGATTTGGGCGCCACGAAAATCTATACAATGAGTAATCATGTGGATGGTGTGCCGAGTATTATGGAATTCTTTGAGGATGAAAGTGTGAATCCCAGTGACTATAGGTAAGTGAAGGGGAAGATTTTAATGAGAGAAAAGTAATTGATTTTTTTCTGTCTCTCTCTCTCTGCTAGGGTACAACCCCTCAAGGATGGCGTACACCAGACGGCATTCATTGTTTGTACCTCGGGCACGACAGGATTACCCAAGGGCGTTTGTATATCCCACGCCTGTTTCCTGAGCATGAATATGTCAGAGTAAGTATTAGGTACCTCTTAGAACTCAATACCTGTTTCAAGATAATTTGCAGGCTATTTTGAAATTGGTAGTCACACTTTTATCTATAAAAGGTGACTCACCTTTAAAGGGACTTTCGATTAAAACAAGAAGAACTTTAGTAGACCTCCCAAAAATTAAGTACAAGCCTTCCCTCTGCAAAAATAATTTACTTCTGCCTTTACAAGATTTGTAGACGTCTCTTTGTGCAGCCTCAGGTTTTTGGCCTGACCCTCACAGAAGAACGGTCATAACTAGATCAACTTCAAATGCCTTGAAACTACTTTCGTCTCAAGAGACATTTAATTTTTAGCCGAAAGTATTTTCAGAACAGTCTTGCTCAAAATATAGGCATTAGCAGCCCAGCCAAATCAATGGCTAGGAAGTTTAATTCAGAGATATCTTCTATGTACTTCTGTCTATAAACACTTTTTCCAAATTTTCAAAGTGTCGCCCAATATAAATTTGATTTATAATTGACAAAAGATTTTAATTTTACCACCTCATCAGTCCATAAGATCTTCTAAAGAAAGAAAACCTTTCACAGGACCTCTGCGAATCTTCTATGTACTTTTGTCTACGAGCACTTTTTCCAATTTTTTAAAGTGGCGCCCAATATAAATTTGCTTTATTATTAAATTTGTTTTAAAATTATTTTGTACATCTCATCAGTTCATGAGATTTTCTATAGAACGAAAACTACCACAGGCCTCATGTACATCGAATACCATTTTCGGTCTTCTATAGAACCTTATAAGAAATTTTCACTTTTTCCAAATGACCAAAGTGGCGCCCAATATAAATTGGTTTATTTTAAAAGATTTTTTCACCTAATCAGTTCCTGAGATCTTCCATAGAACGAAAACTTTTCACAGACCTCATGTAGATCGAATACCTTTCTTAGTGGTCTTCTATACAACCTTATAAGAACATTTCCAGTAGGTCTCTCAAATCTTAAAGATTTTGGATTGCCTCGTATCACTTTGAGGGTCTGGAGAGAAAGAAGAATTATGGCATTTATACTACATAAAGTATACGCCTAAGAGAACCTACATTTTCAGAAACCCCTTGTGAGATGTTTACTTTTTAGAGGACCTCTGAGATATCTTCTATGTATTGTCTAGAATCACTTTTTCTTAATTCTCAAAGTGGCGTCCAATATAAATCTCTTTCATTATTGGCAAACCTTTTAATTTTTCCAACTCATCAGTTAAAATTATTTACATATTTTCTCTTCTCTCCTTTCAGGAATGGCTTCAAAGACCAGAATTTCCTATGCTTTAGCACTCTGTATTGGGTGTCGGGTCTCTTCACCTTAATACAAGGCACAATTGGCTGTGCCAGACGTATTATTTCCTCAAAAGCATTTAATGTCGAGGATTTCTTCAATATTGTTGAACGTTACAAGGTCAACATGACCATGGGCCCACCATCACAGATTGCCTTGGCTGTTTCATCGGATAAGATTGGCTCCGTCGATCTTTCGAGCTTAACAGCCTGTATGATTGGTGGCAGTGCAGTTTCACATTCACTCACCGAGAAATTCCGCAAATATGCCACTAATGCTTGGTGTCTGGTTGGTTATGGATCGAGTGAAACATCGGGAATTGCTGCAACAGCAAGTGTACCAAGCAATGCAGTTGGCAAATTGGTGGACAATGTAGAGGTGAAGATCATCGATGATGATGGCAATGCGTTGGGTCCCCAAGAATCGGGGGAGATATGTGTACGCACTCCTTTGCCATGGGCTGGTTATTTTGGCAATCCCACCGCCACCAAAGAAAAATATGATTCGGAGCGTTGGATCTATACCGGAGATGTGGGATATTTCAACGAAGAGGGTGAACTGTTTTTGGTCGATCGTAAATGTGATATTCGTAAATACAACAACTTCCATTTTTCACCCACCGATATTGAGAATGTCATCAGTGAACTGCCCCAGGTGGCCGATGTATGTGTTGTGGGTATTCCGCACAGTGTCCATGGTTTCTTGCCCGCAGCCTGTGTAATTAAACGGGCCAACAGTGACATCAAGGAATCCGAAATCTATCAACATGTTGTGGAGAGAATGCAAGACTTTGAATATTTGCGTGGTGGTGTTTATTTCGTCGATGATTTTCCACAAACAGCATCGGGCAAGACCATACGTCGTAAGGTCACCGAGATGTGTGAGCGGCTATGGAATGAAAAGAACGCAACTAATTAGATAAATTTTATTATTTTTTTTTAAATTGTTTTAAAATAAAACTTTATTTGTATTATTGTATTTTTAGTTTTGAAATATAAAGTCGTTGGTTTTCATGGAAGGGGTATATGAAATGACTGCTGGCGTATCAATTTTAAAAAAACAAAATACCACTTTTATCATTTTTGCAAGACAGACAGTCTTGCTGCTGCAAGGGGCTTGTCTTAAGGATATAGGTGTTTTTTGTTTTGGCTCAAGCAGGGTCTCATTCTTTCTTAAGTGGGTGGGTATACATTGACGCAGAGGCTCTGGTTCGCACTTCCACAGAATATTCGTCTTGCTGTTACCACAGGAGCTTCGGTTCACTCGAAATCGAGAGCAAAGACATAGAGGCAATCGTAGCATAACCCCACCGACTAACCTCCTAAAACCACAGACGATCGCCAATACCACGAGTCATTGATCGTCCATTCAATAAAAACACCTTCCAGAGTTCTGTACCACTAGTCGACACTGCAGCTGATTATACTCTCAGTCATATGGGTAGAGAGTGTATATATCATTTTTATACTGCCAAGACGTGCCTTATCGAAATAACGTTTTTAAAAACTAGGTTTTTGACTAAATCCTGCTCATGATATTTGGAGTCGATCTAGGGGTGTCTGTTGGGAAATCTTATTGATTTTGACAGTGCTAGGTCAGGTGTGAAAGTGGATAATATAGAACCACTCCTTCTGATACCTCTCTCACTATGGATCAAATTTTTGAATAATCTAAACTCTAGTAAAATGTTAAATTAATTTTGCATATCATAATATTTCGAACAACTATAGGTCTGGTAAAAAGATGGGATAAGTGGGACCACTCGTTTCGGTACCTTCCCCACAAAGGTTCAAATTTTTGAATAACCATCAAGCTCATAAGACACGAAATATGTATCCGATTCCTTTTAAACTCGGTACATCTCCATATTTTTATAAACAAAAGATCTTCTATGAAAATAAAATATATCCCTCCGGTACTTCCCCCACAACGATTTAAAATTTATATCTCTCCTACTACGCGAAATAAGCATCCGATTGTTTTCAAATTTCACACATTATAATATTTTTATTAACATAAGATCTGTTCTGAAGATGGGATATATCGGTCCACTCTTTCCCCACAAAGGGGTCAAATATTTGAATAATCTCAAGGCTTATAAAATGTGAAATAAGTGTGGAATTGTCTTGAAATTTCGCATAGCCCAATATTTGTAACAACTGTATCTCTAATAAGAAGGTCGGACCACTCCGTACCCCTCCTACAACGGGTCAAAATTTTTAATAACCATGATGATCATAAAACGTGAAGTGAGCATCTGAATCCTTTCAAAATCGACACATCTTCATATTTCTAAAAATAAAAGATCTGATGGGAAGATGGAATATATGGTACCTCCACCACAGAAAAATTTTGAACCAAAAGGCTTATAAAATGCGAAATAAGCTTCCGATTCTCTTCAATTGTACTCGTCCTAATTTTTTATTAACACAAGATCTTGTGTTATCTGGTGCCCTTTCTGATATATCCCCCACAAAGGGTGATTCATTTTTTTCAAGCTTGGTTTGCATTAACCAGAGTTCTGATGTGAATATAAAATGTATCGACCCACTCCTACTGATATCTCCACAACAAATAATTATTCTAATAAAATTGGAGTTGTGTAATTTTATATAATTTTTGGACTGGCCAAATAACTGTTGTAATTTTGAAGAAAACTTGCTTCCAATCAGAATTTGAGATATCAAAATGCAGTTGATTTAGTTGGAAATTATGGCAGAATCCTACAATGTACCGAAAATCAAAAAAACATTTTTGTTAAGAGAACGTGAACCTGATGAGAATGAGATATGATTATAATCCAGCCAATCACAGTTTTGGAATCACGCTACTTTTTTGATAAATACTTTTTAAATTAGTTGGTAACAACCATCATCTATCTAACATTTACCCACCAACTTCTTTGATAATTGTGAAAGTAGCTGACTTTTGCCAATTGATAATGCCGATCTGATTTTTCGTTTTCTATACCATCTATACGATATTAATCATAAAAAATTCGAATTTATTGTTCTTTATTGCTTTGATAAAAGGCGAATAGGCAAATCATCAAAAAGTGTGCGAAGTATCGTAAAATATTACCAATAATATGTGATTCACTTTATGGATGATATATGGGACAGCTTTTTTTGTAGATTTTATTAAGAATTTTACATTCGAATCTAATTACGAAAAAACATCACATCAAAGCCTCAAAAACTCAGATCAGTTCTAGGTCAGGTGCGAAAATGGCCAATGTCGGTCCACTCCATCAAGTACCTCCAAAGGGTCAAAATTTTGAATAATTAAAACTCCTATAAAATGTGGTGTAAGACTCCGATTGACTCAGGTTACGCTCATCACAATATTTAACTAACCAAAGGTCTAGTGCGAAGTTGGATTATATCGGTCCACTCCTTCTGGTACCTTATAAAACACGAAATGAACATCCCATTCCATTCAGACTTGACACATCTCATTATTTTTATAATCACAGGATCTGTTATAAAGATGGTAGAGATCGGACCATTCCTTCTGGTACCTCCCCCACAAAGGTTCAAGGTTTAGAATGAAAATCACAATATTTTAATTATCCCAAGGTCTGGTGTGAAGATTCAATGTATCGTTCCACTCCTTCTCCCCCACAAAGGGTCAAAGTTTTGAGTATCCATGAAACTCATAAAACGGGAAATTAATGCCGATTCTATAATGTTTCCATCAACACAAGACCTGTTACAAAGTTAGTAGAGATCGAACCATTTCTTCTGGTACCTCCCCCACATAGGGTTCAAGATTTTGTAAAACAAAACGTTCAAAAAAAGCGAAATAAGTATCCAACTCTGTTCTAATTTGACACATCCAAATATTTTTGCTAAAGCAGGATCTGTTGTGAGGATGATATATATCTGCGAACCCCTTCTGGTACCTCACCCGCAAAGAGTCACAATTTTCAATACTTTTTTCTGTCATAACTTGCGAAACACGTGAGCGATTCTTTAAGACTTGCTATATCTAAATATATCTCTTAACCAGAAATCTGATATGAATATGTTATTTATCGCAATTTATAATTTCGCATAAAATTGGATATAAAATTTTCGATTTCCTTTAAATTTTTTATCTGTATTAGATGAACTATGAAAATGAAATTCTTCCGTCCGCTATACCTGGTTACCTCATGCATATTTCCACATTATCCAAAAATTTGCAGACATCTCATATAAAGTGTAGGAAATAGTTGATATAGTCCAAATCTGGCACGTTGTAATATTTATATCAATCTTAGGTCAGATACGAATTAGTAAATATTGTCCAAATGCTTAGGAACCTCCCCCATAAAGAGTCAACAGGTTGAATAACTCCAGGCAAAACCGACTGATACTATTTTACTTGTTTTTTGTTTTATACAAGCGCTGTGATGGGAGATACCAGAAACAGTGGACCAATATTGTCCATTTTAGCACCTGTAGTAGAACTGAGGCAAATATTATGATTTCAACTTCTGAACTAAATCGGATGATCCTTTCTATTTCTGTGCAGTAAAATATTTTTTTTTTGACATTTTCTGATGGAGTAACCATAAGCAGTGGACCGATTTGTTCATCTCCGAACTCGATCTAAGTTTCATAATAATATTACGATGAACCAAGTTTGGACCAAATCGAATACTCGCTTCACGAGTTATCGTGAGCACCAGCCAGCCACACACAGACAAACAGACGGACAACCTTAGATCGGCTCCAAATTTGTTCCAAAGAGGGTTTAAAACCGTTATAAAAATATTCACATTTTATTGGCATATTATTATGCGATTTTTTAGATTTTATCCTTTTTGTGTAACAGGGCATTCTGGATTGGTGAGAATGTTTAAAATGGTCCAATCGTTCTTGAGTTATAAGCGTAATAACTGACATTCATTTTTTATGTACATATTGCACCTATTTTCCATATAACCGATATCTTGGCCACAAGTATTAGTGTAAGGGTCAGAAGTGACCTTTTCGTGTATTTGTAATTCGCTGGGACTAAAAATATCCGCGGTTTAATGGAAATTTTGATATTTTTGTATAAAAAAGTTGTGGTCCATTTCACCCTCTAAACAATATCCAATATCCATCCAAACTGGTAGGTTTTTGCTCTGCCTTTGGTAATTTTCAACCCCTAAGTATTTTGTGATCATTTCTAAAAAAAAAACAAATTTATAATACCCAAGACATTGTGTTGTTGGGAATAAAAAAGCAGAATACCTATAGGAAAGGTCTCCCGACACAACAACCCTTGGTACAATGAAATAAAGGTAACTTCATTTCAAATTAGCATTCCCAGCTCTGCATTTTCTGTAACTTACCTTGTCAAATTTAAATGCATAAAAACAGCTCCCATCCCTGATTTTGTGTCTATACAATGGATTTATAAATATAGATTTTGACAACTTAAAACAATTTTGTTTAAATTTGAAAAAAAAAAATTAAACATGACTTTACCTTCTTAGTTCTACCATGCAACAACCTTAACAATAAATTTTTATGAAACTGAAAAATTTGACACAAAGAAAATATATATTTTCGTACGTCTCTAGAGTTGCCCGGATTGAATATTTGACATAAATGATAACGCACTTGTATATCTTTATTACGCTGTTATTGGGTCTGTTTACATAGATGCGTTGCAAGTGAAGAGTCGGCAGAATATAATACTCTCTCTATCTCTCGCGGACAAAGCCGTTCGTTGGAGTTCTATAAAAACAAGTCGCTATGATTCTAAATAGTTTAGAGTTAATTTAGCAAGCACAGCATTCGCAACGCGTCACATCTCAACATGTCGGATAAGGTCGAACAACAAACCAGCTATAATCCAAAAACTAAAATATGGAGTGGCGCCCAAGTGGAAGTGACCTATGGACCGGAGGATTCAATTGCTGCACTGGCTCTAAGGCAAATGTTGGATAATCCCGATCACGTTGGACAGGTAACTCGGAAGGGGGATGGATTTGGAATATTAAAATTTTTAAATTATTTTTTTTTTAATTTTAAATTTAAATTAAATTCATTATATGCTTATTTGTTTGAAAGTGTTTGGTGAAGTTAGTGTGTATGTTAAATTAGTTTTATCTATGGAAATTATTAAAAAAAAATCATATGCCCATTTTTTGCAAGTCACTCTCCAAGCACTTACGACTATAAAACAAGTTTTAAGTAGCAACAAATTGATAAGATCTTAACGCCATGCTAACATTGCCAACAGCTTTATTAAAAAACTACACTGAGAAGTTAATATTTTACCAAGTTTATGTGGATTTGGTGGGGGATGTATTAAATTTATCTGAAGTTCGAAAAAGTATTTTTTTTTACTTTTGAATATTTTTAATTTTTTTAAAGCATGTTTTTTAAGAAATATATCGGCGTTTTTTTAATGAAATTTTAATGAAAGTGATTTGACAATATTGAAATAGCTTAGACATAGCCCACTAGCTAACGAACTTATTAGTGTTATATTAGTTAGTGATACTTATAATCCCCAAATTCTCATTCAGATGTACATGTAAAATAGTATCAGTCGGTTTTGCCGACAGATTTATACCCCCAGCCTTTAGTTATGATTATTCCGAAGCTTCTGAAGCAGTTGGCCAATATTGACCAATTCGTACCTGACCTGAGACTGATAAAATATTACAACGTGCCAGATTTGGACAATATCGAATACTTCCTATACTTCATATGAAATATGTCCAGAAGAAGGGATTGACAGATATATATCATTTTCACAAAATATTTTGTGTTAGAAAAAATGTATGTATGTGTGAAATTTGAAGAGAGAGTGAGATGCTTACTTCGCTTTCTTTGAGCGTTTTGTTTTTCGAAATCTTGAACGCTAGGTGGGGAGGTACCAGAAGAAATCTTATGTTGATGGAAATATTGAGATGTGCCAAGTCTGAATTTAATCGAATGTTAATTTCGCGTTTTATGAGCTTCAAGGATATTAAACATTTTTAGCCTTTGTGTGGGAGGTACCTGAAGAAGTGGACCGATATATCTCATCTTCATAGCAGATCTTGTGTTAATAGAAAAAATGGAATGTGAGAAATATGAAGAGAATCGGATGCTTATTTCGTTTAAGATCGTTTTTGTTATTCTAAATTTTAACCCTTTGTGGGGGAAGTACCAGAAGAAATGGTCCGATTTCTACCATCTTTGTAACAGAAATTGTATTGATAAAGGTATTGAGATGTACATCATCTGTGTGGTAATTTCGCATTTTATTAGCTTCATGAATATTCAATGTTGACCCTTTGTGGGTGAGTACCAGAAGAAGTAAACCGATATATTCCATCTTCGTAGCAGATCTTGTTTTAGTAAAAATATCGGGATATGTGAAATATTAAAATAGACGGATGCTTATATCGGATTTTATAACCGTTTTGCTTTTTCAAAACATTGACCCTTTGTGGGGGAGGTACCAGAAGGAATGGTTCGATCCCTACCATCTTTATAAAAGATCTAGTTTTGATAGAAATATTTATGAAATGGGCCGAAATTTTCCATTTTCGCAAGGGGGCTATATTAAGACATGAACCTCCAAATGCAATTTTTTGTCTAAGCTATATGACCCGTTAGGACTTTCAAATAGGCAATTTGGAACAATTCTGGCGAATAATGTCGCTAAAATCATCAAAATACCGAATATTGGGAGGTATCATTATATGGGGGCTATATGAAAACTTGGATCTGAACACGTTATCTGGTGGTTATATGATACCATGGACCGGTTTAGCCCATCTTCGAACTTGATCTGCCTGCAGATAAAGGACTTCCTATCTTAATTCGTTTTGATTCTAGCGTTATTACAACAGACGGACGGACAGAGCTTATTTGTCTCAAAATTTTACGCTGATCTGGAATGTATATAATTTGAGAGGTCTAAAATTATGAGTTCTATGAGTTACAAACAGAATGACGAACTTAATATTCTCTCCATACTATATATGATGGAGGGTATAAAAACTCAAAATTGATTTTTAATTCCCAGATTAATTTTTATACCTTCCACCATACATAGAATGGAGGGGGTATTAAGTTCGTTCTTTGTGATTACTTTACTCCCTGAAAGAGAATTATCCACGATATCGTATAGCCCTCATATAACGGTACCCCCGATATTCGGCATTGTAATGATTTTAGTCAATTTTTTTTACCGGAATTATTTCAAATTTCGTATTTTAATTATTAATATTTTAGAAATGGGCACTACAGCCTATATTTCGACGGAACATTTTGAGTTGAGTTCCTTCAGAATGGTGAAGGGTATTAAAAGTTCGGGCCGGTCAAAGTTAGCTGCCGTTTTTTTTGTTTTTGTTTTACTTTTCTAATCTGCTACAGTTTTTTCCTGCATTTTTGAAAAAACTGAATTTTGTTGCACAGTGTAATTTATTGCCTTATTCAAGGATTCCCATCAAAGTGGAAATGAACTGACGAACTTTGAGCTGGCCAAACGAACGGTACAAGCTGCCAAATATTTCGAAAAACTCCAGCTGCAACAGTGCGATATGATTGGTCTATGTGCTGGTAATACCGATTACGTAGCTCCCTTGGTGTTTGGTGCATTGGCGGCGGGACTTTCTATTAGTACCTTGGATCCTAGTTTCGATACAGCCGGCATCAAACATGTCTATTCATTGACAAGGCCCCGCCTGATGTTCTGTGATGGTGAACTGTATGAACGAGCACGCACGGCATTGGATGACTGCCAGCTTACGGCGACGAAAATCTACACAATGAGTAATCATCGTGAAGATGTTCCCAGCATTATGGAGTTCTTCGAGGATGATAGTGTGGATCCGAGGGATTATAGGTATGTTTATAGTAAACTGATAATTTTGATAGAGTTTTAAATTGTTTCCATTTTTTAGGGTACCGCTGTTGAAAAATGGCCTTGACCAAAGTGCTTTCATTGTCTGTACGTCGGGTACCACAGGATTGCCCAAAGGTGTTTGTATATCCCATGCAAACGTGGTGGTGAATTCCTTTTCATTGTAAGTAGCAATGTGGGACCAACTATTGGTCATTTGCAGATCTTCAAAGGGTCTCTTATAGACTTTCAAAAAAAATAAGAAGACCTTTAAGGATCTTCCATAGACAGGCGACATTAAGAGATATTTTATAGGAAGAAGATCTTTAAAATATAAGATATGAAGCTAAAATTTGGGACACATCAGTATTTTATCTGCAGGCAAGTCAAGTTCAAAGATGGGCTATATCATACCACGATTTCATATATTCTCCATATAACTGTACCTCCCGATATTCGGTATTTTGATTTAATGAATTTAGCCGATTTTTTCAATGGAATTGTCTGCAAATCCACACAAGGATTTCCTTCTGAATAATTTACCCCCTGGACGAAAATTGTCTATATAGGTCCACGATATCGTATAGCCTCAATATAACGGTACATCCCCCATGTTCGGTATTTTTACGATTTTACCGACAGAACCAGAGTGCTCTAAGATTTTTTTCAAATTTCGTATTTGAAGTTCGTAATGGTGCTATAGCTTATGACGAAAAATTTTGTATTCAAGTCCACGTTTTCGTATGGACCCCATATAACGGTACCTCCCGCGATTCTGTATTTTGATGATTTTTGCGTCATTATAGACCAGAATTGTTTCAAATTTCGTATTTGAAGATCTTAATGGATAATACATCCTATGACAAAAAATTGCGTATGCAGGTCCACGTCTTCGTATAGCCCCCATATAACGGTACCTCCCCATATTCGGTATTTTGATGATTTTAACGTCATTTTTTGTCGGAATTGGTTCAAATTTCGTGTTTGAAGGTCTTAATAGATGCAACAGCCTACTACAAAAATTTGCGTATTCAGGTCCACGTCTTCGTATATCCCCCCCATAACATTATTTACCGGAATGTCTGAAATTTTGTATCTGAAGATCCTAATGGGTGCTAAAGCCTTTGACAAAAAATGACATATGCAGGCCCTTATCTTCCTATAGCCCCCATATAAGGGTTTTTATTAAAGTTGTATTTTCGGCGAAATTTTTTTGAAATATTTTTTCCTTCCAAATGGTGGGTGGTATTAAAAGTTCGGCCCGGTCGAACTTAGCTGCTTTTTTCTTGTTATCTTTTATTTTTAGAAAAAGTTCTGTAAATCTTTATTTTTTCTATCCCCTTTTCACATTTCATTCAACAATTATTTTTCGTTAATTTTTCAGAAACGCCTACAAGGACACCACCCTACTTTGTTTTAGCTCCCTCTATTGGTTATCGGGGATAATAACCCTGGTGCATGGCACTATTGGTGGGGCCAAGCGCATCATTTCCTCCCGACCATTCAATACGAATGACTTTTTCGACATTGTCGAGCGTTACCGAGTCAAAATTACCATTGGTCCACCCTCACAAATTGCATTGGCCGTTTGCTCGGAGAGAATTGCCTCGGCGGATTTGTCAAGTCTTGAAGCCACTCTGATTGGTGGCAGTGCCGTCTCATATTCTTTAACGGAAAAATTTACACAATTCGCTAAAAATGCCAGCTGTTCGGTCGGTTACGGTTGCAGTGAAATTGGTGGCATATCCATGGCTAAGAGTTCTCCAAATAATTCAGTTGGTTTCTTGTTTCCCAATATTGAAGTGAAAATAGCTGATGACAATGGTCGGGCATTGGGTCCCAATGAAACCGGTGAGTTATGGGCTCGTAATTCACTACCATGGGCGGGTTATTTTGGCAATCCCGCAGCCACCGCAGAGAAATATGATTCGGAGGGTTGGATTCATACCGGAGATATTGGTTATTTCAACGATGATGGTGAGCTGTTTGTGGTGGATCGTAAATGCGATATTCGAAAGTATAACAACTTCCATTTTTCGCCAACGGATATTGAGAAGGTCATCAGTGAATTGCCACAAGTGGCTGATGTTTGTGTGGTGGGTATACCGCACAGTGTTCATGGTTTCTTGCCCGCAGCCTGTGTCATTATGCGGGCCGGTTGTGACATCACGGAATCGGAAATCTATCAGCATGTTGCGGAGAGAATGCAAGACTTTGAGTATTTGCGAGGTGGAATATACTTCGTCGAAGATTTTCCACAAACAGCATCGGGCAAAACGATACGTCGTAAGGTAACGGAGATTTGTGAGCGACTGTGGAATGAGAAGAATAAGAATAATTAACTGAATTTGAAAATAATTATTCAAAAAAAGAATAAATAAATAATTAAATAAAAAAATACCTACTTGAGTTTTTTTTTTAAGAAATGCTTCTGAAGACCATCAATGTATAAAGGATTTTCTGAAAGTTTTCGCATTATTCCTAAAATATAAGAAGACCCCTTAAAGGTCTTCAAACTTTGACTGTTAAGAGCTATTAAAGTGCTTCGGTCCGTAGAAGTGCCTTGCGTATATAAGAAATATTTTAGGCGACTTTTTTAGGTCATTTATAGAAGAGGAGACTCGAGATGTCTTATAGGAGTAGCGAGCTTAAAAGGGCATCGCTGTCTCGAAGCGATCTGGAAACTCTTCTCTATAGAATAGATCAATTACAGATCTGCATTCTAAAGAAGAGCTCTTAAAGGCCTTCTTAGTATGGAAGAACTGTTAAAGGTTTCCCTATAAAGGGTGAGATAAAAAACTGCAACAAATTCAAAAGCCATATTTTTATATATTTTTTTAAATGTTATTGAATGAAAGCAAAAAATCTAGGATATAGCATCAGCTTTTAGAATAAGTTTAGATTTTTTCGAATTGGTCACCTTTGGCACGAATTATGGCCTTTAAACGGCCAATGAAATCGTCACACGCTGCCCGCATGTTGCTCTGCGGTATTTTGGCCCATTTCCGGCGAAGCGCTTGCTTGAGGTGATCGACACTTTGGTATTTTGTATTGCCAACCTTGCTTTCCAAAATACTCCGGGCGCAATAGTCCAACAGATTGGTATCCGGAGATTTTGGTGACCATTGTGCGCTGGAAATGAAGCGAGGAACCTCATTTTGTAACCATTCTTGGGTGGCGCGTGCTGAATGCGATGGTGCTGAGTCCTGTTGGAATGTCCAAGGTATGCGGCCAAAATGATGCCACAGTCGATTAATACGAGCAGGGAGCGACCATCTGCTGTTATGGTGGCCCACACCATCACCATGGCTGGCCGGCGCTTGAGTTCTGGTGGCCAACCATATGTGCACATTTTCAGCTGACCTCTTTTTCAAGTAAACACGATCATTTTGTTTGTTTACAAACTGCTGGACAACGAATGTTTTCTCATCGGAGAAAACCAAATTCGGCAGTTCACCACTTTCGGCCAGGAAAAGCGAAGCCACTCTTTAGCTATTTTCAGTCTATTTTCTTTCTGTTGCGGTGTAAGTTCTTGCACTTTTTGGAATTTCAATGGCTTTACCCCGAGCTCATGTTTCAATATTTGCCGAATGGAATATTGTGATATTTTCAGCTCACGAGCCATTTTTCGCCCACTGCGACGCTGGTTTCGATGAAGTCGCTTTTTCTTTGACGTCGGGCTACCGTAGTAGGTCTTCCCCGTATAGAAGATCTTCTCTGAACAACATCGCTTTTAACGTTTTTCTCCGCCAAGAAGAAATTTTTAATGTCTTCCCTCTATAGAGAGTTTTTAATGCTCCTATCTGTATAGCATTCCTTTCAATCTAATCTCTGCATAGAGAAGAATCATGCAAAGGTCTTCGGTATATAGGAGACATTCAACGACCTTCGGTCTGTGTCTTTGCTGTGTAAAAGATCTTAAAATGGTATTCGGACTTTATAACCTTTAAACGGTCTATAGTAAACTTTTTAAAAATCTTCGATTTATGGAGATATTCGATATATTCCAGACTTTGAACTTATTTAGCCTATGAGAAGATTTTTAAAAATCGTTGGCTTCAAAAAGATTTTTTAAGAGACATCGGCCTCTGGAGGACCTTTTGAAAGTCTTCTACATCTTTTATACCCCCAGACATATGGCTAGAGAGGTTATATATATATCATTTGATATGGCCAAAATACGCCTCATCGAAATAATAGTTTTAGACCCTAGGTCTCTTTGGACCAAAATCGGTTTCAGGACATTTGTTGTCGATCTAGCGATGTTCGTCCGTCTGTCTGGCTGGTGCGCACGCAACCTTCCGAAGGGGGTATGCGAGTTGGTCCAAACAGGGTTGAGTTCGGAGATAGGCAATATCGGTCCATTCCTTCTGGTACCTCCCCCACAAAAGGTCGAAATTTAAAAAAAAATTTTACTGCACAGAAAGAGACAGGATAATCCTATTTTGCATCCAACTTTGCAAATTGTAATATTAGCATCCGCTAAGGACAGGTGCGAAAATGGATAATATCGGTCTACTCCATTAAATTGCTCTCCCTCAAAGGGTCTAAATTTTGAATAATCACAACTATAATAATATTTTTACTAACGCAAGGTCCCATATCAAGAGGAAATATACCGGACCACTCTATCGATGCAAAATCTGAAGATGGGATATATCGGACCACTGTTTTTGTCACAAAGGGTACTATTTTTCATATCCAAATGCTCACAAATTGTGATCCCATAACTTGTCAAAATTTTGAATAACTATGAAGCTCATAAAACGGTAAATGAGCACCCGATTCCATTCTAAATGGCACATCCAAATGGTTATATAAAGACAAGATCCAGTGTGAATAAGGGATATATCAGACCACTTCATCGAGATCTGGTGTAAATATGGAATATTTAGAATTCCTTCCCACAATATGCAAAACATGTCAGTTTGTTTCACTAAAATCGAGATCTAATGTGATTATCGACCTTCTCCCTTTGAAGGAGTCAAAATTGTAAATAAGTCAAGTGTCATAGTTTTAAAAATAATTATTCGACTTCTTATTTCGCACAATGCAATACCTTCATCGACATTAGTTCTTGTGGAATGTGGAACACATTGGCCCATTCTTTCAGGTCCCTCTCTCACAAGGGTTAAAAAATAATATTTATGTAACCCATAGATGTAATAAAAATATGGAATATGTCGGTCTATCCCTTCCCACCCCCACTTTAAAGGCTTTTCGGTTTCTAAAAGCTTGGACACAATCTTCGGTCTCTAGAAGTATTCAGTATTTGTCCTCCATAAGTCCATTTAAAGATTTTCGGTTTCTAGAGTTGATGTCAATGCTGCTCTGCTTCAATAGCTTTTTGTGTATCCCCCTCTTAAAAAAATCTCTTTCACTCCACAAATCACTTTCACTAATTATAACATAAATTTATTTTCAAGTTGTTTTTACTTTATCGCTGTTCTAATTATTTGTCGGATGGCAGATTGCATGCCGTCACCACTGCCACCACCAATAACAACGATAAAAGATAGGGGTGCTTTGTTGGGTAAACAGACCCACAGAGGGGGAGATAAAAACAGGTCTATACGAAAAACAAAAAAGCCAAAACTTTTAATGAAACCAACTTCTAGTGCGATTTGTTGTTGTTGTTAAATTTTGGAACTTACTTTCATTCCTGCTTTGCACTGTAACTGACAAAATAATGAATAGATGAATAGGGGGAAGGGGCGAAATTGTAGTTGTGACAGGTAACTGGAGTGAGAAAATTCGATTTTGTCGTCTTTGATTTGCCTATGAACCGAAGGTAGCCAAACTCTCACACACACACACACACACAAATGTCACCAGCAGACAGAAAGGCAGGTCATACTGCCAATCTCATGACAACAGAAACTACAAATCTTTGCTAAGGCAAGTCGAAAAACGAAAAAGAAAGTATGTTGGAAAAATGAGCGTGCTCGTGCTTTAGTTCGTGCGACAGACGCACTTTCACCCCCCCCCCCCCAACTTCGATTATTACCCTGACGGCTTACAGGGTGATGGCGGCCAACTGATAAAGGCCCACGAAGACAGTCAGCTTGGCAGTTGGCGAGAATGGTGTACCAGTGAACATATGTCTGCATGGTATTCAGATGGGGGCAGCGCCTGGGGGAGGGGGAGTGAAAATGCACGTGTGTAAAGGCATTGTATTTCATTTGGTGTCAGTGGATATCTTAATTGTTACGTTTTGTGTGTTACCCGAAATAAAATAGGCTGATTTTCACTAACATCCATAAATATTGTCCTTAATTAATTCTGGGGGAGTTGGAGTGTTCGTTGAAAATATTTGTGACTTGATAGTGAACTTAAGAGTTCCAATTGACAGAATAAGTCGTACACTGTAAATGATTAAATATGATATATGATAAAAATATACATATTTTGGGAAATAATAATTAAATCATGGCCAGGCTGTGTGTATATCTGACTCGAGAGAGGGAAGAGGGGAGAGAGGGTATTGGTACCATAGGCCAAGCATATATAGTCATGTTAGTTTACTGAAAGTACGATATTATCTTTGAACTTTAATAGAGGTTTTTAAACCCTCCACCATACTATGGAGGGTATATTAATTTTGTCATTCCGTTTGTAGCTCCTCGAAATACTCATGTCAGACCCAACAAAGTACATATATTCTTGATCAGCGTAAAATTCTAAGACGATTTACCCTTCGACATTCGGTATTTTGATGATTTTAGCGACATTATTTACCGGAATCATTTCAAATTTGGTATTTGAAGTTCGTAATGGATACTACATCCTAAGTCAAAAAAATGAGCCATGTAGGTCCACGTCTTCATATAGCCCCCATATACCGTACCCCCCGATATTCGATATTTTAATGATTTTAGTGACATTATTTACCGGGATTGTTTCAAATTTCGCATGTGAAGTTCGTAATGGTGCAGGTCCACGTCTTCGTATAGCCCCCATATAACGGTACCCCCTATTCGGTATTTTGATGATTTTAGCTACATCATAAACTGATTTTTTATGAAATAAGTTGTTTTCTTTGAAAATGTTGACCTTTTGTGGGGAAGGTACTAGGGGAATGGACCGACACATTCCTTCTTCACACCAGACCTTGGGTTAATAAAAATATTGTGATGTGTGTAATTTGAAGACAATCAGACTTTACATGACATTTTATAAGCGTTAAAAATTGTTTCCTTTCTCCTTCCCTTTCCTCTTGTGGGGGAGGTATAAGGAGGAGTGGACCCATCACCGAAGTCGATCTAAGTTTGATAATTATGTAACGATATACCAAATTTGGATGAAATCGGATACTCCCTTCGAGAGTTATCATGCGCACCAGCCAGGCAGACGGCCGGACATCGCTAGATCAAACCCAAATGTCCTGAAACGGATTAAGTCCAAAGATACCTAGGGTATAAAATCGTTGTTTCGACTAGGTACATTTTGAGTAGCCATATATCTGTGGGGGAGGTACCAGAAGGAGTAGACCGATATTGCCCATTTCCGAACTCGATATAAGTTTGATAATAATATTACGATGTACCAAGTTTGGACCAAATCGGATACTCTATTCGAGAGTTATCGTGCGCATCGGACGGATATCCATAGATTGAATGCAAATGACTTAAAATGGATTTAATCCAAACAGACCTATGGTCTACAACCATTGTTTCGATGAGGGAAGTTTTGGCAGTATCAAATGCTATTTACCCTCTCTAGCCATATATCTGAGGTTATAACAATTGAAATAAAAATGTCCGTTGTCATGTCTTTGCGAGTCGCATCAATGCTTGAGACATCACTTCCAGTTTTCCCCATATCCATAGGTGTGATAGGAAAGGTAGAATATGCGGGCATTTTTAAATGACTGTTAAAATCGCTCTCTATTGTGGCACTAACTTTGAACCTCATATCGGCGTCTAGATATTAATATGCCGGTCATACGATAAAAACCAATGTTTCAAAAATTTAAATTCAAATATAAATTAAGTTTTATTTTATAATAATTAAACAAAAACAATTATTTTATAATAATTTAAAAACCATTCCAAAAATATCAAATTTCTAATTTTTTAATTCTAATTTTTATTTTTTAAAATAAATTTTTAATTTCTAATTAATTCCATTCTTTTCATTCCATAGCTTCTCACACAACTCCGTGACCTTACGACGTAAGGCCTTGCCCGATGCTGTTCGTGGAAAATCGTCAACGAAATAAACACCACCACGCAAATGTTCAAAGTCTTGCATTCTCTCCACAACATGTTGATAGATTTCCGATTCCTTGATTTCACTATTGTATCGCTTAATAACAAAGGCAGCGGGTAGGAAACCATGGACACTGTGCGGTATACCCACCACACAAACGTCGGCCACCTGAGGCAATTCACTGATAACCTTCTCAATATCGGTGGGCGAAAAATGGAAGTTGTTGTATTTACGAATATCACATTTACGATCGACCAAAAACAGTTCACCCTCTTCATTGAAATATCCCACATCTCCGGTATAGATCCAACCCTCCAAATCATATTTCTCTTTGGTGGCTGTGGGGTTACCAAAATAACCAGCCCACGGTAGGGGAGTGCGTACACATATCTCCCCCGATTCTTGGGGACCCAACGCATTGCCATCATCATCGATTATCTTCACCTCTACATTGTCCATCAATTCGCCCACAGTATTGCTGGGCAAACTTGGTGTTGCCGAAATTCCCGATGTTTCACTCGATGCATAGCCTATCAGACACCATGCATTGGTGGCATATTTGCGGAATTTCTCTGTCAAGGAATATAACACGGCACTGCCACCAATCATACAGGCTGTTAAGCTCGAAAGATCGACGGAGCCAATTCTATCCGATGAAACAGCCAAGGCAATCTGTGATGGTGGACCCATGGTAATGTTGACTTTGTAGCGTTCGACAATATCGAAGAAATCATCGGCGTTGAATGCTTTTGAGGAAATAATACGTCTAGCGCTACCAATTGTGCCTTGTATTAGGGTAAAGAGTCCCGACAACCAATACAGTGTGCTAAAGCATAGGAAATTCCTGTCTTTGAAGCCATTTCTGAAAGGACAGGAGGGAAAATAGATAAGTAATTGCAACGATGTGGTGGAAAAATAAAAATCTTTTGTAAAAAACAAAATAAATCTACATTGGGCGCCACTTTGAGATTTTGAAAAAAAATGCTTGTAGATGGAAGTTCATAGAAGATATATCAAATGTCCTCTAGGAATTAAACATCTTACCTTACAAATTATAGGTTCTTTTAGGGGTATTCTTTATACAGAAAAAATCCATAATTCTTCTATTTATCCAGTCTCTCAAAGGGATGCGAGACAAACAATTTTGTTCTTGTATGAGAGACCTACTGGATATTTTTTTATAAGGTCCTGTAGAAGTCCACAAAAGGTCAATATGAACGAGACCTGTGGAAGGTTTTCGTTTTATGGAAGATCTCATGAACTGATGAGGTGAAAAAAACAAAACTCTTAAAGCAAAAACTCCATAAAGCAAATTCAGTTTGAGCGCCACTTTGAGAATTTAGACAACTTGTAGACAGAAGTACATAGAAGATATCTAAGAGGTCCTATAGGAATTTAACATCGTACAAGGGTTTTCTTAAGTATAGGTTCTTTAGGGGTGTTCTTTATAAGGAATTAATTCCATAATTCTTATATTTTTCCAGACCCTGAAGATGATGGCAGTCCAATTTTTTTACGTATGAGAGACCTACTGGATATTTTCCTATACGGTTCTATAGAAGTCCACTAAAAAGTTGTTCAATCTAAACGATACCTATGGAAGATTTTCGTTCTGTAGATCTTATGAACTGATAAGATATACAAAATAATCTTAAAACAAATTTAATAATAAAGACATTTATATTGGGCGCCACTTTGAGAAATTGGAAAAAGTGCTAGTAGACACAAGTACATGGAATATATCTCCGAGATCCTGTGGAAGGTTTTCAGTCTTTAGAAGATCTCATGAATTTATGAGGTGATAATATAAAAATCTTTTGTTAATTATAAAGCAAATTTATATTGGGCACCACTTTGGGCATTTAGAAAGAGTGCTTGTAATGCATACACAGGGTGAGATGACAAAACTGCAACCAAATTCAGACTGATGTCATTTCTAAACCACACGTCCGATAGCTGTTAAAAATATTCCAGTGACAGCTCATTATATTGTTTACAAGCGTACAAAAGCATTTTGATGAGAATTTCCCAGAAAAAAATTTATTCGTGATGGAATTCAAGCGTGATAGAGTGATTTCTTTATATTTGGTTGGAAAACCACGAGGGTAGCCCGACATCAAGGAAGTGGACGAAAAAAAACAGCAGAATCGGAAACCAGAAGAAATGGTTCGAAAAGTAAAGATGCGAAATCCGCGTCGCAGTGGCCGACAAATGGCTCGTGAGCTGAACATATCGCAATATTCATTCCATTCGGCAAATATTGAAAAATAAGCTCGGGGTAAAGCCACTGAAATTCGAAAGAGTGCAAGAACTTACACCGCAACAGAAAGAAAATAGGCTCAAAAGAGCTAAAGAGTTGCTTCGCTTGGCCGAAAGTTTAAAACTGCCGAATTTGGTTTTCTCCGTCTCCGATTAGAAAACATTCGTTGTCCAGCAGTTTGTAAACAAACAAAAGGATCATGTTTACTTGCCAAAGAGGTCAGCTGAAAATGTGCACCTTTGGTTGGCCAGTGGCCACCAGATCTCAAGCGCCGGCCATGGTGATGGTGTGGGCCGCCATAATAGCCGATGGTCGTATTAATCGACCGTGGCATCAGAATAAATGCCGAATGTTATCGCGAAAATATTCTTAAGGGTGTATTAAAGCCTTGGGCACGCAAACACCAAAATCCCCGGATACCAATCCATTGGACTATTGTGTCTGGAGTATTTTGGAACCAAAAATATCAAAGTGTCCAGAACCTCAAGCGAGCGCTTGCCGGGAATGGGCCAAAATACCGCAGAGCAACATTCGGGCAGCGTGTGACGGTTTAATTTGCCGTTTGAAGGCCATAATTTGTGCCAAAGGTGGCCACTGCGAACAAATCTAAACTTATTCTAAAATTTGATGCTATTTCCGACATTTTTTGCTTTCATTCAAGAAAATTAAAGAAAAATGTAAAAATTATGGCGTTTGAGTTTTTTACAGTTTTTTTATCTCCCCCTGTATTTATCTCTACTAGGAACCTGATATGAAAACAGGATTTATCGGAACTTATGATTTCGCATAAAATTTTCTTGTAATTTTGTCCAAACCAATATTTTTATCTGTATTAGATGGAATGTGAAAGTGGGATACTTTGGTTCGCCAAATGTGGTACCACACGCACATTTTATTATTTTCTAAAAATTATCATATACTTCATATAAAGTTGATATAGTCCAAACCAGGTACGTCGCAATATTTATATCATTTTTTAGATCTGATACGACATGGACAATATTGGCCCATTCGTTCGGAATTTACTTCATAGAGGGTCAACAATTCGATTAATCATAACAGAATATATTCGAATAATCAAATATTGGGTTAGGGTATACATTTGTAGGTAAAACCGACTGATACTTTTAAACACGGTCCTTTTGGTACACTTATAGATAGAATTTCGAAAAAAACCCATAACCTAGACCTATGTGCAAAATTTCAAGATTCCAGCTTCAGCCGTTTTATATTGCCACTACGAACACTTGCAATTTTTCAATTAGTCTAATACTCACTCTATCATAGTCATAGACAGAAAACTGGCGTGGGATATGCAAACACCCTTGGGTAATCCTGTTGTGCCCGAGGTACAAACAATGAATGCCGTCTGATGTACGCCATCCTTGAGGGGTTGTACTCTATGAAAGAGAGAGAGAGAAAAATTAATAACTTTGCCCTCATTAAAATACCCCCTTCGCTTACCTATAATCACAGGGATTTACACTTTCATTCTCAAAGAATTCCATAATACTCGGCACCCCATCCACATGATTACTCATTGTATAGATTTTCGTGGCGCCCAAATCACATTCATCCAAAGCTTCACGCACTCGTTCGTAGAGATCACCATCGCAGAACATCATTCGAGGCTTGGTCAGCGAATAGACGTGTTTAATGCCAGCCTTATCAAAACTGGGATCTAAGGTACTAATGCTCAGACCAGCTGCCAATGCACCAAAAACCAGTGGGGCTATATAATCCGTATTGCCGGCACACAATCCAATCACGTCCGTCTGTTGGCACTGTAACTTCTCAAAGTGTTGGGCAATCTGTACCGTTCGTTTGGCAATTTCGAAATTCGTGAGCTCATTGCCACTTTGGTAGCAAATCTTGAAGAGAAAATAAATTTGCAACATTTTTATAATTTTTTTAAAAATTTTCAAAAGTTCATCAACATTTTTAAAATTTTATTAAAATTTTCAAAATTTCAAATATTTGAAAATTGTAAATGCAAATAATAATGTCTGCTGATATTTTGAAGGTTTAAGACGATTTGGTTACGACATGTTATCGTATATATTACCTGACCGACATATTCCGGATCTTCTAATAATTTCTTTAACACCACCGATGCAATTGAATCCCCAGCATTAAAAGCTACTTCACGTTTTTTCCCTTGCCATATTTTGGTGTCAGGATTATATTGAGTTTTCCGAACGGTTATTTCGAGTGTATCTGACATATCTGCTAACTATTCGAACGGTAGGCTGGCTAAATACTAACTATTTGCTTTAAGCACTTGTGCCTATTGATATAGCCAAAAAAACTATGTACACTAGTCTACATTAACACATAAAAAAATATTAGAGTGAGTGTTGGACCGACTGATTCATCTACGCCCTGACGCAACGGCTGAAGATAGAATTTTTAAATCTTACATATAGGTCTATGTTGGAGGGTAAGGGTGAGAAAGGACTTGATTTCTCGAAATTCGTACTAAAAGGTACAAAATATAAAATCCATTGTATTGGTCAAACGCATAGAGCTAGGAAATTGTAAAATTTGGAATGAGGATCGCTAATGGGGTGTAGGATAATGTAGGAAATTTAATCTATTGATCGAATGGATAAAGCTATAATTCTGAAATTTGAAATGAGGATGTTGTGGGGTGTAGGATAGATGCACTAAAGAGTTTTTTGGATAGTCGAACTATGAGTGTACTAAAAGAACGCGAAAGCCATAATTTTGTTATCACTTGGTAATTGGCTGAAATCTTGACATTTCGTGTAAGAATTATGTTGAGAGAAGTAGTGCTGATATAAGGAGATTATTTTGGACCAGTGTACTAAGTGTTAGAACCTAAATTTGGTACGATTTGGTTTTTGTGAACGAACATAGCTGCAATTGTGAAATGTTGATATTTGGGTTGGGTTGAGACTTGAAGATGATTTTGGAAATTTGTACTAAAAAAGTACGAAAAGTGCTAAATTGTATTAAAATTGATACTAAAGGGAGGTAATAGAGTTGTCAATCTAAAATTTGGTATTAGGATCACTATTTGTGAGGTAAGTTGCGATTTGGTGGTGGTTTTGGAAATATGTTGTGGGAACTAGGGTTGATATCTGAGGAGGTGATTTTGGACCTGCTTACTAAGTGGAAGAACCTTAACTGGGTACAATTTGGTTTTGGGTGAACGAATGTAGCTGTAATTTTGAAATGTTGATAAATTTGATGTTAATGTGTGTTAGGTTCAGACTTGAAACGGATTTGGGACATTTGTACTAAAAAGTACAAAAAATACAAAAAGTACAAAAAGTACTAAATTATATAAAATTTGGTATTTAAAGGAGGAACTAAAGTTGGAAATCTAAGATTTCGTATTAAGTTTACAAATTGTGAGTTAAGCTTGAGGTACTAAATTATTCAATATTTGGAATTGGATGTTCAAAATCTGAAATTTCGGATGGGGTACGTTGTTGTTGTGTAGCATTTTTTGGCAGTTCGAATAAAAACTGTACCAAAAGTACTAAAACTCATTAAACTAGTTACCATTTGGCATTATGGGAAAATATAGGGGATAGAGGTATAATCTACAATCTTTAAATTTGGTCAGGTTTGGGATATAAGTTTGATATGAGGAGGTGTCTTTGGAAATTTATAGTATGTTCGAATAATAAGTGTACCAAAAAGTACTAAAATTTATTAAATTTTGTGCCATTTGACATTAGGCGAGAGGATAGAGGTTCAATTTTTAATCTTGAAATTTGATCGGGTTTGGGAAATAGGTTTAATAAAAGAAAGTGTTTTTGTAAATGTGTACTAAGCGTAAGAATTGTACTTAATATTGTACCAAATTGGTACGATTACGATTGGGGTCACTGCTGGTTGATAGGGTTGAGATAAAGAGTCGGGGTTGGAAATTCGTTCAGTAAGCGTACGAAAGGTACTAAATGGCACTTATGTTGCTTGAAATCTGAAATTTGGCATAAGGGTCATTCTTAGCGAATAGGATTGAGAATTGACATTGTTTTTGGAAATGTGTACTATAAGTGCACGGAAAGTACTTAATAGTACTATATTTGCTACACTTGGGTATTGGGTGAACAGATAGTGCTTGAAATCTGAAATTTGGTATTAGGGTCGTTGCTCATATGTAGCTTTGACATATGGATGTGGTTTTGGATGTGTGTATTATAATTGTTCGAAAAGTACTAATTGGTAATAAAATTGGTAATGCGTGAAGGGATAGAGCTGGAGTCCTCAAATTTGATAAAAAAAAGTCACTTTTGGTATTTAGGCTTGATATTTGGAGGTGGATTTATAAATATGTACCAAAAAAGCATAAAAATAAGGAGTCGAATTTTTGGACATTTCTACGATGCCGTGTACGAAAAGTGCTAAATGGCACTAACTGTGATATAAAGGCTGGGAAAGGAACTAGAAATTTGAATATTTTTATAAGGATCTCCGAGCGTTTAGATAAGGATGTACATTTGAAAAACCATTGTAAAATATGTACGAAAAGTTCCAAATTGTACTAAAGGAAAGGGTACTACGTGTAAGAACTGTACTAAACTTGATACAATTTTATAATTGTAATTGTGAATGTTGAAATTTGTATACCCTCCACCATAGTATGGAGGGTATATTAAGTTTGTCATTCCGTTTGTAACACCTCGAAATATACATCTTAGACCCCACAAAGTATATATATTCTTCATCAGCATAAAATTCTATGTCGATTTAGCGATGTCCGTTCGTCTGTAGAAATCACTTTAGTTTCCGAACGAATTGAAGTAGATTAATAAAATTTAACTCAAATGTATATTATGAACTTTTGGTATTGCAAATGGGCCATGTAGGTCCACGTTTTGTTATAGCCCCCATATAACGGTACCTCCCGATATTCAGTATTTTGATGATTTTAGCGACATTATTCACCGGAATTGTTTCAAATTGTTTCGTAATGGATACTTCAGCCTAAGACAGAAAATTGTCTGTGCAGGTCCACGTCTTCATATAGCCCCCATATAAGGGTACCTCCCGATATTCGGTATTTTGATGATTTTAGCGACAATATTAGTTAAAATACTTTCAAAATTGATATTTGAAATTCGTAATGGACGCTACAGCCTATGGCAGGTGATGATGATTTTAGCGACATTATTCACCGATTTTTTTCCCAAGATTCGCATTTGAATATTGTAATGACTTAGGACAAAAGTTACCTATGCAGGTCCATGTCGTCGTATTGACCCTAATATAACAGCTATATTCGGTATTTCTAAGATTTTTTAACAGAAATTTTAACGGAGTTTATTGTTTTTGAGAATTGCCAAATTCGGGTTTTCAAAGTTCGGCCCGGCCGAACTTACAGTTTTTTTACTTGTTTTTTTTTTTATAAAAATCTGTCGTTCTAGAAATGCGTAGAATAGATGTACGAAAACTACTAAATGGTACAAAATTTGACATATAGTGTTGGAAAACTGAATGGTATTAAATTTGGTATAGAGTGTGGGAAATAAGCTAGAATTGTATAGGGATCATTGTGAGTGTGTGTTGCGTTTAGAAAAGGGGGTGTAGTTGGAAACCCATTCTGATTATTTCACTTACGTTGTGGAGGAGAGGTAGCCGAGAGAAATTAAACTCGTTGGTTTTTGACGAGAACTAATTTTATTTAACAAAAGTAACCTAAATTTAGTTACTAAACTTTATATTAGAAAATTCTCGAAATAATATCGAAAATTTCAATTTTTGGGTCCATGCTCCAAATGTTACTTAGTTCATTTATTTCGAAAGATTTCCTAGTATTAAACTAATTATTTCAAAAAATGCCTCACCTCGTTATCCTACCATTTTCGAGATTCAGGATTTTTCACTCTTCCTTATGCTTCATATCATTTCTATATTGGGTTTTAAGTTAATTTTTTATTCACTCAACATTGTAGACTAGTTTATTTTAACGTAACTTTGGAAAAGGTTTTTATTATTTTTTTTTACATAGATAAAGATTTGGAATGATTTTCAAATCATGCTTTTAAAGCATGACCACCGATCTTACAATGTGCCTTAGTTTATCTACTCGTGTACACACAAAATTGACTAACTGATAATCAATGGCCAGACGACACGTCTGGAGGTGTAATCTCGAAATTTTGCATGTAGATCACAACAGGCAAACAGCTGTGTCTGTGATAAGGCTGAGTTTTTGTTTGTCCACTCTTAAAGGCATTAAAACGTACAAAATTCCGTACCAGGTTTTCACATGTATATAGAATAGAGTTCTGAATTTAAGTATATTAGACTTGAAAACCGGTGGGAAAAGGCCAAAGTCGGTCGTCCATCCCACACCATCAATATACAGTTTAAAAATTTAAACATTCTTGAAAATTTAGGCATTATTTTAACATTTTACCTATTATCAACTTTTAGAACCTTCGCTACGTTGGTTGGTCAATTACTGCTCAAAACGTATTTGCGAAAGTCCTGTAGGCCATAATGCAACAGCAACAGTCAGCCAACAACAATGTGCCAACAACAAATGAAAAATAACCGATGGCTTGGCAAACAGTAATGCAATAATCAGTGCAAGTTTATACTGCCAAGGGCATCCTTTGTCCTTGAACACTAATTATGGATGTGGCCGGGCAAGTGGTGATGGCTGTAGTAGGTCGTAGTAGCTGCAGTAATTGGTCGACCATGTCTATGGTCAGTCCAATGTCATGGTCAGGATTCCTAGCTAATGTGATGGACATTTAATAATGTTAGAGGGTGCTCTTCCTGAATGTGGTAATGCGGTTGGATTTAATGATGCAAGGAATGCATTAGACACAAACAAACAGGAATCAAGCTAATATTGAACGAATTATAACAGTCAGGAAAAAGGGAAATTGGTTGTCCGCATGGGTGAAGTGAAGTGTGTGATACGATGGTTAGGAATATTTTTCCAAGGATCTTCACAAAGTATGAATGTTTTAAGAGAATTTGTTATGATCCATAACAAATCGTAGATTTTTGTAGAAATCATATTTTCAAGGACCCTCTCAAATTACTTGTTGGATGAATGTCAAAAAATTGAACCTAGCTTTTGCAAAAAACTTGTTAAAAGTATGCCACAAAATATAAAAGGAATTACTTAGGTAATAGTAGCTATGTTCTTGAAACTTAAAAAAATTTGGCGGTATTTTAGTCTATACAGAGGAACCTGTTCTGTTCGATAATCCGCGATTGATCTTTTGTTTAGTTATATACCGTCGTTATTAGAAT